CTTATCATTACAACACCACCACCCAGGAAAACACTAATGGTACAAACGAGCACCCATCTAGGAACACACCGTGTGACACTGTGGTTGTAAACTTATCGGACACGAGCTTGTCACCTGACGAAGTAAAACTGCTATCTAAGGGACTAAGCTTCTGCCCGACCACAAAATTTTTCGATGAATTCCACTTACTCCGAGACCTCGACAACTTCGCTCGAAGCTTAAGGTTGCGCGAATATTTCTTAGATAGGCCTTCTAACCACAAAACAATTCACCGTCGTAAATCAAATGATTGGACACCGAACAGTAATCGAGACAAGTGCTTGGACCTTTACATCACCGCAGTACAGAAAGATATAGTACACGAATACCACAGACAGAAAGGAAACCGAGAAAACTTGACCAAATCTGAAACAATAAGCATGAAAAATTTGGCATCTAGGACAGACATAACAATAAAACCCGCTGACAAAGGAGGAGCAATTGTAGTCCTTAATACAACCAACTACCTACAAGAAGCATACCGCCAACTAGACGACTCAAGATTTTACGAACGCCTCCCAGGTGATCCGACAGACGAATACAAACGTATCGTATCAACAGAACTAAAGAAACTGTTGGACGCAGAAAAGATAACCAACACTGACCACAAACTGATGCAAGCAGCATACCCTCGTCCAGGTCGCTTCTACATCCTCCCAAAAATTCATAAACCCGGTAACCCAGGTCGACCAATCATATCAGGCATCGGTACAATAACTGAACCCATATCAGGGTACGTGGACAAACTAATAAGCCACATTCCATGCACCCTCGCGTCGTACATAAAAGACACCACACATTTTCTTCGAGACATTGCGGGTATCTGTGTGCCGAAAAACTCGTACTTGGTTACCCTTGATGTCTCTTCATTATATACAAATATTCCTCACGATGACGGCATAGCTGCACTAAGAAACATGTACACAAACCATAGACAATCTAACACCCCAGATTTCTCTGCCATTGCAACATTGACGAGGATGGTCCTCGAATTAAATTCATTCGAGTTTAACCAAGAGTATTTTCGACAAATCAGCGGGACCGCTATGGGCACCAAAATGGCACCTAATTATGCCAACATATTTATGGGAAAGCTAGAATCTGAATTTCTTGCACAAAGTTCCTTGAAACCAATGTTATACAGAAGATACATAGACGACATCTTTCTTATTTGGACCCACAGCGAGGACGAACTTCTCAGCTTTATAGACACTTACAATGCTGTACATCCGAACATACACTTCACACACACATACTCGCAAGTTACCGTAAATTTTCTTGATGTTACCATAACGATAGAAGAAGAGAAGCTCTCTACAACCCTATATCGCAAACCAACGGATCGACAACAATACCTTCATTACCAAAGCGATCACCCACGCCACTGTAAAAACAGTATTCCATACAGCCAGGCTCACCGGTTTAAGCGAATCTGCTCTAGAGACGCTGACTTTGACACGAGCTCACAAAGGCTAAAACTTATGCTCGAGCAACAAAAATACCCCCCACATGTAATTAATGACGCTGTTCAAAAAGCGAGAAAACTAAAGCGTGAAGACTTACTTATGAAGCGACCACCACGAGAAGACCCACAACGAACAAACCTCTGCTTGACTTACAGCACAAACTTCCCCAATGTAAACAAAATCCTTAAACGACATTACAACATTCTGGAACAAAGTGAACGTCTGAAACGCGCATTCCCATCTGCTCCAGGCGTCGTTTACCGACGACCACGTAACCTCAAAGACACCCTTGTCCACTCCCAAATTAACACATCACCCCCCAATAATTCATGCCGCCCTTGCTTAAAGCCACGATGTCTTGTATGTAAGGCGATGCGAAAAACAGACAAAGCAACCAGCACGCAATCCAAGTTTTCGATTAACATACGAGGAAACCTAACATGCGATTCTTCTAATGTGGTGTACCTACTCGAATGCAACGTGTGTGGTATGCAGTACATCGGACAAACAGAAACACCATTTAGGATTCGCTTCAATAATCACAGAGCCCATGCGAAATCAGCCCCAAGTCTACCTCTATCAAAACATCTCAATCTTCCCGACCATGCATTCGACAAACTATCAGTAACGCTCTTAGAGACGGGATTTAAATCAAATCGAGAACGTGAACAACGAGAGTCATACCTTATCCACCGATTTAACACCCTCGATAGAGGAATAAATGAGAATCCTGGTACACTTGCAGCAATTAAAGCATTAGAAAACAATAACGGCAACGATGAAAATAGTAACTGAGTTCACGGCACTGCAGCTGCGAAGGGCACTGGACAACCTAAAACAATTCCAAGTGTAACTACTCTTCCTAAGTGCAGCTGTCGTCTGTTTTCTGTTTTATTTTACTACCCAATCAATTGTGCCATGCACGACATGCCCAACAGCAACCATGTGCACAGCCGGGAGGCCCCCACGACACGCGTAATTTAGAAGCGGGCCAGGAATTCGCATTGCACGCGCTTGCACAGCCTACCGCAATACGGGGCACCCCTATTTTTACGACGAAATGTTGACAGGGCGCGGAGTAGTTAAAGGCTTAGAACTTCCTAAAATGCCCGCTGACCAGCCTCTGCCACAATACGCGGCCCCCGTCCTTCTACGACGAATTGTTTACGGGACCCCGAGCAGTTAAAGGCTTAGGACTTCCTGAAAAGCTCTTTTTTGCCCCACACCGAACCGCCAGTGCCAGGAGGGACCGTCTGATCGGGAGGAATGCGCTAGTGAACGGAAACATACACAGACCGCTGACATCAGAAAGGTGAAGGGGAGAGGGGGGAGAGAGATGGGGGGGAGTGGAGGGAAAAGTGGAAGGGGGGCACCCGAGGGGCGTTCACCGTATATTATTTTTCTCTTTTTTTTCTTTCCTTTTCTTTTCTTTTTTTCTTTTCCTTTTTTTTTCCCCTCTTACCTTGCCCTCTGATTTGAGATTGTATAAAGCTGAGCACCGACAAACTGTATCTTTATTCCTGATGAAGGCCAGACTCTAGGCCGAAACGTCGAAATAAACCACGTTGTGACCGCTCACGGAGGATCTACTAGACTATATATATATATATATATATATATATATATATATATATATATATATATATATATATATATATATATATATATATATATATATAGCACGCTAAACAGTGTACTGTCCTCAGCGCATGACTTCACGCAATTTGCGAACAGTCATACCGTAACACATTTTTCTAAAAAAAAAGAACAGTTCATTCTGTTCAAGTCCCCCCATAACTGCTCTTGTAATCCACTATATATATATATATATATATATATATATATATATATATATATATATATATATATATATATAGTGGGAGTAATGATTCAATGGGCCAGTTAGTCTTCGTGAAGGTATGGGATATGGCACAACGGGAGCGTTGTCAACAAGGATAAATATATTTATTTCCCAACAGTTTCGGGAGGGGTCCTCCCTTCATCAGGGGATGAGCGTAGCTCATCCCCTCATGAAGGGAGGACCCCTCTTGAAACTGTTGTGAAAGAAATATATTTATCCTTGTTGACAACGCTCCCGTTGTGCCATATATATATATATATATATATATATATATATATATAGTGGGAGTAATGATTCAATGGGCCAGTTAGTCTTCGTGAAGGTATGGGATATGGCACAACGGGAGCGTTGTCAACAAGGATAAATATATTTATTTCCCAACAGTTGGTCCTCCCTTCATCAGGGGATGAGCGTAACTCATCCCCTCATGAAGGGAGGACCCCTCTTGAAACTGTTGGGAAAGAAATATATTTACCCTTGTTGACAACGCTCCCGTTGTGCCATATATATATATATATATATATATATATATATATATATATATATATATATATATATATATATATATATATATATATATATATATATATATATATATATGTGTGTGTGTGTGTGTGTGTGTGTGTGTGTGTGTGTGTGTGTGTGTGCGTGTGTGTGTGTGTGTGTGTGTGTGTGAAAACGCAAGAAAGAAAAATCCAGAAAAAGACTCCGCGCGGAATTGAACGTGGGACCTCCGCGTCGTGCATGCGAGGTGTTAACCATTGAGCCACCGAGAGGCACCTCGTTGAACGTTTAAACGGCAAGCTATTTATATCCACCACTTACCGCTGTTGGCGGGCATCTCGGGAGGGGGGGGGAGCTATCGTGTTTTCAGCATTATCAGCAAGATGGCGCAATGAGCGCGCGGTGGCTCTCATCTCTCACGCGTACTTTAGCCCGCGGAGAGGAGGGAAGTGGACGATCTCTCGTGCCCCCTTATCTCCCGGTGGAAAGGATCATACGTCTTGGCTGGCGTTGGGTGTGCATGGAACGATTCTGTTGTAGTTACGGGGCGCACAAAGGTCACTGCAATCCTTGCACAGCCTCCGTTTGCGAAAAGCGCGCGTTTTTCAGACACAGCGAAGTGACAACTGGGACGCTTATTCGCGTTCATCTGAATATGTGAGTACGTTTCGTGCGTCGGTTGTGCGTGAGAAACGCGGGGCACGTTTGCATCTGCTTTCCATTCTACGCGTGACCTTCCAATTTGTTGCTATCGTGTTCATTGTTTCACCTTCGCGGCAAAGCTGTGACCTTTTTGTACTACTTCATTCGCGTACCAAGTTTTTTTTTTCCAAAGGGCCGTACAGCAAGACACCTAAGTCTTAAACTATACACTTAAGCCTTAATAAGTGAAATTATTTTTTATTTGATAAAGCGGGTGAAAGTCCTACACCTATCACATAACATTTCACGATTATGAGTCATTCTTACACATTAATTCTATAAATTTATTAAAATTAGCAAGCGGTTTTCGGGCGGGAAAAAAAGGGCTTCTCATAAAAATTTCATTTTAAACAGCCCTGTGAGAAGAAAAAAAGCGTCGTTCTGTTCTTTGAAACATGCGCAGCTGACTGCCCTCATTTACCTCGCAGGTACGAAGCTGCGGTGAAGGCTCGCCTGGAGATGACCGGCTGTCCGATGAACGACCCGTTCGGCATCACAAGGGGTCGCTACGGCTACAAGACGTTGCTGTGACGATTGCAGGACCTGAACGACAAGGTCAAACGGAGGAAAGAAATTTTGCCCGAGAAGAACGATTAAGGGACGTGATTGGATTGGATAAACTTTTATTCGAGCACTGGCGAAATAAAGCCCGGTTCCGATGAAGAAAAAAAAAAGACCAGCTCGCTGTAAATATGGGAGTGATGCACCTTTCACGTGACTGACAAAACTTACAGAGTGCCTTGTGTATTCGCCTAAGCACTGTTTCACATGCGAGTGATTTCACGACAGCCGTCGCGCGAGCCTAAAAACTGGTTTCTAGAACGTCTACTCTAGTCGCTGCGCTCGACATCGCCAGAGTTTTGGAACGATTCGCATGGCTGAGCGTCTGCTCCGTGTTAACCTATGGGGGAGAAATGACGTGAAGAGCACGTGACTGCAGGGGCGGAGTCGTAGAGTTTCCTAAAATGAACCATAGGTGACTCTGGCGCTGCGATCGTTCAGTGACTGTGGGAATGATTGGTAGCACACGGATTTGCCTAGTATTCGTGCTTGTGAGTGGCGAATCGCACTTGTGGCTTCGTTTATTGTTTCGGTTTTGTTTCGAAGGAAAGGGCAAACACTTTTAAACTTCGCGACCCCATTCTAAATGGTAAGTCTAAAAGAATAAGGTGGCGAAACGCAGCCGCTGAACATTTGCAGACTTTTGTCTCGTGGAAAAAACAACTTCAAGCCACACGATCCACACACAGAGCCAGAAGTACGAGGATTGATACGAGGTGTGGGTCCTCGTATCAAGTTATCTAAATTTCACTCATTTATATACAATCGATCACACTGCGTGTAGCAAAAAGAGATGCAGGATTTGGACAGTGCTGCAGTCGCTTTTCATAAACTCGGCACCGGCAGATTGTATACATATTGCTTATCATGCGTAACTGCTACGCATGCGAGACGAAAGCATCGTTTCTTGTCTTTCCGCGCATCGAAATCATTGCATTCCGCCACTCTGGAGTGAATAACTCGGCAACCGGTTCTCACTTGTTGCGTCCGGCGTGAAATGTGAAGCACTCGCCGATACAATGCTCGTCGAAACTGTTTTCTCCGCGGGCACGCATGTTGTGCAGGGAAGAGCACTAATTGGCTTCTTGCGCGAATCGTTTTAATTTCGTCCCGCGAGTGCACGAATTGGTAAAGATGAAATGATACGATGATGAAACAATATAATCAAATTCATCGGAGCTCACTGGTGTGTCGTTGAGAGGAAGCATGACTTAATATGATCAACGAAAAAAAAAACGCTGTACCGCTGCATCAGATGTGCATAACGTCATGGAATCGTATTGTCGGTTTAAGTTAACCTTATCACTGTTAAAGGCTATTAAGATGATTGCCTAAGCTCTTAACTGAGCACGGCGAGTAGCCTGGCAATTCGCGAGAAAAATAAAAGGTCAGAATATAGGCGAGAATTTGTGACACAACACCGACGTCACGCGCTGGTGGGCGGAAAATTTGAACAGGAAATTTTGTATTTTAATAGCAAAGCTGTATAAGCTAGCCGCAAGTTGTATGCCGTATCAACGATTCATGAGCCGGTTGGCGACAAAGAAATTGGGTAAGCCCACCATTCACCACTGGTCCACTAAAAATAAAGAAATAGTTAGCCCAACAAACGAGTATACAGGGTGTTTCAAGAAATGTGTTCAGTATTGTTTAAAAATCAGAAAAAGACGCCATTTGCTTGCTGTCCTCGCAGTTGTTGTTTTTTTAAGCGGCAGGCATCGTAAGAAGGTTTAAGACATCATTTGTAACAGTATATACAAAAGTTAAATTAACTTTTTAATTAGTGGAGTCCAGCAGTTACGTCAAGTAGAAGAATTGAAGTCCTTGATGGGAAAAACCCATTGCCGTTTCGAGATTTCAGAAAAGCGGCCTCTAGTAATAACCACGAATTAATGAAATTATCCTAAATTCGACGTCGATACCGAAACCAACGGACCGAAGAGCGCAACAAGCAGACGACTACAATGACGTCACTGATCAAAACGCGGTTACCCTAAAGTCCCTGTGCTCCGTAAAAGTACCGCCATCTGCTCTCCCCCTCGCCGCCTCCTCTCCAACGCGTCGCTTTTTTTATTTCGCTTGCGACAGTGGGGCCCCCTGTAACGCGCTTGCTCCGGCGTGGAGAAGAGGAAGCGGCGCTGATCAAAAGAAAGCTGTACTTTTCAGAAGGCATAGGGGCTTTAGGTTATACCCGGGGTGCAGTTCTTCCCCGTTCGATAACGTATGTGCGTCATCCCAGCTCTTATCGCGAGCGCTGTCCACACACCCACACAACGAAGTCTGTTGATGGTTGATATAGCAACGCTCCCGCATTTCAGTTGCGCTCTCTCTCGTTTTGGTTTGGCTGCAGACTTGGGGACAATTTCATTAATTCGCAGTTATTATTAGAGGCCACCTTTCCGAAAGCTTAAAGCGGCAATAGGTTTTTTTTTTTTTTGCATGAAGGACTTCAATTCTCCCATTTGGCTTAACTGCGTAACTCCACAAATTATAAAGTTCATTATTTTAGCTTTCGTAATTACCGTTCCAAATAATATCTTCACCCCACTTTCATCTTCATGTGGTGGGGGGGGGGGGGGGGGGGGCTGTTATTTGGCGTTACGTATGCCATAACGGTGAAAGAAAACTTGGGAGAGGAAGGGGAGCACAGGCTTGGTGTGTTAGTGTTACGTTCAAACTAATAGTTTGAACGTAACACTTTTCTAAACAGTGAGGTTGCTTAGCGAATCGTTCCTTGTCCGGGGAACCGTGGAACTCCGTGCCGACCGGTTGTGCCCTCGCGATCTCCGACGACAGCGCAGCTCTGGCCGACTGGGCTCCCCCTACGCCATCTCCTGGCGCCGACAAGAGCTCTCGCAAGTGGTGCCCCGTCCTCGGACTCCTGTGACCGTGTTTCGTTTCGTTTCGTTTCGCTTTATTTGGGCATAACACATACAGGGTTTCATCTTTCCTATCTCTCTTATGTCGTCGCTCGCTGTCCTTGCGCATCTTTCTTTCTCTCTCATTCTATATATATATATATATATATAGACAACTATTCTTTTAACCCCTCCTCACCCCCATCCCTCGTGAGCTACTGTTGAGGTGTCGCACTTTGATGTAGACAGTGTTACGGGGCTCACTTTTGTCTTGTTTTCTCTTTAAGAATCACTTTAGTACCGAGTAAAAAGGAAATCAAACTTTTTCGCGAGGAGAGACTTCGTCGGTCGTGTAAAAAAACTATCGTGATCACGAGTGCAAACAACATGGCCGACATGCTCTCTATTCGTCCTCCTCATCTCATCGTCTGCTTGGCTCTCAGAACGAGTTCCCCAATTTGCCCGGCCTGGGATGCAATAACTCGCATTGGCAAGAGAATGCATGCAAAGAGAGGAAGAGAGAAGTAGGTGGAAATAAAGAAAATAAAGACATAAAATTACAAAAAGACATCAATCAATCAGTTTATTATCATGTCATAAAAGGATGTTACAGGGAGTAAAATATACAGACGAGGGTCCCAAAGTACACGACTGCAACGGGACCCTTGGTGATGATTACAAATAATAAAAGCACGAGCAGCTGTTAGAATCGTAGAAACAAAAATATACAAAGCAGAATGAAAACAAAAAAGGCATGCTAGGCATGCTTGACATGCTAGACATGCTAGGTAATAGACAGAGAGAGAAAGAGATGGAAGAAACAGACACACAAAGAAAGAGATATAACAACACAGAAATAAGCATATGGGGCCGAAGAACGTGAGAGAAATAGAAAGAGAAATGGAAAAGGATGGAAAGAACGAGACAGAAATAGACGGTCAAGAGAAAAAATAATTAGAAAGGGACAGTGAAAAAAACGGGTAAGAAAATAAGAAAATAAACAGAAATGAAAAAAAAATGAAATGAAAATAAAAATGAATAGAGGCAAGGAAGGCAGGTTAACTGCGTTCTTCCTTCAGTCTCGGCACCTTGCGAAAACATCACTTATTTTCCCCAGTTCTATTGCCGATTAAGCACGCATATGCACACACACACACACACACACGCACACACACACACGCACACACACACACACACACACACACACACACACACACGCGCGCGCGCATGTTTTGTTTGTGGGTTGTCTTCGTAACATCCTGTAACTTGGATCTTTGCCAATCAGTGGAGATATTTGTGATTCAGAACTGTAAAAACGGCCACGAGTCGTTGTCCCTTAGAGGATGTTTGCGGTGAGGCAACCGCATTAGCCTTTTGCTGTCAATACGGTCTGTAGCCAAGATAGGACCTAAAGAGATTTCTCTATCAGACCACTGGAAAGCCTAGGTGTATCGCCGAGGACCTCCGGATATGGGACATTCCGCCGACGGATAAGAGCTGCCAGCCGATCGTCGTTATCGGTTGTCCAACAGCGCTGAGCAAGCGCTCGTGCAAGCCCACGTACTGGATCGGGGCGCGAATTCACAAACGTTTTCTTGCATAAACACTATTGCGTGACCAATAGGGAAGAAGGGGTTCAGACCCCCTGGTCCCGAAAGTTTTCAATTTCGCGTGCGTGTCTGTCATCATCCACGCTCAGTAGACTCACTGCAGGGCAAAGGCCTCTCCCGTGTTGCGTCAATCAACCCGGTCCTTTGTCTTCTGCCGCAACGTTGTGCCTGCAAACTTCTTAATCTCACCTGCCCACCTAAAGTTCTGTCTCCCTATCATACGTTTGTGGAATCCAGTGATTTATTTAGCCTTAATGATGCAGCGGTTATCCTGCCGATGCTCTATACCCATGTATGCCTATGTATCCGGTCCATGTATGCGTGCACGCATACAAACGCCTGATCCTATGTAAGGTAAGTGTGGTCGAACATCCCATACACAAAAACTGCGTTGTGTATATATATATATATATATATATATATATATATATATATATATATATATATATATATATATATATATATATATGCCGGGAAGATAGATAGATAGATAGATAGATAGATAGATAGATAGATAGATAGATAGATAGATAGATAGAAAGGGGGAGGTCGGAAGGTTAACATGATACTGGCATCCGGTTTGCTAACCACCACTGCGGGTGGAGAAATAGGGGCAAGAAAGAGGGTCAAGAGAGACGCCAACATATCGTTATGTTGAAAGTATCTGCACACTTGCTAACCTAGAATATTGGTGAGAAGGAAGGAAGCTGACATCACACTATGCAACGGCATTAAAGCCTTTCGCCTCTCTCCAAATGAGACCCCTGAGGCTGGGAACAAGTCCGCGACCGAGGACCGCGGTGGACTGCTTGTAAGATCAGGCTGGTTGAACGCATTTGCATTCTGTTGAAATGAACTGTGCCTAACACTTGGCTGCGAAGTTTTAAAAAATCCAAGATTGCCGGTGTAATCACGAAAATCATGTGAACGAACTTTATAACACTTGCCCACCTCGATAAAACTGTAAAGTTGGCATGTCGTCGCATAACAATAGTGGTGACAGCCAGTTGCAGTGACAAATAGTACTATGCGCGTGTGAACGATAAGATTTTTTTTATTGCGACCACGCTCAGTATAAACTTGAACGCAGTACACGAGTTTGAGAGGGCCCCAAGCGTGCGGTGATTTTTAAATTTTTTAAACAGTGTTTTATGTGGTACAGCGTTTTATGCTTCAACTTTTTTCTTACATATGTTCGTGCTGCCGTGCAGTAATTGAAGTATTTCGACTAAAATCACTTGTCGATCGGTATGCAGGCCAATGTTTTAGAGACACAATGCGAAGATTTTGTTTTTCTTTTTTTGCGTGCCCTCGTTATAACATAGACTGTGGGGGTCTACTGAGAACAATTTAATATTCTCTCGTTTAAGTTAAGGTCCTTGGTTTCGCTGTTATTATGGTATTATACTTACAATAATGACACATGAAACTATTGCATGCCTTAATTGTGCGCATCAAACCTCATAACAACAACGAAGTAATAGAAACGTGTTAGTGTTTATGTTTTGCTCTTTTTTCGTTGGTTTTAAAAGGTTTCAATCTCTTGTTTTTTTTTTACTCTACAAGAAGCTAAACATTTGCGGCCATTGACCCACTCACGAAGATGTAAGAAAAGCGCGACATATCGTAATTACCGAGCCATTTTAAAATCATGCAATAATTCTCCATGTAGGAGACGAGTCATTTGCATTTATACACTGTGAAGTTGGCACATAGGCTCACGCCGTCCGACACTGTTCTGAAATGAAAGCGGTTGTCAACAAGTACCGTTAAAAACCTCGCGCGGGACCCATTCGGTCCGCAACCTCGAGCCTCCTAGCAGCCAAGGCTAAACATATGGCATCCCACGCCCAGAACGTGTTTCTTTCTTGTTTTCTTTGTCTGTACTCGCCTCTGTTGCTAGCGCCGTTTTACGCGCCATCATAAGTTCAAAACAAAAAAAATCCTGGCGCCGCGCCTGCAAAGCAGCCGTACGCCGTCAGTGCCAAAGCGCGCCGCACTGCTAGCTCGGAACCAATGGACTGCCCCGTCTCGAACAGAACAATGGGACGATCGTTTCTCCTATGCATGCACCACTCAAACGGGGATGCATGCAACGTTTTGCTGCCGTTCCGTCACCGACATCAGGGTAGGGAACGATCAACGCAGGCAGCGCGCATTAGCGCGCATGCAACACTTGTCGCGCGTTGAACAATGCCGCCAATGATGCAGTCGAAACGAAAGCAGCTGCGCTATCATCATCATCACCATCGTTGCTTGTCGACTGAAATGTACAAATATTCCCAAGGTCAATATGCATGCGGAAACCTCTGGTATCAACCCGATGCTCAACTACGGCCCGTAACTACTAAATTACAATGTGTCTCCTTGGGGTGCCACCTTGATTGGCAGAGCTCTTCCCCACTCTCTCCTCTCACGCGCGAGAGAAGTTCTCTCCTTCATCCTTCCTCTCCATCCGCTCTTTTCCTTTCGCTCGCTCGGTTCTGAATCAAACATGGCGGAGCAACTGGCGAAGAGGCCTGCGAAGGGGATATTAAAGCCATCCAGCAGCTTCGAGTACACCGAAGCACGGCGGCAGTAAGTGACGCTCGTACTGAACTACACGAACGTTGACGCCCGTGCGTTGTTTGCTCGTGTCAAGCGCGTTCTCACTCCCTTTTACGTCTCGCAAGAGTCGAGTTCGGTTACTGCTAGCGGTAGTGAGCAGCGCTGTGGAATGCCGATAAAACTCTCGCGTTACTCGCTTAGTTTTGGTAGCAGTGTCGATGCTTGTACGTTCAGTGGGGTACGTGGTGTAACGGTCTTTTGCGTCCAAGCGACATTCCCACGATCGTACTTGCCAGTACGCGCGTGACCGCCGAGAAAAATTAAAACATCCATCCCTCTCGCGCGAATCTTGTCTTGCGCGCGTCGGGTTACAGTAGTTGTCCCGAGTATCTTGTTATTCAGACGAAGCAATCGCGGTGTGGCGTTTCGTTTTCTTCGCTCGAAAACGGATCCCAGAGCGGCTATTATGCGTTCTCGCGTAGTTGTGCGGCGCATCGACGAGAAAGAAGCAGCGGCGCAGCATGTCAATCTTGCGGCAACAGAGCCGGCCCTTGGGTGTCGGTGGACGCGGGAGAAATGCCTGAAAGGCATGTCGCATTACTCGCCGAGCGGCCGCACGCCCAGAGGCTACTCGCCGCAGGAGTACCTCGACCAGGCGTACCGACAGCCGGGCTACCACTACTCGCCCCAGCAATCGGCCAACGACTCGCGGCATAACCACCCAGCCAACGCCGGACCTTCGAGACTCAAAAGGCCCATCCTTAAGCCGTCGGGCAGCTTTGAGCGCAGGCCGTGAGTCATTGGCGAGAAGTTTCGTCGGATGGTGGGCGATTCTCACTATGGTTGCGTTTTAAACAACAGCGTAGATGTTTACCGTCGAGACGGGCGTGCCCGCGATCGCTCTAGTTCCGAATATATCGGTGGGCTTGTGCAGTCTTGTCAATGGCACCTCGTTGAAGCTTTTCGAAAAATGCAAATGTTTGCATTTTTTTCCCATGCGTTCGCGCCTAGGAAATCTTGCATTATTTCTCTCTATTGCCAGGCGTGTCCCACAGTACGTCCTCGGTATGTAGTGTCGTTTCAAAGTAAACTGAATCATCTAGCAGTGCTGCCAAGGTGTACCACTATTGTTTGCTCATGTGCTGATTGTGTGTCGTCGTTGCAGGAGTACGCAAGACCTCAAATGGGACGAACAAAACATCAAAGAAACCTTTCATCCAAAGAACAAGGACTACGGCTTCATGATTGTCGACGAGCCCAAGACGCCGTACCACTATGACGCAACCACTGACCCAGGAGGCGTCAATCCTCAACAGTTAGCTCAAAAGTAAGCGGCATTCTCTGAAACTTCGTTAAGCCGAGTTTTACTTTGCCGTACTGTGTCCAGGCTCTGCGGTTTTCATAAGAGCGTCATGGAGGCATGTGGTGGCGCTCAGCTTGGCTGCACAATAACAAACCTAGTGAACATATCTTTATAGTCCACTCTAGTATGAGTGTAGCGCACATGTATTCCTATTTAACACCTGTGTGCAGTTGGTTGCAATACGGTAGTGAGAGCAGAGTGGGTCAAAGGCACTGTAGTGAAGGGCCTCTATGTTATTCTCTTGTGAGACACAAACATTTTTAAAGCTGTAGACACCATTGTTCGAGAACAATGGCTAAGCGTACTCGAGCACTTCCTGTCTAAGTATGCCTCTAGAGTATACTTGTGGCAATAAAAATTTTGGAGACCACGGGAGTGCATGAACAGCACCGCAGTGCCTTCTCACCACTGCGCAAGCGCATTCATTTTTACGTACCGCCCTCGCTCCCTTCATCTGCATGCTCACTGGAAAGGCAGAGAAATCACAAAGCGTCACTTTTGCAATCGTCGCGGAAGCATCGAGAAATGATATTGGGACAACAATACCAAACTTCTTTGCCTCGGTTCCAGACGTTCCACGGCGGCGAAAACACATATATAGCGTGCTTCACCAAGAGACATCACTGCTCGGTAATCTTATCACATGTGTAGATTAAAAAAGACCAATGCAATGTGCGTGTTTTCGGCGTCACAGATTATCCGAAACCAAAGCACAGAAGCGGCGCGCACCAAGCGCTACTACTAAAGGTTGGGTACTTTCATCACAATATCATCACTCAGTGCGTCTGCGGCGACTGCAAAAAGTGACACTTTGCGATTTTTCTGGCGTTCTGGTGTGTGCGTAGTTGAAGGGAGCGAAAGCGTAGGCTGGCAGGTAGAAAAGGGTGTGCTTGCACAGTGCGCGCTCTCGGTCTCCATAATTTTGATTGCCCCTGTACTTGGGTCTGTTTATGCATGTTAGGGACCTGGGCTTAGTTGCACGGCACTCTACTTATTTCTGTCAAAGCACCGTGTGTTCATTGCCTTTATGTGTGCCACTGTTATCTTTAGTCATAGCTTGACTATACCTTGTTGTTCATGATGCAATGTGTTAGAGCTGAACAACCTATTTTGAAGCACACCAGTGATCAGAAAAAGTTTCTTACAGGTAGACTGCAAACACAGTCACATACCTCTAACTTTTGCTGTGTGCTGGTGGGCTCATTTCAACATAAACTTAAACCAACTAGCATTATTTAGCATTTGTTCTAAGTAGTAATTCTTCTACACATTTCATTCTTTCTTACTTAGCATGTTTTCCAGAGCTCATCTGAACCTCCACCGTCTTGTCTGCACCTTTGACATTGCACACCGACAGACATTCCCTCTTTGTTTGTTGTTGTTGTTGTTCTTATAGCGACCATAACTTTTACCAGTGTCACATTGTCACTTTTAATTGTGATCGAAGCTGATAATGGTCATCTTGACGGTGACCTAGCTCCCAGATTGCAGTTTGACTCACATGTGTGCCCAACTCTATCAGAATTCGCTTGATCAATGCAGCAGTGACCATTGTTGATTGCGATCAATGAATACTATTCAAAATGGTCCTTATCATCATCAGAAGTGCCCATTAGATACCCATGTTATTGTATGGTGTCAACAAGAGCACCTTTATAACTTCATTGGCTGAAAACAAATGTGAGAAATGGAACACCAAGGCTGTTTAAAGAGGCTATGACGCTTAGTTTTTATAATCTGTGTGATTTGGAGTGATTCTTGTGTGTTCACAAATAATCTGGCAAAATTTTGACGCATGATCGAGCACTCAACCTATCTCTGAATATCTTTGTAAGAGCGGCCTGAGTGTTGAGCAACACTGGGGCATTGACTTAACTTCTGAGCATCTCCATTCCGGGGAACTGTTTTGTGCAATTGGGCTATTTCAGTTTTTTTCAGCTTGGCATTAAAATAGAATGACTTGCAGTGACTCAAACTTTAGCACGAGACGACGCCTCCCCTTCAGCAGCACATGACGCACACACGCCATGGCAAAATGATGGTTACCGGCTACGAGCAGTGTACTGGGTACTTCTAGGGCTCACTTAACACAAAAATAATCATTTACAGTCCACTTTATATATATACATACAGTACTCATGGATTCAAACATGGAATAAAATTTATTTTAGTATAATGACTGGTGTGTGCAATTGCTGCAGATAACCACATCATAACATATCACGACGAATCTGGTCACCAAAGATTCCCTGATCCACATGTCCGAGTCAAATCAACTGATGTGTCTCAAACTGAAAATGATGAAGACAAAAGTATGGGTGTTATCTAGCCTTAAGTTCTCTCATTTCAATCTCTGAGTACTGTACAGGCATAAGAGACCCTGCGCTTCATCTCTTTTTTTTTTCTTTTTTTTTTTTTTTTTTTTCACTGCAAACGACACCTTGTTTGGAGACCATGTCATGGCCCCTCTGAACAACTCACTCCCATGAGGAAGAATGGCAGGAAGTTGTGTTTGGGTGAAGAGATGAGTGTTTCCAATTCGTTTTTCTTTGTGCACACAGAATTGAGTCGGCCACATCGATGCAGCCTAGTGCTCTCACCCCGGCAGTTGTTCTTACAGAAGAGCAAAAAAAGGCAGAGGAAGCGGCAAGAGGTATGTCAACTTGCCATTGTGAGCACGCTTACCCTGAGTTAATTGTTTATTGAGAACTAATGCCAGTTCTTTGCATGCCATGCATGAAAAGTGACAGTGCTTCACTCGTTTATAAAGTTGTCGAAGGGGCTCTACATAAAAGCACGGGTGGCGAGAACCTTAAAACAAGTGTCATAGTGCCTGGGAATGCATCAATTATATCTTTAATACAGCATGCTTAAAAAAAAAAGACTTTCAGTTTTGACATTGGCCGATGCGATGGGGCTGACTTAAATGGCGGCTCTTGCATTGCTCTTATGCAGAATAATTGCTGGCTTTACATATCTATAAAGGAACTGAAAGTTCAGTGGTAAAATAGACATTTGTTAATTGTTCTCTTGACACTTTTGGTAAATCATCATTCCATTAATTCAGACAGGTTCTCCAGTCTCTTGAAATCCGAATCTACAAGCTTTTATTCTAAATATCGATGATATCAGTTATAATTGCATTAATATGGAATCATAAATGCTTACCTCCTTTAACATGACACGCTTTGCTAGGGCTAAGTGCTTTTATGTCTCCTTTTGCATGGACTTGCTCGGTGCAGCAGAGAAGCATCGGTTGTTCGAAGAGAGGCGCAAAAAACATTACCACATGGAGCGGTTTGCGCCTGCGGAGAACTCCGGCGAAGAAGACGAGGAAGAGGGCGAGGATAGCGAAGACTGACATTGCTTGCGGCACAAGCCACACAGGTGGGAGAGACTTGTTTGCCCCCTAGTCTGCTCTACTTGCCTCCCTTTCTCATGACGTGTTCGGAAACCTCTGCTCGTTGCTGTTTGGTTATGTTGCGCCGAGGGTTCTCAAACTTTCTGGCCCTACGACTTCTCCAAAGCCCCTAACTTTTCCTTTCTTTTATGCTTTTCTATAGTACGAAGAAGATCAGGAGTGTTTGTGTGTGTGGGGGGGGGGGGGGGGGATATTGTAAAAATTTTATCTTGCGTAGTAGGACAGCAAATATTAAGTGCTGCCATCACGTGAGTCTCTTGCCAGTCAGACTCCTGACTGCAATCACAGTGGCCATAGATTCAAAGTTTGCTGGGCATCTTTAATCTGGAACTAGAAATGAAAGAAAGAATACTTTTCGGTGGCACTGTCTTCTTTTTCACATTGCGTAAGTGTTTTAACCGGGAATATTGCTTGTTGACCTAGGAACATTGTTATATTTTTTTGGCTAATGCTAACCCTGTAGTGTCATTCTGATTTAGGGAGCTCAAGGACATACAGGCACTCATATGAAATCATCCGGACAATCAGTCCAAAAGTTTTTAGACAGTCATTACTTCTTCACACTGAATTACATGCTTTAGATATGGTACAAACAAGTTGCAAAATATATTTCTTCACAGTTCGTAGTGTTTGTTCACACTATCACTGAAGTTGTATGTAGTATATACAACTTCTGGTACCCTGAAATCTTATTCACCATTTACAACACCGACGTTTCATAAGCAGATAGGGCATCATACACTTGCACTATTAAATTCCAGCGTCGAGTCTGTGCGCTTTTGAATGCCAATGGTGAGCAAATAAACAGCACACTGCCTCAGGCAGCAGTTTCACGTTGTGAGTTGCTGCTTTCTTCAAGGTATGGTGCCATGGTGCGCGCAGCACTAGAGCGCCAATGTCACGTTGTGGCCACATATGCTAAAAGAGGTACAGGATTTAGCTAAAGAGAGTGGGAGTAAACAATGGCATCCATATGGACTGATCATGAATGTTCATATAAAAACAGGATGTTTTACTTAGAATTGTGAACAAAGCCTTCATGTAGGCTCCGAAGCGTGGCCGGTGTACGTTTTGATTGTGCTCGTCTTTCTTCCGACTCATCCGAGTCTCGGCTAATGTGGTGCAGTTTGGAAAGGTATGGCCCTTGTGATTGTGCACGAAATTCTGGCTAGTGTAATCTCCAACCAAACTACTTTGTCAGTAAACATTTCATGCTTTCATGGAGATCCTGCTTTTTTTTTTCCTATATGTTTATACATAAGTTAATTTCCTCCTCCTCGACTAGCTTCAACACTAGCTAAGGAGGGAAGATGTTTGAGGTTCGGAATGGGTCCCCTCGATGACTCGAGTGCACGGTGGCAGCGCGAAGGAAGAGCCGTAGTCCGGTGAAGAGACGCTTTATTGCGGCCTCAGGCTACTGCCCGAGTCCAAGCCCGAACATCCGCTCCCATTTCAAATCCAAACATCCTCTATTCAACCCTTGGTCGAACAAAGAGTCTTCACAAAAATCAATCACACGTGTGGGCTCGCATTGCCACAACAAATTGCAGAAACACTTTCATAATAGACACTGCATTGGTAAAAACCACGTTACCAAATACAACACGCAAAGGGATAGGTTCTTCGCATGTGACACTCTCTCCCATGCCAGGCCGTGCTGCCTCTGTCGGCCGACTTCCGTCGGTGGCCGTTCTCACGCTCGAGCCCCGTCAGTTCTCTCATTAATTGTTGCTTCCTAGAAGCCTCCTTAAGAGCGGTGGGTACACCGTTGGGCTCCGTGCGCTTACCAGGTGTGCATGCGACAGCGAGGCGCCCCGACATCCCAACAACAGTGGGGCAGATTATGGTTGTTTTCCTGCCGCCACTATGTCTCTGTCAGCCAAGTGCTCGCGTCTCCATGTCATTCTCAATGACACGCGTGCCTGCCAACAATGGCTTAAACTCAGACGGTGGCGCCTGAGCTGCCTCTTGCTAGACGCTTTTCCGAGCAAGCCTTCTCCTTCTAGTCCCGAACGGCGATTACTTTGACGGCTCCGCCGTGGACTGTGCGAACGAAGAAGTCTCCTTTCATTCCCATGCTCGGGGTCTTCCGTGTTCGCCTTCGCGGAACCATTCTGCTTCACTAGTTTACGGGTCGGGAACTGGCTACGCGCTCTACATCAGCCGCATTAATTGCGCTGCACCCAACACGCTGGTAGTTGGTGCCTCATACTAACTACATTCTAGTTACATTGTATTTTCCTTGAACAGAGTATTTTTCTCTTTTGCAGAACCTGCTCGTTGGCTGGTGCCATGCGCACTGGCGCAGCTTACGGATCGCTTCCCGTACGTCTGGGTACGCCAAGGTGTTCTGTGCTCCGACTGCGCCTGGCGTCAAATTTTTCTTGTTTGCCATTGGTGGCTCGTTGTCTTTAGCGGCAGCCATGTCCTAAGCCCACGAAAAATTTCCCTTCGAGCCCTTGGCGTGACAAACACGCCCACTGCTTTTAGGGGGACAAAAGGTGGAACTGTGCTAAGTTTTATTATTTTTTTTTTGATCACCTGCTAGCTAATGTACAATTGTAGATCGATTTTTTTTTCCTCAAATGCAGCGCTTGTATAGTGCTTGATGTATGCTCCCATTCCATTTTTTTTTTTTTTTTTCTCTCCTGCCCATCCTCGCTAATGGACTCCTCTGGCAAGCTAGGGACACGCATAGACGATACAGAAACGTGCAGTTCTGCGTTGCGTTGCACTGCGAAGAAATTAGTCAAGCATCGCCCCGTGGTGTTGTGCGAGCGAGACGGTGCGCCGCTGCCAAGTGAGAGCCACTGCACTACATCTGGCCAGCGGCCAGTCAAAGTCTTCCTAAGAGGCGGCCAGTTTGTTCTGCTTTGGGTGATGAACTCTCTCGTGCGTTGGGGCATCCGTGCATAGGAAGGGCTTATGGATGCGCATAGGAGTCCCTGTGATTGTGATCCTCGGCCATTAAAATGTGCTGCAGAATGGTCTCGCCCGTGTCGGTGCTTTCTTGTGGACGTAGACGACGCTTCACATGTTTCGGCCGCAGCGCAAACGGTAGTGCACTCCCAATGTGTAGGCGTTAGTCCTCTCTGGGACGTTGCTGAAATGGTACATTCAAACCTCAATTTAACAAAATTGCAACTTATACGAAAAGAGTTCATTATAATCAAAAATTCGTTTTCAAGGTACATTCCTAACACTATAGCTATAACAAGACTGTTCTTAAGTTTTGTTGTACAGATTTGCTGCAATAACAACAGCGACATTTGTCACGAACAATTTTGGGAGTTAATGATTTGGCATGAGACAAAAGAATGGTTTCTTCCGTCATCCTTACCAGCATTACCAACCTCAATCTCGAGCGTTGTGTTGCTGTGGAAAGCTGCAGCCATCTTATTCATTTTGCCAATAGCGTCGACCGCGGACGAAAAAAGCTGGCTTGTGTCTCAACCATAAAGTTGTGCTCACCACAAGCACATTCATTATTGCTTGTTGTGGCCAGTATTCTCAGGCTGCTCTTTAAAACATTCTTATACCGTTTAAAGCAAGGTGTGCGCCTGAGTTGGTATCTCACAAAGAAATGAGCAGCGCAACTGCACACAAAAAACAGTGGAGCAACAGTGAACTACGTCGACCTCTAAGTAAGCTTCATTTTCGTAGACATGCGTTCACCAGATGACAAAACTATTCGCCTCTATTGTTCCTTTGTGTGTTCTTCAGCTGTTCAAATGGTTGGACTCTGAGATTGACCCACTAGACTCGGAACTTTTAACGTGACTGTAGGACTGGGCCAAGCAGTATTTAGCTAACAAGACCACTGCTACGTTGCTAGGCTACTCTAAAATTTCACTTGAAAAAGGTAGTGGACAAACTTTTCAAGGATGGTTTACTTTTTCATACAAATCTCCTGTACATAGAGGCGGCTTTGTGTGAGTGTGAAATACAGTAAATGCTGATAAAATATTTTGATTTGAAATTTAAATTGGTTCATTTTAACGTGGCGTACCCGCTGACATCGCTAGAATGACGTCTGGCTACAGTGTCAATTCTGGTAACTTCATGCTCCGGTATATCTTGTTGGGACGACGTCAGGTGCCAAAACTTTCAAAATGACCGTTGTTATAACATCAAACACTGTAGTCGCTAATAGATTGAAGAGCGAAGTGGCCGTGGAAATGTCTCGACATCTTGCGTGGGCAGGTGACTAGAAGTTCATGCCTTGTTGTGACGTCAGGGTACAGTAGAAACCAGAAGTATCTTTTAAAACTGTAGTGTATTTTTTCAGGGAGCATTCACACTTATCACTGAATTTGCTAGGCTCTTGATGGCTTGGCCTCTCATTTGATGCACTATAAACAGTTGATAATTTTCGTACCGGTACCCTTTAAGTAAGGATTTGAAGCGTTGCGCTTGAAATGTCTATTCACTGTGGTTTGAGAGTGTGCCCACACAGAAATTCACAAAAAAAAAACAAGTGTGAGCTCAATGTTGTTTTTCGTGAGCGTCCTTGTGCTTGCACCTCTACAGTGCATCTGTTGCATCTAATAAGCATTCCCTTTCAGGGGGGCAAAGGTTTGTTCAATGCCCCCCCCCCCCTCCCAATTAAGTATATTTATGGAGCCTATTTTGGGCCCTTTCTTAGGTGACAAGGGGGAGAGGGGGTGACCGCGCCCGTGCACACACCTACGGTTACGTATTGAATTGAAACACCTCATGCATTCGCATGGGTTTCGTTTAGGAGTTGGAAGTTGAAGCAGTTCCACAACACAGGCCGACGGGATAAATTTTATTACAAATTTGTATTGCACATCTTGCCGTCTACATTACCAGCAAATCCAATAACAAAATTTTGAGACAAAGAAAGAAAAGACTGGCACAGTACTGCAAAAGTATCTGGGAACAATAGCTGCCTGTCGGGTAGAGAAAAACGAAATGCCAAGTTTGTACGGGATGTTGCAGGGTGTGTTCTAGGTAGCGACTTATGTGAGCTTGACACTGTAAACAAAGTGCAAAATGTCACAACAGCTTTGTGTTAACTACATTCACCTGTGCAGAAAAACAAGTAATACTGGTGTTCAACATTACATGACATTTTTCATGCTTTTGTCCTCTCTTAGACCTGTTCCAAACTTCCCGAGCTACGAAATGAGATTATTTTGTCAAGCAAAGATCACACGAAGTTTTCGTGACCGATGTGAGATTCTCAAGTATACCTTCACATTTTACAAGCACCACTCCTGCCTCTTGTAGGTACATGCTGTACAGGACACGAAATGTCAACCAAATTGGCAGGCTTCTTCGATTACCCGGTGCCTGCGTACCTAGACTGCTCGAGGTGATGTGTTCAGTCAATGAATGTTTTGTGTGCAGCGTTCCTAATGCAGTTACTCACGCGGTGGTTATACGTCGGGGACGGATATTCAAAGGCATCTAGTGTCATATTAGACCAGACTGAGGGACTAGGGAAGATGCACGCAACTGCGCCTCTTTGTACCTCACGTATTCTAACCTCGTGTATTGTACCTCACGTATTCGGACCAGAGTACAGTTCCCACTTGATATGTCTAGTCACGGCATTTAGTACTCCAGTGGTGAAATTGAGAATGCTTGCCACTCTCATCTTCAGCTTTGCTGAGAAGTCTAGGCGACGTTGCAGCAGCGAGGCATTTTCACAGTTTCCCAATGTACAGTATACATTTGCTCGTCAAGAGAACATGCCCTGGGTTGTGTTGAAAGCGGCTTCGATTTGTTTCTTTGTCGTCTCTGGTTCCTGGGGAGAGATGTAGTGAGTCCCCGACGTCAATCGGGCAGCAACTTGTTGGCATGTTTCTCGGCAGTTCGTGCCCATATACTCGAAGACGACCGCAGGACCTGCAAGGTTCATGTGATCAGGGCTGAATTGAACTCTACAATGATCATGGCTGAACTCTACAATTGCAATCATAGCACGTCAGTGCACAAAGTGTGCGTCGACTTTGTCTTTGCAATGTTCACGTGAGCAATGGTGCAGTGTGGATGTAATAAGCGAGATGCGTGTTTCGCACCTGTCTTGCAGATATGGCCCTGCAAAGTGGGCACGGTCTAGACACCTGGAGATGTAGACGTGCGAGTCATGGTTACTTCCAGTTGGGTACAAGACCGATTTGGCTGCTTCTGCTCGCTAGACTGTTCTTGCGGTGTCATGTTTCGGAAACTCCATTGCATGGTGCCTGTACATTGCTGCTTGGACTCGGATCGACATTGCCAAATTACTATGGGCCTAACTAGGCTTTTTCCTTCACATTCCAAGAAAAGTTCCAAGTATGACTCGTAATTTTTATTCAGAAAGAGTTGGTCAACTTAATTGGCAGAAGTTGGTTGCATTTATTTACATTGTGCAACTGAACTAAGCAATGTTCCTAGCTTGACCATAGTTGGCATACCGGTGCAACTGGCTAAATATTGAGGGTAGATTTCTGGCCTTGCATATGCAACACATTTAATGTTAAGCAGAACTTCTCAGTCCCATCATGTTATATAATCTAGCCTTAACACTGAATAGTAAATACATAGTACGAAGCACGAAAGCAGTGATAGATTCCTTACCCCTCTTGGCAAGCTTTCCATGTTGTCCGTTCTGAAATATGGACCGTGCCAAGCCATCCTCCAGACATGCTTCTGTAGTTTGTACAAGATCTGCCTGCAGTATAAATGTGTTTTATTAAAGGCCCCTTCACTATCGAAAATTTAGGCTCTGTAAGGAGCATTTTACTCAAGGAATCTGCGAAACGGATTCTTAGGGGAGATGAAAAAAAAATTGAACTCTCCCCTTATGTGCTGTACTACAAGTAGAGCCAAATAGCATCCACAGGTGGGGCTCTCCTTCACTGCCTTGCATACAGGTGCCGAGGGGTTGCTTCTTTTTTCTAGTTTATTTTTTAGATACGTGGCGACGCAGTTCTCGCCTGGGTATAAGTATCGCTGGTTTATACAGCGAGCCACTAGTTCGTGTTTTTCATTGAGGTGTGCAAATGAAAAGATTGTGAAATTCAGGTCATCGTGGCTGCAAAAGATTACTTTGGCTTTCTGTGGCTTCACAATCAATGCCAGCATCTTGGCACACGGACTTTCATTGCACACTTATGGGAACACAGCTACTGGTACAAGACCTGTGACTGTGGTGCTCGAAACAAGAATGCTGAGATAGGTAACACATCAAAGTAAGGCGACCTAAAACTTATATTGATAGCGATGGTCATGTATCATTTTTGTACAAATTGACCTCCTGACCCAGTAATGGCAATCAAAGATCTTTGTAGGCTATTTTGCCATTCATGAACAGAACCTGGCAAGCTTCTAGTATTTTTCAGAGCAAGTGACACACAGCAGCAAGTTGTACATCGGGAGCTGCCATGTTTTAGAAGTCCTTTTTTTTTTTCTAAGAATGATGACAAACTTGTACAAGTTTGATCATGTATTACAAAAAATATACAACACTGATTTCTTCTGCTTGCAAACAAAGAGGTGCTTTCTGTGTTGCACCAACTTGGAAAACGTCCTTGCAAGAGCGGTACACTAATTTATATGACACAAGGCTGAAAGTTTCATGCAATAGCAGGCACGCTACTGCCGCAGTATGCTTAAGGATGCCTACAGTCACAAATTCAGAACTCTGAGCAACTTGGCCGGTGCAGTGTTGTGAAAATAAAACAGTCGATCAGCAAAGCATGTAGAGAAGGGCACTCCAGCTCCACTAATATGAAACATGGAGCGTTTGCCTTCTTTTTTTTCCACGCATGCTCGATTTCAGTTCCCTACAGCATATAGGGACGGGTGTTTTAGCTCCACTAATGTCGTCGGCTATTAGTTGAGTTCACCGTTGCCGCCTTCGTTTTTAGTGGACTGGTAGCGAGTAATGAAATTTACCTAATGTTGTGGTGCATACCCATTCTTGTGACGGACCATGACTACGTGACGCCGTGAAGACATGAAAAACCGACAAGCAAAGATCCTAACCTGCTTCGTCACATCACGATTGCGTCACAAATTTCGTCGACCTTGCGACATCGTGATGCCGTGACGACAGGAGACATCGACAAGCCATGCACCTGATACATTACCTGCGCTTCCCTCATGCCCCGTACGAAAGCCATGCTGTTGTCCCGCAGCCTGTCGTCCCAGAAGAGCACCACCAAGCACCGCTGCAAAAAGTAAATGTGGTGAGGAAGAGTCGTACGTTTCGCCTGAAATGCAGATCGCTGTCGATACATTAACCTCCCGAGCCACTCACACACTAGAGCATGTGTGGCCTCAAATTCTAAGTTATATATTTTTTTTTAAATGACGATGTAAAAGTATCTGAAGGAAGATAGAGCGGAGATATAGGACAAAGCGCACTGTAATAGTATCTCTCTCAAGCACAAAGCAGCTACGTGAAGTCTATTCCAAACACTATGAAATCAGATTAAAATTTTGCACCAGCATAAAAAGTATATTTTATCGCAACCAACACCAGATGCCATCATATATGAATCTTAAAGATGGTCTTTTCACGTCTGATTACGCTAGTTAGTAATAATAACCCAGTTCAGTGGTTCTCAAAAGGGAATCCACGGACCCTAGGGGGTCCGTCGCGAAGCCATTTATATGATTCGCGAGACCCTCACCCGCATTTTTCTAAGCGTGACTGTGCCACGTATTGATGGACTGTCCAAAATGAAGTGATTTGGCACATTTGTTTGATGTTTTTGGTAGCAGTAAAAGGAACCTATTTTACACTCCAGTTGTGATAATTTACTTACGCATCCCCCCTCACTCCACTCCACTTCACTGCAAGGGGTCCCCCATTGCTTACACTAGCCCACAAGGGGTCGCCGACCCATTCATGGCTGAGAACCACTGACCTAGTTGAACAGTCACAAGATGCCATTGAGCTGGAAGGAGCGAAATATACTCCTTGGGTGAGTCTGAATGAGCTCCAATTTATTTGCCAACCTATGGCGGCACATGTCCTGCGTACTACTCCCTAGCACACTGTTGCCTATGAGCATTATCACACAACAAATGGAGAAACTTGCCTGAACGTCACGCTTGCAGCCGGGCCCAAGTGTGAGAGGCACGTTGCTTGTCTTGGGGTCCAAGCTCACTGAGACTGGACAGGATTCCACCAGGGTATGCGGCATCGCCTGCTTCGCCAACATGCAAATGCCATTGGTGATTGGTGCGCTCTGTCCGAGTTCTCTCTCTATTTTAACTTCACAATTGCGTGAAGCTCAAAGGTAGTGTGGACTGTTTAATTATAATTTACAAAAAAATGGGCCCTTGTAATTCTGCCATGTTGGGAATCATCAGAGATCACTTACAGGTCACAGACAGCGCCAGCGATCCCCACTCATGGTTGTACATGCATTTTCTTTTGAGAGAATACTACAATTGATACTTGCCTCTGGCGGTAACAGTGACCAGTTTGGCTCCGGTGGCGTTGGAGTAAAGTCGTACACCTCACTCCAGTGGTTGTTGAACGGGCTGAGTTGGGCCTTTTGTAGCTGCTCTAGAGGAGCAAATCATTGTGTTAGCATCGCTTAATTTTGTTTCTCATAGTAAAGTTAGCATCTGTAACAGAAAACTTAAAAAGGGGAATGCACTTAAACCTCGTATAACGAAGTTGCAATTTGCAAAAAAATAAGTTTGTTATGTCGGAAAATTGGTTGTATAGGTTATTCCTAACACTGTATTTATTGGAAGGCTTTACTTTACTTTGCTTTGCTTCCTTTACTTTGCTTTAACCGATATTTTGTTATATCTGTTTTTGTTATATTGAGGTTTTAGTGTAGTTGTCATCCACTTATTTTTATTGTGGCACTAGAACAGGAATCCATATGACTTGCAAAATGAAAGCTTCCTAGTTTGTTCATCCCGATCGTGGATTCGAACTCAGGACCAAAGCATTCCCTGGCAGTTGCTCAACCATCTACTTTGTACTCTGACCAAATGGCTAGCAGATTGCAGGGTGAAAAATTAATCAACAATTGCTGAGAGCATGAAAGACCATGTACTGTGCACAGCATAGTACATGGTCCCTTAGCGGTTACTTCTACCAGGTTATCTATCATCTCTGCATTTTCCTTTTCATCTATATTTCTCTCTCTCTCTCTTAGTGAAAAGAGCGAGGGTAGGCTCGGAAATCGGTGCTGGAGCCTTTTCATTGCATCTGCTGCCAGCTAGTGGGAGCAGTATCGAAGTGCTTTTGTCTAGACACCCCCCCTGGACTTTCACATAGCATGGACTCATGCACATCATTTCATAGTTTGGATTTGTTTAGCTGTCATTCGTCCAGCAAATACTGATGTAGACTTCTATACACTTCGAAAATTCTACTGACACCTTAGTCAGTCTTTACACTGCACGTATACAAAGAATTAGCCATTCATTCAATGTAACAGACTGGCTAAGTAAATATAATAGGTAAATGTCAATTAGGAACTTGTTTGAAAGAAAGAGTACGAATGTGTGTGCAAGCCACATGTATTTTATTAATGATATGAATGTAGACTTGCCTGAGAACTGCTCAAATTCCATCGTCAGACAACCAAATCGCATCTCGGAGCAGGACTCTATGGAAGGCTGGGTGGAGCAGCAAAGCCAGGAATCGACGGCAGAGCAGTCACGTGCCCGCAGCTGTTGGCATGCGGATGCAAGCCGCACGTTGTTGCAGTTTCGCAGGAACACGCTGCACGTGTAAGCCAGCAGATGTGAGAGTATTGAGAGCAGATCAGCAAAAATATCAATAGAGGTTTTGCCCTTACCTTCCCTGTGTTGGGCCAAGGACAATGTTGCAGTTGACGCAGTCATCAATAGTCACAGAGTTGATGTGGTCCAGTATGTACAGGCTTGCATTCTGCATGGGAGCTTATATATTTTAGGCATAGATTTTAAAAGAAGAGGTCTTCTATAAAAGCCCATGTTATCAAGTATATTGCTGGAGCTACAATGCACCACACATGACAGTGCTTCTGCGGTGTGTGAAGACGTACATTACGCTGACAATTGACACCAATGTAGTTGGTGATCAGAGGCAAGGGTTCATTGGGAGGGGATAGGGGTGCCTTTGGTTTCATTCAGGCTGCCACTATTAATCTCACCTATTTCTTAATTCATCTGCAGTGGCCCCATGAATTTGCGTATAGGTCTCCGTGTATTTATGAAAATTCCAGGTATAAATGTAAATTGTTCAAACTGCCAGCTCGTTTCTACTGGTCACACACCCACTGCACAGTTGCGGCTGGTACACTTGATACACAGCAAGTTTGACTTCTTTACACCCAAAGCTGCATTGATGGAGTGGTCACACGAAAAAGTTGTGAGTTGATATGGTAGATTTATATGCAGCTCGGAGTATGTACTAATCATAAATTTATGGTTCTGGTATACTTGCATTCTCAGACTTCAACCCAAGTCGATTTTTTCTAGAAAATTCAGACTAAAGGACAAGTAAATATGAGTGACTACCTCTGTTTTATTTAATTGTCATACATGCACGTACTTAATTACCAATAAGGAAACAGTCTCTTAATTTAAACACGGCATACTTGTATTTTTAATCATACAATGTGCATATTCAGCATCACATTCAGGCAAGATTGTTAGAGGGAAGATCTTGCAAAATAACATGCAGTGTAATATATGAGACTGTGTATAATGGATTTCTTGTGTAATGCTTCTGATCAGGTGGCAATCTTTGGGGCTTAATCGTGTATGAATTCTGTGCCAATTGTGAACATATTGCATTAACCAACAAAAGTAAGCCGTTAGTGATGGTGTAACCATGTGGTCTTTTACTAAAAAGTAAAAAATAATAATAAATAAAGTTGCATGAGTGTGCAATGTGAATTACTGGTATGACGTTATTTAACACTGCACTAGCCCGAGCGCGCAAAAATTATAAATATTTGAAGTGCTCTATGAAAAAAAAAATGTAATGATCTTTGTGAAAGGGCGTGCGGCCTTGTATTCATTCTCGCGTGCACAAACTGGATAAGTTTTTTTCTCTCTCTCTCTCTTTTTTTCCTCGGGCGTTCAGCACTGATTTTCGCTCGAACTTTGTGCATAAGCGCGGCTGTTCCCGCGAGCCAGTCACAAAACGTAAAAAAACGCATACGTGGCAATTTCGTATGACGAACTGTTGGCCGTTGACGTTTCCCGAGCACTTCGTGACGGTTGTGTCGACCGCATTTTCCACGGTGTAGTTCGAGGCGTCCACTTTTGGCTTGGCATCCCTGGGAAAACGCGGGCGATTCTCTTGAGACGGGCCATCACAAAAAACCGCGAAAGCAGTCGCTTCACTCACCACGAATACGCTTTCGATCGATCGCAAGGTTCTCTCGGCAGATAATTTGCTTGAGTGAACATCGTCAGTTTGCGTTGAACTGCACCCATATTGGTGCGCTATTCGCGTGCTTAACCACGTAAACTTCATAAACTAAACTGGGTGGTTTAAGTGTGCGCGTGCAACAGCGCCCGAGAGTTCTCGGCGGTGTTGTCCATTGCTAAGCACGCCGTTGCTAAGCGACGGTATTGAAGCCGTGAGGAAGCAGATCAGTGGGAAAATCGGTCGTAATAAAGAAAACAAAATAGCTTCAGAACTTTTGACGGCACCGCCACACGTTTTACGCATTGGCTGCGCCTGAGTGAGGGAGCGATGTTGCTGTACAATTTGGAAATCCTCACGAACCCCTGTGTGGTGAGAAAAAAAACGCAATTCAAATTTCGCGGTACAAGTTTTTGTTTTTACATGTGGCATTTTGTTGTACTTTAGGTAATTATTTAGCGTACTTGGAAGACATTTTAAATTTTATATAAATAACAAACATTTTTGGTGTTGTATTTAGTGGTGTAAAAAATTTTCCTAACATTACGAAACTAACCCCGTGGCTTTCTGGCTGCTTGGCCACCCTACCTGTGCGGTTTGTATGGTCGCACGCGATTGCCCGCAGACGTTCGTGTTTACGTGTTGTTTCTACCGGAATTCTCGCCCTAATGTGATCCCACGAGGTAACTAAAACTCACTGGCACACCTCCGACTCGTTTTTTGCTGTTGACGGCCCGTGTATAGCCACCGTTTGACGCGAAACCGTTGTGCCCTGAGCGAGATCGCACGTCTATGGGTGCGCTACTAGCCTTGTTTATGAACGGACAGAAATAAAAGAAACGTCGCCATCACTAAATCACGTTTAGCCGACTTTCGTAACAGTAACAGCTTAAACGCTGTCGCGCTGCCAAATAGTCCGACGTGACCGTCGTTGACGACGTGATCTCTTTCTCGGTCGTAGGAGCGCCCATTGGTTTCGCTCTGCTTCGAGCTATCTGTTGTCGGCGACGATGGAGCTCGAACGCCGGCTACCAGCAACGGCCAACGCAGTCCTCAAGCCGTGTATGGACATGAGGCAGCTCTTCGTGGACAACATCTTTGTCGAAGATGACATGCTGTGGTAAGAGCCCCCTCGGCGTTTTGCGACAGACGTAGTTGGGTGCAGTGTTGCATTTTGCCCAGCAGCTGACGTGACATACGGTGGTATGCGTTCCTCGAATTTACCGTGAGTGTTTCGGGCCCCTGGGCTATTAGTTTTGCCCTTTCAGTGTGCTGCTCAGTGGTAGATCGAAGCGGGCATTGATCGTGCTGTGAAGTTCCAATGATCTATCAGTGCCTATAAGGGCGGTAAAAGTTCTTTTTAAAATATCAGAGGAACTCTGTAACACAGTTGAACTTGTGAGCGACTGATGCAGCGTGCCAGTTCCGAGTTGGTGTTTGTTCACTAATTGCATCGTAACTGTTATTGCATCGGGCAGGCAATGAACCCGTGCCCCAGTAAGCGTCATTAGAAGCATTTGCTAACGGTAGAGAAAATGTATGTACTCATAAACAACCTATGCTGAATGCACATCTCAAGTACACTTAATGTAGAGTGTTTTCTTGTTGTTTTTTTTTTCACATTTCAGAAAGCCTCTTCAAGTGAAACCAAGTGTTCACCTGCATACATTGTGCAAACTCGTAGACACAAACACCAGTTAGTGCATCAAGTTGTTGTGTTTCTTTTAGCGCAGTCGTTAAAGATTGTATTTCCTTTTGCCATCTTTCAACTCTGCAGAGCACACCACTGGAATAAAGCTCGCCAGAGCGCAAGGCCGTGTTGGTTACGTCTTCTGTGCAGCACGGTTGGGCCACAATAATGAGTGATGCGTGACACCACTTGCATGGCAGGGGAGCCTAGTTTTGTTGGAAAAACAACTTGAAAACTCGTGTGCCTTTCAGTGCGTGTATGGAAATGTCCTGTGGAGCGATCCATCACATATTTCGGTTGTTGCAGCATTGCTAGTTGTGCCCAATTTTCTTGTTCACTGGGTTGATTTCACAAAGTATAGATCATATGCTGTAAATGTCAGCAGATCTAACCACTTTCGTTTGGTGTTTGGGCTAGAGGCAAAATAAATTCACAGCAGAATGACCTCGGGGATTTAGTCAACGAACTTTTTCTGGAAGCCGTGTGGGCAGTTTACTCCACTTTTATTGCAGAATTCGTTTAACTTGTCTGCCCAAATTTTTTCATGGAGGCCGAGCAGGTCTTATCATGATGCAAACATGAATTTTATTGTTCCTGTAAACTTCTTTTTCTTCTGCAGAGGACTGCTACTGCAGAAAGGTTTTAAGGTAGTGGCAGCATTGTGACAGTAGGCTTGAGGTTGACCTCCTTCTGATGTTTGGTGCTGGCCAATACTCTCAATGTTGCATGTAAATTAACACTTGAGGGTGTGGTGAAGGAACTGCCACTGCTGTAGCACAACTGGTAGTGTGCACTCTACATAAGGTTGTGGGTTTGACTTCCACAGATGGTCATGTCTTTTTAAATTTATAATTTTTTTCACTCCACTTCTATTTCTCTTTATCGTGTGATTGTAATTTGGCTTGTTACAACTTGAGAAAGAAAAAAATGGCGGCTCCTCCCACATGATAGCAGCTAACATGCCATGCCGTGCACTTGTGAAGGACAGTCGTGCTAGCTGCTTTTCGCTGTCATAATCGCTGGCAATATTTACCATGATGTTCAAGTTTCTGACCTGAAACCATTGACACAAACGTGGGTCTGTATTTAAAAGTTGGCTCTCTGAAACGCTTGTGAAACGCTGGACACCACAAAAATTAGTAAGCGCTACTGTCAGCTTACGCAAATTCTCTGTGGGAGTGGCAGCAGTGGCTGTGAGTGGAGTGGACGTTTCTTTTTAGGTTTTAATTGAGTATGGTACACATAATTGAGAAACTATGTGCATTGCATTCTCAGCCTTCTTTGGCTCGCTTACCCATTTACGTTCTATGGTTTGATCTATTGTACATTGTTTGTTTCGGCAGTTATGACGCAGGGTCTGAGGGCAACCCTGGCTTGTACGTTGGCGTGGAGCCAGCGAGTCCATCACGAGCTTACTTCGAAGTGGAACTTATCGGCATGGGAACGGCCGACCTAGTCTTGGGATTCCTCTGCCCAAGTGGTACGGGAATGCACCAGTGGGACTGTGCGCTGTCGCTTGCTTGCCGAGTCAGCCAGGGCAGGTAGTTGATGATTTTCTAATCAGTCGATCGCCCTCACTGGGCACATTGATCACTGCATTCTAATTACATTCTTTATTTTATGCATTGTTTGTTGCAATGACAGTTGAACTTATCAGTTATACAGACTCATGCATAGTAAATGAACGTTTGTGAAACTAAAATGTTGTCATTCATCCATCTCTTTGAAACATGCAGTTACAAAGGTAGCTTGTGTAGATTGATCAGAAAATAAAAAGTATTGCCATTGAAAAAGGACATGCCCTGGTCTGAGATTTGAATCCGCGACCAAAATCTTTCGGGCATTCATTCTGCAATCCGAGCTAGCCAGCAGGCCAGCATATTGCTGTAGAGGAACATCAGATATAACAGTCTTTTTGTATGAAATGCACAATTTGGTTCCACAATGTTTCATCCCAACCAAAAATGCTTTTGTCAAATCCTTTTGAATGTCAAATAAAATATCATATTCCAAGCAGTAGTAATGTAGTCAAGCACACAATAAGACATGAACATGCAGTTCTTAAAAGTTTTAATCGACTCAAGCTAACTAAAATAGTATATTGTCTATAAAAACAGTCCTTACATCAATAAGCCTCTGTTTCAGCGTGATTGAGTCGGTAGCATGGGCCACCAGAAGAATTTGACCACTCTTTATTGCACTCCCAAGTGTTAGTGTAGTAATGATTATGTCTTCCTACTTGCCCTTTTGGCTTGGTGGTTGGAACATTCTAACATAGTGTGCAAGGTTGTCTGTTGGAGTCTCAGCCGCCACATTGCAACTAAGAAGGAGTACACGTGCACTTGAATATTTTCTCTTATGGGCACAGTGAAGAACCCTGCAGAATTGATCCAGAGCACTTAACTGTGGCATCTCCCTTAGTATAAGCGTTGCTTTGGGGGATTCTTCTATGCTAGGCTGGCTCGTGTTTTGTCTGTGGGCTGTTAAAGTCGAACCGTTGAACCTTGATATGAGGAACTTCACCACAATGAAAGTCTTGATATAACGGAGTACCCTTATCTAAATTTTTGTGTACTTCTGACAGGCTATCGGAGTGTGAAAGCTGTATGCCTGGTGTGGCCTGCAGACCCGGTGACAGGATTGGATGCGGCCTCGCCTTTGACCCCAAGGTGCGGTTTCGCAACTGGGGCACCGTTGTCACTTTCTTCATCATACATAACGGCAAAGAGGTAAGTAGAGCTGCTGTAAAGTTATGACGAGGCTGCTAGCATTAAATTTAAGGTGGCGTAATCGTGAACAAATTGCCTTTGTTAACTTTTCCTCAACTAAGACACCTGTCAGACAGGAAAAGAAAAATCTGTAATTGCGGTAGGACAAAACATTGCAAGATACTACTACCATCGGTCGATGACCCTTAAAAAAAAAAAAGACACTGAAAGTGAATAGAATTTATTGTCAGAGTGAAAGTTCTGTGTGTAATAATTCCTAGAATATCAATATTATATAAAGAAATTTCTTAGTAATTGAGAAAAGAAGTGTAAGACACTATTTGTGGCATCAGTGGGGCATTCTGGTGCACCAGCGTGATGACGTAGTAGGGCTAAGTGCAATTTTATCTTATTCATTCAATGCTGCAAACTCATGGTCTAATCAGAGCAAGCGATACAAATACAATTGAACCTCATTATAAGAGACATTCACTGGGGAGAAATTCCTGTGTTTTATATGAGGTGGTCTCATATAAGCAGGCTGCATATTCTTATCAACCCTTATTTCAATGTGTGTCTCTTCAAAAGGGGGTGCAACTGTACCAAAGGAGCAGCAATGACAGAGAAACAACAATAAATGCTGAAGAAAGTTTTTGTGTAGTCTGATCACATATTTTGGTAAGGCCACTTGGCGACAAGTACTCAAACTGCTCATGACGCAAAAAAAAAATCTCAGTGCATTACATGGTGGAATAAATTGCAATTGTGCATTTCAGTTTTGTCCACTGAAAAAATATCTTCTGACTGTTACCCTTGGTAACAACACAAGTTGCATTTTCGCCAGGCTCTGACCTTGTGTGGTTGTTGACTAACTGAGCATGGGCATAGCTATGTCATGCGGCCATTTTGGAGACAGGGATTTCGAATTGCACTAATAATGTACCAACCACTAAAAGGGGATATCCCTTCAAGCTAAGGTGAGCATTTCCTTCGTTCAAAAGAAGCACTACAAGGTTTATGAAATGCTATTTCAACAATTCATGTTGCCTTAATATTTGTCTTTAGTGTCTGCTTAATATTCAAATGCCCTGTACCACCAGACATACTGAAAATATTTTATTTTTCAAGCTGTTCTCTCTTATGTCTTTTTGAAGGTCTGGACGTAATTCGGGAGAACGTTGTGTGCAGGTCGGGAGGTCCACGTCGTTGGTGTCTGGACGTCTCCATCCTGCCATAGTTATGCGAGATCCTGGGCATCAGGTTCGGCTTCTGGGTGACGGGCGACCCACTTCGTGCTCGCTTACAGAGGATGCACTCATGTGCGTTGACTCAAATGAAGACGAGTGGCTACGGCTACACGACGTCCATCTTAACGGACCCGTGAGTCAGATGGCTAGACGGTGCTACTGTGCTTGCTCAAGGTGTTTGAGTTGTAACATTTTCTAATGTATTGCTATGTGTGCTCGATTCTAAACACACCTCCTGTCCGCTGCAGTAGTATAGTGGGTAAAGTCCTCCTTTGCTTAAACGGAAGTCGCAAGTTTGATTCTAGCCTCGGCGTTGCATTTAAGTGGAGGTGAAATGCGAGAGGCCCATGTGTGGTGCGATGTTGGTGTACGTTAATGAACGCCAAATGGTTCAGATTTCCGAAGCACTCCACTACAGCGTGCATCATAATATTATCATGGCTTTAGCACATATAACGCCCACAAATTATTATTATTACATTCTAAACATGCCTTAAAAACACAAACCCGGTGATATTTCAACCTTGGCATTGTCTGGCTGTTTCAAGTTTGTGAGTAGATACTTGGAAAAGGAAAAAGTTCGTTGTCATGTTTTGAAAAAGTCGCCCTCCTTTCTTGCGCTCTCTCTGGCTGTGCAGTTGCAGTGACTGCATGCCATCAATGGCATGTTCAAAGGCACACCGCCTTGTCATCGTTTGGCACTGATGACCTTAAAACATTTTTTTTCTGTTTTAACATACTGTCACCCATGACTCTTGTTATGGCATGTTAGCGACTAGAGTTGGGAGCGCGTACCGCATTTTCCGCGCACGAACAGAGTCAATGTGCCGCGAACGGCGGTGTTGCCGGCGACCACGTTGGTCGCAATAGCAACGGAACATGAAACATTTTTCTGTCTTGAAGTTGCCATAGTTGAGTTGTCCCAGCGATAGATACCGGTGCTATCACCAGACCAACAGGCATGCGCCGCTGTTACTTTATCTGGTAGAGCGGGCCTTGAAAGCGAGCTGAGATGTTGTGCCCTAAACGTAATCCCCATTGTAAAAATAAAGGAGGGCGGGGGGGGGAGAGGGGGATGTTTGAAATCTTATTGGCCTTCTTCTTTGTCACTATACACTGATGCCCTGTGGAAAAGCATATTATGATTAAGAAGGGGCTGTTAACACTACTCACAGGACAGCGAATTTCGTTCAATTGCTAATGCGTGCATACTACTGCATAATTGTAAGCACTAGTATGACCACTTATGTCTGAAAAAGTTATTGGCAATCATTTGGAGCAGTGTATGACACTTTTTCAGCCTTTATAGAAAAAACTTCGCAAGTTTTTTCTATAAAGGCTGAAAAAGTGTCATACACTGCTCCAAATGATTGCCAATAACTTTTTCAGACATAAGTGGTCATATTTTTTTGTTTGTTTGTTTCCCCGCCACCTTTACTCGTCAGTTGCAGAATGCGCTCCAAATAGCAGATTGGCCGATACAGCTTGTTTGCTCACATATTTCCATAAATATGACGCAACCGTGCCGCAGCCATGAGGTTTCAGCAGAATGTGGTTTTAGGGGGGTACAAACCTATGTTGCATCGTGGCTCGTCGGGTAGGGGGAGGGTGCTGGTGTAGCTTGTGTGGGTTCCAGTGCTGGTGTGGCCTGAATGGGCCGAGTGCCCCTTTTGCACCCTCCAGTCGCAGCCCACGCACATAGTACATCTAAATCTGCCTCACAGGTGTTGGAGTACTCGGGCCGAGGTACCAGCATGGTAGACGTCGGCTTGGCTCAGACCCGCAGTCCACTCAGCACCACGAACCACTACTTCGAGCTGGAAATTCTAGACCCCGGAGAAAAGTGCTGCATTGCCATTGGGCTGGCCCACAGGGTAAATTTATCTCTTGCTGCTGCTAAAAAGATTTCTGGTCTGCTAAGACCGGGCACAGCGTAATTCTTAGTTGGCCAGAAATCACACAAAAAGAAGTTAATATTTTCAAATTGGCAATTAAGAAATATTCAACTCTATTTTGCACAAATATCTAAAGTTTAATTACAGATAGAGCAATGTTATTGCCAAGCCTTATTTCATCTTCAATATTTTGTTTAGAACAACTTGTTGCTAGAAAAGTGTGTGCATGCCTATTAACACAAAGGGAATAACCGTGCTACACAGGTATAAAAAAGACGCACACACTGTGCCTGTGTGTGTGTCTGTTTTATATGTCTGTAGTGCAGTTATCCTGTTGGTGTTTTCACTATTTTGTGTTGCTGATTTTCCATAGCGTAATGTAATGTACCAGTCAGGAGTGTTATATTTCATTGAAATGCTTTTATAATTTTTTTATGGGGCCTTTATTCCTTGAACGGCCTCTGCAAGAGGTTTCTAGACTGGCTGCTAAATTTTAAATGCTTGCTAATCCGAGGCTTTCTTGAATTTTCTTGCAGGATTATCCCAGGTACAGGCATCCTGGCTGGAACGAAGGGTCCATTGCCTACCATGCAGGTGAGCCCCGTGTGCCTTCAAAAAAAAAATTCAGCAAACTTTTCCGAAATCTGCTTCTGCACTGCTGCCTGTCGCAACTGATTGTTTTGGGTCAGTGTGGGTGGTGGCAGCTGCAGAGAACGGCGTCAGAATGCGTTGCCGCGTAAAAGCCGATAAAAAAGCTTCAGAATGCCTCCCCCCCCCATCACTGCCATTTCGGCTATGAAGAAACGCCTCTGTGTGAGTGAACTTGCGTCCAGCATTTGCGTGCAGTGCTTGCCGATCTGGGATTTCTTAGTTGCGAGTAAACTGTGATCGTGGGTGTGGGAGCGCATGCTTCTCTCATGCGTTAGCAGGGCTGTTTTAACGTCGTTCTTCCGATTGGTATGCACCATTTTTTGATTGGGACTGTGTCCCAAATGTTCATTGCAGGAGTAGAAGTCTTGGGAAAATGTTCCCTAGACGTAGGTGCAGTTTCAACAGGTAACGTAGGAAATCGAAAGTGCACTGAAATATGGTCGTTTAATTGATAGTTTGTTATACAGTATACTCTCAGTAAACGAAAATCTGTTAAACAAAACTACTGCCTAAATGAAACTATTGCCTCTGTAATGCTTGGTTTCGGGTTTGTATTCTGCACCCATGTTCACCTCTCAGTAAACGGAACTCCTGTTAAATGGAACATATTTTTCCGGTCTCTTCAGGTTCCGTTTACTGAGAGTCTACTGTGTCTTGTATAGTTATAAGTGGATTTGACTTTAAATAGAAGGCCACGAGTTCAGTTTCTTGTGACCCGATTCTTATGATCGGTAAACTGAATGCAAAGTACAAAAGTGCAATGCAGTAAATTTATTTATTTTTTTGTTGTACATTGTGACTTCGGTTGAACTGACACCGTGTTCAAGTGCTCAACTGTAATATGTAGTGCAGTCACATGCAATGTAGGCTGAATGCATAACTGGCGGAGGATTAAAAAAGCTACAATGAATATGATTTTTTGAGGAATGTGTTAATATTTAAAATGTTAAATACAGTATTTTTTCAAATACCATAAAAATACTATAAAAATCTGGGCGTAGTCTTAAGTTCCTTTTTAGTTTTTCTAATGCAAGATTTTGGTATCGGATTCTAGTTTTTATGATGAGAAATTTTGGCCCTGGACTGTTATAGTTTCAGCCGACAATTCATGTTTTGGTTTCGACATTGCTCGGTGGCGCTATTATCATCATCATTATCAGGCCTCTGCATTAGTATGGTGTTAGGTAGCGCTAGTCCTACCTCCCGATCGCCATAGTGATGGACGAGTGGCATAAATACGAGCAACAACGTAATAACCCGCGATATGTTCAATAAACTCTAAGATAAGCTGCCTCCGTGAAAGAAAAAAAGAATAAAGCATGCAAGAACGCGGTGCTTGTGTTCGTAAAAAGAAGTATGAATGTGAGACAGACGTTTCATTTCAATCTGAACATTTTGTGTCACCTAGGTAGTATGAATGCCGGCCATACTTATGAGACTGCTCATGCACAGTGGCAGCTTTTGGCTGTTTTCTGTATGTACGTACAGATGCCACTGCAACAAATTCTTTTTTGCAACTCGTCGTTTGCTGTACACTATGCGAGGACCTAAAATGTAGTATTGGGCTCCCTTTAAACACAAGGTGGTTTTAGCTGCCAGAACCATCAAAAACTGCGTTGTGTGGCGTCAGTTTGGCCCAGACGAGCGAAGCATTCATGTTTTGGGGAAACTGAAGGAAGCCCTTTTTGTGTTTGGTGGCCTAAGAAGATCATGACGGCCGAAAAACGGAGCACTTTCTAATGTTAAATGGGAATTGACATACTTTATTCGAGAGCAATTGAGCACTGTGGAGGCTCCCATTGATACTCGTGCTCAACGCGTTTCGGTGTCACAACTCACCTCTTGGAAGCGACTGCTGCACAACTCTTGCGCGCTGCGCTTGTCGTCACCTTGGGAGATACAGTCAAACCTCAATATATCGAACACAGATATATCGAATTATTGCCTATATCGAACGGTTCCTATATCACGCAGGACATTGCATGCATTATTGATTTCGAACAAAGTTTGACATATAATGGATATATCGAACTCGGCCACTCCAAACCGCCCGCGCTCCATTGACAGGCGGTGAGCTTTCCCGCAACTCTCGAAAGTAGCGGTAGAGCGGCGGGCGTTTACGAATGCTGCACACATCGATGGCGCTGAGAGACTTTAACATATCGGCATACGCGCGCCGCAGCCTTGCGGTAGAGGTTCTTGAATGAGGAAAGTGAAGAGAAAAGCGCGGAGCTGTTATTGTCTTTCAATACGAAAGCACCGACACGGCTTCGCGCAGGGGAAGGGGGAGTGGGAGGTAAAGATTGAGGAGGAAATTATAGGAGGGAAAGGATGCAGACGACTGTCTCGAATGCGGCCCGTGCTGCCGCCGGGAAAGGGAAAGCAGTCAGGCGAGCTGGCATGGGCGCGCCATGTGCGCGCTTTACACCAGGACTCACGCCGCAGCCTTGCAGCTTGCAGTCGTTGCAGTCTCTATGGTGTCAACTGCACACTGCGCACTTGTTGCAAGCTCCTCCCCTGTAGCATCGGCAGGCATCGGTCGTTGTGCTCGCAGTGTTTGTGCGTTTCGAGTTAGGCCTGTCGCGCGCTGTGGTGCGCGACAGGCCTAACTGTGAACGGCGGAGCTCACAGATGTGGAGATTGTCGCCGAAGCAACTACTGAGCAGCCAAACGAAGACTGTGCCGAGGTGGATCCCGCAGTCATTGATGGTGCCCCGCTCCCGACATCAGCTGAGGTCGTAGCTGCCTTGGCCCTTGTGCGCCGCCACTGCGGCGCGATTGAAGGCACCGGCCTATCACTTATGGATCGCCTCGACTATATTGAGGACGCAGTCGTCAAACACGCCATGGCCAACAAAAAGCAGGCTACTCTTTTTCAATATTTTAACCAACACAATAAATACTATGTTTGAATCTTGAAGTGAGTATTTACAGCACCACGCTTGAACCACGTTGCTTGTTTTCAGCAAGCTGTTGACGCATTTTTTTCGTCATTTTTTTATATTGAATTCTGGATATATTGAACTATTTCGCGATCGCCGCACCGTTCGGTATATCGAGGTTTGACTGTAATATCGACCTCAGCTGCTTCATGTATGCCTAAATAAACTATTTAAGGTGGGATTAAATGCTTGTGCGCTCGCGCACTTATCATTTGGTGGGGAGAATTCGGCCTTCTCTGGAACAATTGCGTTAGTTGCCTGGCCCACAAAGGTCACTTCGGTCTCTGCACAGGCCGCGTTTGCGAAAATAGCGTGTTTTTTTCATACACAGTGAGGTATAACAACTGGGACACTGGCTAGTTTGTACTCATCAGTACCTGGGATAACGTATCGTGCATCGTTTCTGTTTAAACAGTGCGTTACGTGTCGAGCGGTAAACATTCTCAAGTGCATGTGTATGATGAGGTCGGGAGGGCACGGCCGTGGTAAAATTGTAGCGCATACGAAGCGATAGAAAAAAAAATAAAGCAGGTTTTCTTAAGAATGCGAGAGGTGCACGCTCACGCGTGCTCCACTGCATTTTACTTGCAGTGAAGGTATTGTAGACCGCGGCGAGCGAGGTCGCTCACTTTCTAGGTGTTTCTTCGCTTGCAGAACGGCAGTGAGGAAAAAATAAAAGAAGGCAGCATGAAAACATGTGGTCAACTTCACACTGCAATTCATTCTGACACTGTTCTCTGCATTTATGATTGCTGACAATTAACTAAACAATGCCTTCGAACACAAGATGCCATAAATGCAAGAAGTGATAACCCTTTTTCGCATAAAAGTTCCCTGCAATGCTCAACTCGCTTACGCCAGAATGTGCCGCAAAAAGCCTTCTGCCTTTTAGCAACAGTAGTGACTGGTCAATCAATGGTAATGACTTCTGCGCAGTTGGGATGACGCCTTAACATTTCGCTCATTTGCCGACAACCTTATCACAGTCATCTGCTGATATCTACTTGGCTGTGCGTTTTTAAACTGTTTGGATATTGGTATAAGCACATTAGGCTGTTCACAAGTTTTTTGCTGCTGTGTCATGCGAAGCCACTTGTGCGCTGCTTGAAAAATGCATGTCTTCCTCATGTGAACGAACAGGCTACTCGCCTGTTTGCATAATTTTAAAGACGATAGTCTTCCTTGGGTACTTTGACACAAAAATTTTGGTCTGTCTGTCTGTTTGTCCGCCTTAACGATACCCGAAACATTTTAAATCGAACCCCATCTTCAGCGACCACCAATATTGCACAAGTTTCAGCATTTATGCTTGTGCGATTATCAAATAAAAAGCAATTATTGCGCATATCTCAGGCACAATGACAGCACATCAATATTCTCTAGTGTGTCTATACTAGAGAAGGCATACATCTTTGACAACATTTGCAGAGAAACATTCAGATACGGAGCCAATTTTTTTACCCAGCCAGACAGAACTTTGTCAGAGCTGTACTTGCCACACCCGAGTATGATCCGGTGCAAAACTTGCATGAAGAACGCACAAATGGGTGCATACATTAGACTGCAAGACAGCCTGGAATGTGATGGAGAGAGCCGAGTAAGCTACGTGCTGCATGCATCTAGCCAGAGATGATTGTCTCCATGGCGATATCGCGCTATAGTGCCACGTGCTCAATGTGAACTAGATTTAATTAACTTGTGAGCAAACAGCGGGCATAGTTTAAGACACGAAAAGGCCCTACCTTGTCACCAAAGAGGTTGTTAGCATTTTTAATAAAATATGCAGAAAAAAAACATAAATGCACTTTTCAAGGGCGAGTCCACATACAGTGTAACATGCCAATGTAACAACCACTTATTGCAGAACTTTTGAGTTCATTAATAACGAGTTTCACCTTATTTGAACTTTAAAAAAATAAAAGTAATGGTTTATAAAAACAAATATAACAATGAAAAAAATCATAGCACATCCACGGTGTGAATGATGATGAGTGGGGCTAAGCATCCGTCGATTCATTCGTGCGTCCGTCCATTTGTTGTTCTTGCCTGCAGAGATATGTCTCGTGTACATCGGCATCCTGAGTGACCTTGGTGTTTGATGTTCGCAATCGTCAGGCTTGATCGCAAAAACAGAGTCATCCCACGATGGTCTTCATCATGAGATTTGAAGTGGAATAAGTAGAACCACTAATTGTGGGTCCCACGAGTCAAATTTAAGGTCTCAAACATGCATCTGCAATGTTTCTGACGAGCGTGGCAAACTATTATCATCTGGTCGTAGATGTTACACTTGCAGCTGCCAAACTATAGTGTACTTATAATCTAAATATTCCTTGACCTGCAAAAGCAGAATGAGTGTAACTGCGTCACTAAGTGCTCGCTTGTCGACAGCTGTGACGTTGTAACGTACATGCAGCATACAACACATCCACCCGCAGCAACCATTAGACCAATCACAAGGCACGCTAGAGCAACATGGCAGAAGCTGCCGAGAGGCCTCAAAACAAACGTTAAACATATATTTTTTTTGTGTGTGTGTTGTTAACTTAATGAAGGACCCAGCTGAAGGGCGAAGTTTTAAAACGGAGAACCGCTCTTTCTGATAAGCACAGTTACGGCATTGTGGTGCTACGTAAATTTTTAATATTATAATTTAGAATGTGCTTCAATGTCTTCTGGCACTTTTTTTCCCTGTGATTTCGCTTGAAAGTACAGTCGAACCCACTTTTAACGATCCCAGATATAACAATCAATTGGTTATAATGACCATATTTCGGGGCACTTACGATTTTCCTGTGCTGCCCATATAAACTACGAAGTGACAAAAAAAAGTTAAAACAGGTATTTTAAAATACGTGAGAGGTGCACGCTCGCACATACCCCACTGCAGTTTACCCATGAAGAAGATATCGCAGACCGCAGCGATCACCGCACGCAGATTTCGGACGCTGCGAGCGAGGTCTCTTACTTTCCTAGCATTTCTATAAGGGAAATAAGAAGAAAGGAGGCAGCATGAAGAGTTGCGGTCAATTTTCGTGTGGCAAACTTTTCTGGCGCCGTTCTTTGCACCTACGACCACCGCCGACTAATGAAACAATGCCTTCGAATGCAAGAAGCGATGACTTTTTGTCGTTTAAAATCTCACTGTGACGCTTAACTCGCTGACGCCACAATGAGCCGTGAAAGGTGTTCTGCCTTTTGGTAATGGCAGTGACTGGTTGGTCAGTGATTACAACTACCGTGCGGTGGCGGCGAGGTAGCCGGTAGCGATGAATGTGCCACTCTGACCCATTGCTGACAACCTTACCACAGTCATCTGCAGATACACTATTTGCTCGGCTGCGCGTGTTTAAATCGCGCGCAGTGGCGGTGGTACAAGCCTATCATTTTGCCTTCGGCCGCCAGTGTCGTGTGAAACGGCTTTCGTGCGTTTCTTGCAAAATGCGTGTCTTTGTTGTGTTGAACGAACACGCTGCTCGCCACACCTGAGCACGAAGCATGCACTAATAACGCACAAACACGCACATACAAAAGGCTGCAAACGGCCCAGCAGGCGACAGTCAAGGCCGAGTAAGCGACCTGCTACATGCAACTAGCCATGGGTGATTGATTGTGATACCGCGCTTTAGTGGAACGGCGCAAGTTTGCAGGGAATGTGGTTTAACTTACTTGTGAGCACACAGCAGAAGTCGCTTAACATGCAAAAAGGCCTTACCTGTTGCGGGAGGAATTTTTAATGAAAATACACCAAGAAAAAAAGGTTCCGTCGCTAAGTATACGTTCTTAAGGGCAGGTTTATTTACAACGATCTGCTGATATAACGACCACTTATCACAGCACTTTTAAAGTCGTTATAAACGGGTTCGGCTGTATTTTCTTAGAAAAATACCCTAGAAATATTTCAAAATTATTTGATTCTAATCGCACTTGCAATTTATCATTTGCATTCACCTCGCACCCAAAATTTTGCTATTCACGCAGCTCTCGATTCTTTGCTAGCTCTGAGGTTACCTACTGTCACCTCTTCTAAAGGATGTGTTTTTCTCTTTATTACAGATGATGGCAAGATTTTTGTAGGAAGTGGTGTGGGATCACGGTTTGGACCCAAGTGCCAGAAAGGTATGGCGAAACGTTTTGAATGTCTTGTAAATGAAGATTGTTACGTACAATCCAAATGGTGTACGAATAACTGTTTATTGGGGCGAACTTGTGCCCGAAAAGTAGCGGCGTCTGTAACAGGCGATCAGCAAAAGGGGATCAATCTCCGAGAGAAAAAAAACCCTCGAGCGGTGGTCCACTTCTTTTTCATCAAAATCCCGTGCTTAGGAAGCGCGCGCCGTCGCGGCTTTTTCTTGTTTGATCATCAAGCCGCTGGTCTCTTGGGGGGGGGGGGGGGGCGCACGAACTAGCGCGCGTAGTTTGAATACTGCGTTCGCCTTGCGTCATTATCCCTCCTCCGAAAACGCATCGTCCCGATGCGTAAAAGCAGTGTTGCTGAGATGGTCTGAATGCGTGATTTCCAATGGAGAAATAGGTATTCCTCATAATCGGGTGTGTATAATTCGATGTTCATTGCCTGTCATAGTATGGCTTCATTCTGACTACATGCACGATTTCTGTGCTCCTTCGGCATCTTGATGAGCTCACTTGTCCTTCCGGTGACACCTCGTAGTTCAAGGAGCTGACGCGACGAAGGACTCGGTAAGGGCCGAAATAGCGGCGCATGAGCTTTTCGGAAAGGCCAGGCGTCCGCACAGGAGTCCAAATCCAAACTAGGTCGCCTGGTGCGTAGTCGACTCCTCTCCGACGAAGGTTGTAACGGTTTGCATCCACGCGTTGTTGTTGTTTTATGCGATGTCGCGCCAACTGCCGTGCTTCTTCGGCTCGCTGAATGAATTCGCTGATGTCAGGCTTGTGCTCTGTATTGTCTTCTACAGGCAGCATTGCATCTAATGGTGTGGTAACTACTCAACCATAGACTAGCTGGAATGGCGTCACTTTAGTAGTCTCCTGCACAGCAGTATTGTAAGCGAAAGTGGCATACGGCAGTATCTTGTCCCACGCACGGTGCTCCAAGTCAACGTAAATGGACAACATATCGGTTAGAGTTCTGTTGAGTCGCTCGGTTAGCCCATTAGTTTGGGGGTGGTAAGCCGTTGTTTTCCTATGACTTGTGTGGGTAAGTTTCATAATGGACTGCGTCAGATTGGCTGTGAATGCAGTTCCTCGATCCGTGATAACCACCTTTGGGGCACCATGCCGTAGTACAATGTTAGTGACGAAAAATTCAGCTACTTCTATAGCCGTGCCCCTGGTGAGAGAGGCTGTCTCGGCATACCGGGTTAAGTAGTCTGTCGCCACTACTATCCATCGGTTGCCCATTGATGACGTGGGAAATGGACCAAGTAGATCCATTCCTACTTGTTCGAACGGAGACTCAGGTGGTTCAATTGGTTGGAGAAATCCTGCAGGTTTCAATGGAGGCGTTTTGCGTCTCTGGCAATCTCTACATGTCCTTACATAATGCTGTACAGCATCCAGTAACTTTGGCCAGTAGTATTTTGTGCGGATGCGAGCCAATGTTCTACTCACTCCGAGGTGTCCTGCTGCTGGGTCATCGTGGCAGGCTTCCAGGATTTCGGGTCGCAAGGCCGAAGGAACGACGAGTAGGAATTTCTCCTTGCTGTGCTCGAAGTTTCTTTTGTATAAAACGTTGTTTCTCATGAGGTACGAGGACAATCCCCGGACGAAAACTCGAGGAATACGCACGGGTTGCCCTTCCAGATGCTTGATCAGTTTAAGCAACTCCGCGTCAGATCGCTGATATTCAGTCATGTCTGCGGTGCTCACGGCCCCAAGAAACGGAAAGTCGTCTCCATCTTCCCCAGGTGCAGATTCCATTGGTGCGCGTGATAGGCAATCAGCATCGCTGTGCTTGCGACCCGACTTGTATACGACTGTTATGTCGTATTCTTGCAACCTGAGGCTCCATCTAGCAAGTCGCCCAGAAGGGTCCTTTAGGCCTGCGAGCCAGCACAACGAGTGATGGTCGCTCACTGCTCGAAATGGTCTACCATATAAGTACGGTCGGAATTTCTGTATGGCCCATATTACCGCCAGACATTCTTTTTCCGTCGCCGAATAATTTATTTCAGCTCTCGAAAGAGTGCCACTAGCATATGCGACCACTCTTTCCTCTCCGTTTTGCAGCTGCACAAGGACGGCGCCTAGTCCCAAATTGCTTGCGTCCGTGTGAATCTCTGTTTCGGCTTCTTCGTGGAAATGTGCCAGGACAGGGTGGTGTAGGAGTCGCTGTCGTAGCTCATTGAACGCCTCTTCTTGCTCGCTTGTCCAGGTGAAAGGCATGTCTTCTTTCGTCAGTCGGGTTAGTGGCTCCGCAATCTTCGAAAAATCTTTAACGAATCTTCTGTAATAGGCACAAAGTCCTAAGAATCGTCTCACAGCCCTTTTATCTGTCGGTCTAGGAAACGTTTCTACAGCTGCTGTCTTTTCGGGATCAGGTCGAATGCCTTCAGAGCTAACCACATGACCGAGGAAAAGCAGTTCATGAAAACCAAAATGGCACTTTTGGGGTTTTATCGTCAGCCCTGCTGAACTAATCGCTTCCAGCACAGTACGTAGTCGTTCCACATGCTGATCGAAGGTGGCCGAAAAGATCACGACGTCATCGAGATAAACAAGGCAGGACTGCCATTTTAACCCGGACAGCACAGTATCCATCATCCGCTGAAATGTGGCGGGTGCGGAACACAGGCCAAATGGGAGTACCTTGAACTCGTATAACACATCTGGGGTCACGAAAGCAGTTTTCTCGCGATCTCGTTCGTCCACCTCTATCTGCCAGTATCCGCTCTTGAGGTCTAGAGAGGAGAAGAATTTCGCGTCTCGTAGTCTGTCAAGGGTGTCATCGATCCTTGGAAGGGGATAGACATCCCGCTTTGTGACGACGTTCAATTTTCGGTAGTCAACGCAGAAGCGCAAGGTCTGGTCCTTTTTCTTTACCAGTACTACAGGTGAGGCCCATGGGCTGGCCGACGGTTGAATTACGTCGTCCCTGAGCATTTCTTCAACTTGGCCTCTGATGACTTCTCTCTCTTTTGGTGACACTCGGTGCGGGTGCTGGCAAATAGGTCTAACAGATTGATCGACTATGATGCGGTGTTTGATGATAGATGTTCTTTGCACTTTCGATGACGTGGAAAAACATGAGGCGTACTCCCGTATAAGGCTCTCGATTTTTTGTTTCTGGTTCGGTAATAGGGCTGCTTCGATGTGGATAGATGCGAGTATGGAATCTATACCGTCAGGGTGCAGTGGTGCAGTCTCGGAAGAATTCAAATCTGTAATCGGAACGTAATCATGCAAGTGACCAACCACAGTTCCCTTCGCAAGGTGCTGCACCTCATTTCGGAAATTTGTCGGGAAGACACTCGTACACCCATCACGCAGTCGTACAATACCTCTTGCTGCACAGATCCCTTTCTCGAGTAATAGCCCAGTATTGCTTTCTGCCATTCCTTCATAGTCGTTGTACACATTGCTTTTTACGGTGACAACGATGATGGATCTTGCAGGTACTGTTACATCATCACCTGCAATCTGGAGCGCATCGAATCGTTTTTCACTCTCGAAAGTCGCGATGGCGTGTTTTGTCGAGAACGAGACGCACGTTTCCGGCAAGTTTATCACTGCGCCATTGGCCTGCAAAAAGTCCATTCCGATAATTACATCTCTTGAACACTCCGACAGGACAATGAAGCTGGCGACGTAGGTGAAGCCGCGTATCCCAACTCTAGAGGTACACATGCCTGCCGGATCAATAAGGTGTCCCCCGGCGGTTCGCACTTGTGGTCCTATCCAAGGGGTCAGCACTTTTTTCAGCGTTCTGGCAAGTCCCCTGCTCATGACGGAATAGTCTGCGCCTGTGTCTACTAAAGCATTCGTTTCGTAGCTGTCTATAATTACCGACAAATCAGAAGCGACGTTACCATTTCCGCACGTAGTCTCGTGTCCGTCATCACATTTTGAAATCGGCACTGGAGGTTGTTTTCTTGCGTCGGCAGCGGCCTTACCTCCCCAGGTCGCTGATTCTAGTTTTCCCGAAGCGGGCTTTGGGGAAGTCGCCTCGGAGAGTTTGAAGATGGGCGCGGACTTGGTGACCGATACCTCAGTGGCGCTGTCGACCGAGACTGATGCTGTTGCGAGGAGTGAGCCCCTTGACGCGTTGACAAGTACTCCTCGATTTCAAAAGGTCGCTCCCCATTCCGTGGACAGGCAGCGTTTACGGGAAAACCCCGAAGTCCAGCTCGGCGATATGCACACATCCGGTAAAGATGGCCAGCTTCTCCGCAGTGATAACAAAGCGGAATTCGATCAGGAGTGCTCCATATATCAGCTTTTCGGATCCTAGTCTCGGCTGGGGACGGCGTAAATCGAGGCTTCAGCAGATGCGTGCTTGCTGCGGCGAAATAAGGTCCAGGGGCGGCGAAAGGAGGTCCAGGGGCGACGAATTGAGGTACAGGGGTGTTTCTCAGTACCTCGGCGTACGAGACTGCGGGCTGCATCGGAATTGGCGCTTGAACAGGCTGGGCTTGTGGCTGCTGCTCACGGACTGCCTGTCTCACTTCCTCCCGAACAACTTCCCCTAAAGACGAGACCGTTGAGGAGTTGCCGTTTAGCTTCTGGAGCTCTTCTCGAACCACCGATCGAATGAGCTCTCGTAATAAGTCGATGCCATTCCCGAAGACTGCTGACACCACGTCTACGGATGCGACGTTAACATCTCGATTGTAGTGCCTCGCTCGCTGTTGCAGAGTCTTTTCAACCGCTGTCGCCTCGGTGCGAAATTCAGCGACGTTCCGCAGGGGACATCGGAGCAAACCGGCAAAAATCTCCTGCTTCACCCCACGCATCAGGTGCCGAAGTTTCTTGTCCTCGCTCATATTTTGATCAGACCGGCGGAATAACCGGCACATGTCTTCCACATACATTGCGACGCTTTCATTGTTGCGCTGGTTTCTTGCCTGCAAGGCCGCTTCAGCTCTTTCCTTGCGGTCTGTACTCGGGTATGTGGCCAGTAGCTCCCGTCGGAAATCATCCCACGATCGAATGGTACCTTCATGGTTTTCAAACCACGTTCGTGCAATGCGAAATAAACTCGGCGGAGCTTCCGTTCTTCGGGCCAGCCGTTGCAGTTGGCGACGCGCTCAAAACCCTCCAGCCAATCCTCGGCGTCTTCATGAGGATCGCCATGAAAAGGGTCCGGCGTCCGTGGCTCATCGACAACGACGTGCGTGGCAGCGACTGGAGACGAAACGGCGTGTGCGGCAGCGGTTGGAGACGACATTTCGGTACTCTCATTGGAGACAGTTGGAGACACTCTGGGCTCTAGTGGCAGGGGAAATTCCGGCGGCTCACCACGTAGACGACAGCTGGAGCGCTGATGAACTGGCGTGAGCTCAGTTGGTTCGACTGCTCGTGGTTCCGGGCTGCTTCCTCGAAGTCCAACTGGGTTTGGGATCATTACCCAGCGCCTCCACCAGAATTGTTATGTACAATCCAAATGGTGTACGAATAACTGTTTATTGGGGCGAACTTGTGCCCGAAAAGTAGCGGCGTCTGTAACAGGCGATCAGCAAAAGGGGATCAATCTCCGAGAGAAAAAAAACCCTCGAGCGGTGGTCCACTTCTATTTCATCAAAATCCCGTGCTGAGGAAGCGCGCGCCGTCACGGCCTTTTCTTGTTTGATCATCAAGCCGCTGGTCTCTTGGGGGGGGGGGGGGGGCGCGAACTAGCGCGCGTAGTTTGAATACTGCGTTCGCCTTGCGTCAATATTTTGTCTAATGGTGCAGATACAGCTTGCGACTGGCAAACTTGTGCTGTGCATGGATCAATAAAGAAAATGAAAGCTACTTTTACTATTCAGCTCATTGAAGGGCTGTAGGTAGTGTCGGTCGCTACAGTAAAGCCTGGATATATCTGACCGGGGGGGAGGGGGGGAAGGGTCACAAAAGATTCGAAGCTTATCTTACACTGTGCACTTGGACTGTTTGTCGAGATCTCAGAAATCAGTAATTTATTGATTTGTTTCTCTGAGCCTGTGTCAAAAACTGAAATGTCTACCTGTTCATTTTTAGTAAACCTTCTGCGGTAGCTTTGCAGGTAATTTGTATGTCGCATCATCTCTGCTTTATAGAATGTTTTGATTGCTGTCATGAAGTAAGCGGCTGACTCACTTGCCAACGTGAAGACACTGTTCCGTGCTAGATGCCCCATTTCAGTTTCATATTTTTAAACTTTTCTGCAAATGTTACCTGATTAGTAAAGTGTTACAGGAGTAATCATGTATGTTCTTAACTTTATATGTGCATTCATGACTGCACTTTGAATGCCTTTTTTTTATGGGCAAAAAAAATAATGGACTAGAAATAAAGTGGATAAATTAGATCCAGAGGGCCAGTGAAAGGTGAGAGCCAACTGGAGGGTAAGGGTGAAAAATCATCCATTTCATCGGTGGGCTCAGACCTTGCCAACAAAAAGGGTGATTTTTGTCCATATTTATTCATTTAGAGTTTTATAATTATCACTTTACTACTGTTCAAGACAACAATTAATGGCTTCTATACTTTGCCTGGCCTAATTGTCTATTGTATTGATTAGTTTGTTACTAGTCAAGCTTTATAACCTAACCGAATCTCCTTGTCAAAACATGCCGTGACATTTCTTACTTGACGACTTATTGTCACTTGATTACACACATGTCATTTGATAGGTCACGCACATTACTGTTGGCAGTATAGCCTTATATGCAGTAAACGCATTGTTATGCTAGTCAACGCGCTGTAGGTGTGTTTGAATGTGCACGGGGCCCATTTTACCACTGCGGCCTTGAGAGCACTTGTCTCACATGTCATCGCAGGAGACATCATGGGTTGCGGTATCCTGTTCCCACGCGAGTATGTGGAGCCCAACGAACCCAACAGAGACGCCATAGACAACGATGACAAGGGCCGGTTGGAAGGGGACGACAACGACGAGTATGACTTCATGAAGTACGACGTGATTCCCCTTGAAGGAACCCTGGTGCAGGTGAGGGCTTGACATAGTTCGTGGATCGTTTGTTCATGGCTGATGACATAGTGGACACCTGCAACGTGACAGTCATCGACACATGCGACGCAAAGAGCTACTCACGGCGACCGATATTTCGCATCTGTGAGTGACACACCCATCGCCACACAGAATTCAGGTCTGCTCGCATTTCTGTTGCCCCGCAAAATAAGCTGGCGTCCTGTTCCTGGGCACCTGATTGGTTCAGAGGATTGTGACTGCAGTCGTGCGGCTGAAACAACGAGCATTGAGCGACTGAGAAAAAGTAGTCGTTTTGCGACCAGAGTAGCTATTTGTGACTGTTTATGAGCAGTTGCTTCGTGACTAACTTGGTTGCACGTCCGGTACTGGCCACAGGTGTGATCGAGCCTAAGGTGCATTAATATCTTTGAACTAAAAGAATAGTGGGCTAACATGACATGAATATGTTTGCCCGTTTGTTAAGGACTTGCATTTTGATCGTGCACAGTGTTTGCTTTTCTCGTTTGGAACATTGCATGTCGCAGCAGTGTGTGTCGCACACCCTGTAACATTGTTAAATATGTTGAGATATGCTGAGCATAGAGAATTAAAATCGCAGCTGGTTTCTTTAAAAGCCCTTTAGGACTCTGTTTTGTGGCTTTTTTTTTTTTTTTCGTTCCCCAAGCACAAAACCGATCAATGTAGAGTGTTACTCTTGAGTGATTTTTGTTCATTATAAAAAAAGGGAGAGCTGAGCTAAGTTCATACATATTTTCTTCAAAGACAGGCATGCAAACATGGACGTGATAGAGCTGTGACGACAACACAAACGTAGACTAACGACTGAATAGGTGCACAGTAACAGAAGAAAAAAGAAGGCACGAAAGCTTATCTTTACATGCCCAAGCAAAATGTCATACCTATTAATTTGGCACGCATGGGGCCTGCGGAGACGATAACTGTTCAGGCATTTGATTTCTTTTCTTTACGTGATTTAATCGATGGCTTGTGCTTTACGAAAGAAAATGTCATTCTGTTTCTTGTTCATCACCCGCTCGTGCTTTCTCCGCTCGTGCTATCTTACCTGGCTTATTGGCAGTTGTAAAGACAACATTAACACTCTATCTACTGCCTCCCTTTTTGAGCCTGCGGGATATGCAATCAATGGAAGGGACACCTGCAACACATTTGTTTCTATTGCTTTCTGCAACCACGGTTGAACTTAACAACACGGACTTTGCACAACATTTTGTAATACAGTCGAGCCCACATATAACGGCCCCACTTAAAACGAACTTTCGCTTAAAAAGAACAATATCTGCGTGACCTTGAAAATATGCATTAGTTCAATGGCACAAAATCGCACTTACAACGAATGTCTCCAAGCGCCGCTGATCGGTTACAGCGAACGGAGTCAGCGGTTTGCCGACTTCCCGTGAAACCAATTTCGACCACGGATCAGGCATCGGCAAGGTGCCCATACATTCTTATTGTTAAACGCCGACCCTGCCTCCGCGACCCTATAATTGCCGCTCTCCCCACCCACGGAGAAAGGAAAGCTGTTTCCTTCCTCTATGCCTTGACTGCTTTTTGTTACGCACCCCTCCGTCCTTTGTCCCCCCGTTATTCTGAGCACCCCACATCGCCAGACGAGGCCCGCGTTTTCACACTGCCACCGATCTTGAAGACCGGTCAGCCATCTACCCTGTTTTTGGTCGCTGGTACTGTCGTTGGCATCGCCGGCCTGGAGTAACCAGACCATTTGCCCACATCGTCGGCCATTGACTGTATCCGATCATCTGCGTCTAGTGCACGCACGTACGCTACCCCACCGACTCTGATAATCTGCTATTCGTTCCGTGTTTAGGACTGGTTCTCGCTCACTCCGCACGGAAGCGTGAAAACGGCTGTTAATTAGCGTGGAACGAATCGCAAAATATCGAAGTTCCTGAGGCTACGCAAACCCGCCGGTGCAACAAAAGGATTTTTTGACTACGGCCGCCGATTCTTCGAACACAGCCGCGCGCAGGCACTTTTTCCAAGTTTTTCTACGTGCGAGTTTCGCGGACCTTTCAAGCAAGCTACCCAACCTGCCTCCTCCCCATGTGTTTTGGTTTTCAAGGTCACCCTCCCGCCGCATCCTCCCTTCTCTTTATCGCAACTCCTTGCCCTTCTCTCGCAACTGCTCTCCTCTCTTGATCACAAACTCCTCACCCGTCGCCACCGCTCCGCGACGCCCGTCATGCTGGCTCGAATTAGTTTCGTTTTCTGACTGGAAACGGGCCCAAAGCAGTTCTACGCGTTCTGGCATGTGTGTCGCGTGTGCACGTCTTGCTCGCTCTTGGTGTGCATGTGTGGTCATGGTGGCTTACAGGAGGACTAGCACGCTTTTTTCTGCCGCTCAACAAAACGTCCAAAGTGTGACCACTTGGCTTGAGCGTAATCCGCGCGTTAGGTGCCGCGTTGCGGAGTGCTTGCTCATAGCTGTTGACCACCTGGCAGCCAACTTGCCGCTTCGGGCGTCCCGGTATTCAGCTGTGGAGATGGTGAATATTTCGTGGGTGGCGGTGACGGCTGCATGCGCATGAAACTGTTTTCGGGAATCCGACTTCTTCGACGTCGGGCCTGATGCCAAGCCTGAAGCTTCCGAACAGGACCACTGCAACGGCGATTATTGGCAGCATGTCGTCGACTCCGACTTGGGAGAGTGGGTGGGACATCTGTTACAATGGTTTAATTACGGTTGATCATGATGCCGACACTGCGAACTGTGCACAAATTGGGGCATTGTGAATGAAGTGCGTGGCGAGAGCGATTTGAAGGAATCGGACTGCGAGAACGACGAAACTCTGGAGCCAGTGCCTCGTGCAGCTTATGCCACGGGCCTCGACGAACGAGCACCCTGTCATTTTAAATGAACTAGAGACCGCCCTTATCGCCTCTGCTCTTCGAAACGCGTGCATCACGGACTTTTGGGGGCAAAAAAAAATTGTGTTTTCACTCGCAACTTTTTTTAAAAGCTGTGTTTCATTTACTACGAACTTCGGGATACAGCGAACGGATGCCGCGTCGCGCTCAGGTTCGTTGTAAGTGGGCTCGACTGTAGTGCCTGCTGTAAAATGTGAAGATAACCTACAACTAAAAGAGGTATAACCTGTACAAACCTTAATACATTTAAACTTAAACTATCTGTTGTTAGGCGACGTGCTTCCAATCTTCCTGGGACACTTTTCGAGCGTGGTCAGAAAACGCTTCCAAGCCGTAGTCGAGACTCCTGAGAACACATGAGCCAAGCATTATAGCGCAGGACATCGCTTGAAGTTCTCAAAGAATTTTCAAAGTCGGCTAGAAGTCGTTCCCTCCGCTTTCTACAAATGATGCCACATACCCTAAGGATCGGGCCACGTGCCTTAATCTCGGGCCATTGGCTGATTTAAGCATTGTGAGCTGAATGAATAGTTGCTGCAACTTCCACGAGAGGCTGCCACGTGCCCGCTCGCAGACTTGTGATCAAGCTGAAAGTAAGCTGCACATTTTAAGAAGAAAAAAAGGTCACCTTTTCGCCACAAGGGTAAAGCAATGAATGCACAAGCAAACAGCAATGAATGCAGTAGCAACTGTAGTAGACACTCAGTAAACGGAACTAGTGCTTAACTGGAACAACTGCCTCTTGATTGGTTTTATACCTGGATTCTCCACCCTTGTTCGTCTCTCAGTAAACGGAACTTCTGTTAAACTGAACACATTTTACTAGTCTCTCCAGGTTCCACTCAACGAGAGTCTGCTGTAATTGGAATGTCGTCCGAAAAACGACAAGCAACTAAAAACTTGCAGCACGCTTCTCAAGGGCAAAGGATGCACGAAAAGGACACTCACAAGAGGAGCATGAACTAAGAACTGTCACAATTGTTACTTCTTTGTCTTTGAGTGGCACGCTTCAAGAGTTAACTAAGCACACAATCAAGTGCCCCTCGTTTGGCTCCTCTAGCTAGCAGTTCACTCATTTCACAAACGTGGCTGCTGCAGCAAGTAAAGTGACCTTTATGCTCTCTCGAGATCATCAGAATCGGTAATTTATCGCTCCTGTGGAGGCCAGACGTGCCACTGTGTAAGCCAAAAACTATTGGAATGCTAGAGATTGCCAGTCGGAGGCACACCGTGCAAGTCACTTTTTCAGTGTAAAGAGTGTAAGTGCATATGAAATTTGATAACACTCAGGAATGAAGAAACAGGTCTTATAGTTGAGGCATGGCACATCAATAATAGTGTGATCCAATGCGTGAGCCAGCAGTCGACTAACTTGCAGCAAGAAGAAATCAAATGCTTGAGCAGTTCTTTCCCCCACGGGTGCCAGCTCGATCATGCCCGGGCATTGCACAGATGAATTTTGGTGGCTTCATTTTTCTTCCGTCACTGCGTGCCTATTCAGCTTTAGTCGACATTCGTGGTGTCTTGACTACTTGCTTGTGTCCGTGTTCGCAGCCTTGTCTTTTAGTGTGAATTCTATGTACTATGCCCCCAGGAAAAGAGTGGCTACTTGGGCTGGTTGGCATTGCATGCTAAAAGAAATGTAGTACTTTCTTTGTCCATAGAACACTTCAGAAAAGGAGTTGGTGTGTCCTGTCTGGCTTCTTTTCTGAAACATTCCGCGCACAAAGAAAGTATATATCTTTCAGTATCCCGCTTGGGGTGCTCTTCGAAGTGTCAGAAAAAAGGAGAACCGAGGTTTTCTTTTTTTTTTTCTCTGGGCAGGTCTTCTTCACCCTAAATGGCGTCCACGTTGGTCGGCGAGAAATTGCCATGCCCCAGGGCGGTTTCTTTCCGACTGTGGGCATGCTGAGTCGCAAGGAGAAAGTAAAGGTAGACCTACATCCTCTAACAGGCTGAGAGGGTTGCAACGCCGCACCAGCGACTAACACATCAAGCGACAGACTCTGCGCCCGTTTTACATTGAGCCAAAGCAACGTACGTTGTTTCGAACTTACTGTTGGAAGTGAGCAGGTGCTGTTTTATTCGTTACCGATCCTGGATCTGCCACTTTTCTGGGTATCCTGTAACATCCTGCAGATGTGTTGAGCAGCGCTCTCGCTGGTGCACGTCAGCGGAGGTGATGAATTGTCTGGTGTGCAATGTGTGTGCGAGTGACGAATGAAATATGAGTCCGCCTTCAGCTTACAGCTGCTCACCTCGGTTTGAGGGAAACATTTTTGTCTTGAAAATCAAAAAAAAATCATCGAAGTAGAACATATGGCGGTGACTACAGTGTTACAGACGTAGGCCTTTGGCCACTGTGCCAATTTGTATATAGCATGGCAAGGTTCTTGCCACGGCCATGGGCCTCGTCCGTGAAAAGTTCAAAAAGCAAGGGCTGACTTACCCATTTTTATTAGTACCATTTCTAGTAGCTGCTGTGTTTCACAAATCAACTTGAAATATGAGAAATAGTTGGGCGAATAAATTAATGATGTGGCTTGGCAAGACTTTTGGTGCTGATTCTAGTCACGTGCATCTGGCCACTGCCCCATCACGTTTTATGAAGCCGTACGACGTTTCTATGCATGCGGGAAAGTTTGTTTACAAATTACTGCATGCAATCAAGAGCAGACTTATTTCACATCTGACTGTCAAGACTAGTGTGTAGCCACGTGAAATTTCATTTCATGTAACTTGAGTATCGTACCAGATACATAGACTGGTGCTGCAGCTTTACGTCAGAGATTACATGAAGCAGAGGAATCAGTGTTGCGATTGGGTAAATGGAAAAGTTGTAGGCACCGGCTCACTTTTATTCTTTCCTTGAGAGACGAGTCGTTTGTCATCGCCCTAACTCAGGTTCAGATCGCTGGGGGAATTGCGCATTTGGCGTGCCAGCCCCACTCCTGCATTTTTAGAGAACATTGCAGCAAGGTGTGTGCATTATGAAAGTTACCATCACTGTGCTATAGAAATGTGCCTTCGCTTGTACGCATGCCGGTCCACTTATTCTCGAAGGGTCATACGTAAAGACGTGTTGCGTCTTGTATGCTTGCAGAGCTATGGTTTAGTGATTGCATCATGTATGGAACATCTCGCATCACACCGAACCGCTTCGAGTGAATCACAAATCTTTCTAACAAAACAATTATAAACTGGTATTCTCTTTTGGAAAATCCACTGTGTTCAACTGCAAGGGTGTAGACTCTGCGCGACGTAATTAATGACCACTCGAAAAAAGGTGTCTTGCCTAATGAACTGTGTGAATTGTGTACAGTTGACAAAAGTCTTCGGTTTTTCACCCTATTTTGCTTGTTGAGAGCTATTTTCGAAACAGCAATGTGACTGCAATACTATTCTGCGGAGCCTGATGCTGTTTATGTGCTGAACTGTCTTGAAATGTGTGGCTAATTACCTATGGTTAAATTCGCCCAATCAGTCGCTATGGCTGTGAACTTGTGTGGTGAATGTCTCAAGTGTATGTTAATGTACAGTTATTTTATATTGTCTGAGGTATGTTACCTCTCTTGTAATTAGAAAAATAACAAAAAAGAACTAGTGGTTGCATTAAGAATGGCTGGGAACTCGCAAGCTGGGTCAATTAATATTGGCTCTGCTGACTTTCTTGATATACAGTGGCTCACAACAGCAAAAGTTAGCCTGTGCTAATTAATGTCATGAAGAGAATGCTTTGTGTGAGTGTGTGTCTTTGCATGTGTGCATGTGAGTGCGAATGCCATCAGCAAACTAGCCAATCCAAGAATCGGTCTGTGGGAGCCAACACCCTTCCTTGCTTGTTTTTTTCATCCTGCACGCAAGTGATACCTTACCTAATTCACGTATAAGCTCATCTTCTCAAGTCTAGTATCAGTCTAACTCCAATGTGAAAGGGAACACTCTAACACTCGTGAAGCTTTATAAGCAAGATCTCCAACACTTACCCTAATCACGGGGGCAGCTTTCGAGCTGGTAACATCGCGAGTCGCTCACAAGCATGTTGAAAAAATTGGGCAGTGCAGAGAACCGAGTACGAGAGAAATTGTGCTGGCAGCCCAGATGTCAATGCCCTAAATATTATTTTATTTCTAGGTCTCTTGGTTAGGTCAAACGAGGTGTGTAGAATGAAGTACATTGACAAGTTCCGCAGTCTTGGGCAGATACTGTGAACTAGTTATTCAAAATGCGCTACAGGAGATACTAGTATTCACTTACTATTTTGTCATGCAACTTCTAACTATATAACTTGTCACTTTTTTTATTCAAGTCACTTGTAGCTGTAAATCTGTCGCAACGTAATGGCAAAGCTACTTCGTTATAATAAAGCACATATAGTTGTATCTAATGTACACTGATGTCAATGAAGCGTAAAAGCAACACAAAAGAAAAGGTGGATAACTGATGGCTATATTTATCACAGAAATTTGACGACATTCGTTTGCCAGTACTTTAACATAAAGGGACCCTCCAACACTTTTCGAAATAGATAATCGTCGGAAGGCTTCACTAAATGAGTTTATTGCCTCACAAAAGTTTCCAGAATCCGTCCAGTACAAGCGGAGTTAGAAATATTTGTTGCACATTATAATTGTCTTCTCTTATCTCTTGTCCCAACAAACGCACTGGAAGCTGGCAGGGAGGGATGGCACGGGGAAAAAATTGAAGGACATCTTGTGAATTCCGAAGTGTGTTCGGCAAATGCCTTTGCTCATTGAGACGGAGTCGATCAGAATGGAACGCAATGCACGCATCGCCCTTCTTGCATGATTAGGCATGCTGGGCACAGTGGCACTACGCAACCAAAAGTGCAAGCAGTGTACAGTGTGACACGACCAGCAATCATTTGCGCACCCCAGTGGCGACCTGGCACCGTGCCAAGGCACGGATGGAGGGATGGAGAAACGAAAGTGAGCATGAAACATTAAAGGCTTTCACCTTGAAAGTGAGCTAAGGTGCAGGTCATGGCCTTGAGCGCTCTTTTTTTTTCTTCCACAATCACGCGCCTTGCTTTCACTGTGATCGCAAGTGTATACGCAGGCACGTGGAGGGCTCCCGTGACAGCCGCAGTAACTACGCAAGTCATGATGCTCAGATCAGCTAATAGTTGTGAATTTGGGTATATGGCATGGTGGCGTAGGTACATGGCATCATTTGTAGAAAAAAAAAAAGGAATGATCTCTAGCTGACTTCGAGAATGGACTGTAAATTTCATGTTTGGCTCGGGTGTTCTGTGTTCTCATGAGCCTTGACTATCAATTGGCAGCATTTTCCAACCATGCTCAAAAAGTGTTGCAGGGGCCAGGGCTTTTTTAAACTAAAATATACCGTTAGTGTTCATCACATTTTAATTATTGGTAACGGAAGATACCCCTACATGATCGGCAGTAACAGCAACTAAATTTGCATTTTTGAGACTTGAAACAGTACTTTTCTGCTCCAGGTGACGCAATTGCTGTTACCTTTTGCTGCATTAGTGTCCATCACTGGTGGTTTAGATATCATGTAGAATCGAAGCAAGAAAACTTGGCACCTGGAAATTTCTTGGCAGTATTGCAGTGTAAATGCAAATGTCAGCTAGCAGCATTTGAGTTTTTACTTTAAGTGCAGGTGTTCCTTTCCATGCTCAAAAAGTGCAGACGCTCCGGCTGTATAAAACAGAGGTACTTTAAGTGCAGGTGTTCCTTTCCATGCTCAAAAAGTGCAGACGCTCCGGCTGTATAAGACAGAGAATTGCAGGAAGATGTAGATTCTTGGGGACTGACTGAGGCAAAATCCCTTCATGACATCTCCTAGGTCGCTTCCTGTGTAGCATTTCACTTGTAAATGACTTCATGGTTGCTGGTAGCGTTGCTTCACAGCAAAAAAAAAAAAAAAAACAGAGCTTTTTTTTTTTTGACGTGTGTGTTGTTTGTAGCATGTGCATCGTGTTGCATCTATGGTTTATATATGTCTCCTTGCATCCACTTAAAACTGCGCTGCTTGCGTGACACTAATCTGTATAAGATCCGGATCTGGTTATGCATTATTGTAACATAGTTCACTTCTACAAGAGCCAAAGTAGAGACTATTTGGTTGTGCATAGTCGTTACTTGGAACATGCTGCTCAAACACAATAACTCACAAAAAGAATGTGACATGTGCGCTTGTCTTGTGTACATATGGGCCTTCTTTTTGTCTGCATTTCTTTGCATTCGAGCAGCGCATTGTAAGTATAAACTATAATTCACTTCATCTGCAGGCAGGGTGCAGGTACCACTCGACTGGCGTTAGTCACACCATCCAAATGTTAAAGGGACCGACAACCAACTTATATGATTCCCATTTTCTATAGCGCAGTAGAAAAAGTTACCGATCGAAGTGTGTAATCACAGAATGGTAATTCAGAAAAGGCCATGAAGCACTTGCAGTTGGAGGGCTTTGGATTTCAGGCAAGCGTGATTTCGTATACACGACACATGCTAGAAACAATGGACAGTGATTACTGCGGCAGTTCGTGCTCGTGTGCTGCTGTTTGCTGGGCATGCACGCACCTTGCGCACATGCGCTGCGTACCAACATGTTCGGCTAGTTGCTGAGCATGCAGTGCCACTTCCCTGCGCTAACTCTTTCTTTTTGTAGCAGTGCTGTTAAGCTTTTTCCTGGGATGTGAGGCGTTCGACAGAAACTGTCATCATCGTGAACCGGTGGGGGCTCTTCTCGTCCCTTTCTTCATCATCTGCTTCACTGCGAAAACGTGTGCGCCGATTTGTGCAGCGGCGGATGCAGTAGCGCTGATGGGCGAGAGAAGGAGAATGGAGGGAAAGAAAGATAAATTCTTGTTGAAAAATATTTCTTAGCGAGGTGGAATTCGATGTCGCGTAACCGCGATCCGAAAGGAGCAATTTGAACCACTCGGCTGCCCAGACACACCAGCCGAGCAGTGTGCAGTATAGCAGAGACTGCTATAGTAAGGCAGGGTGGTGGGAAAGAGAAGCGAGTTGAGGGAGGCAAGCAGGAAGGGAGAGTAAAGCGTAGCATACAATGAAATATAAATAGACAGGATGAGGGGGAAAGAGAAATAGAGAGAGAACCAAAGAAAGAGTGAGAAAGAAAAAAATAGACAAGTGAAAAAGAAATACAAATAAACAGTGAAGTAAAGGACAAATAATGGAGGAAACAAAGAGGCAGAAATAAACGGCAATGAAGAAGGCCGCCCAGCTCCATATTTTCGTCACGGTTGGCACCTCTAGCTAAGCTGCTCTAAATTTTTTTGAAGGCAGTGCAGAATTCAGCAGCGGTGCACAGTTATGTACGCATTCTGATCTTATTTTTGGCCCTCGTTCTAAAAGCATCAGACTGCATGCAGCGAAGTGAATGGCTCCTTAATTAACTTGGTGTCGAGGCTATTGTGCTTGGCTTCTTCATATACCATTATTACATGTGCGTGTTTGTCTTTTAAACACCATTAAAAAATATAAATCCTGCTCAGACCACGTAAAATATGCCCGAATCTTTCACTGTAATTTATGGCCTTTTCGTTTCCACCAGGATCTAAGCACACACTCTGGCCAGTTGTCAGTCCCTTTAAAGAAAAAGGAACTTCGTGCATTCAACCCTCGGCTATCAGTGTTGATGACGGGGTAAACGTGTCTTAACGTAAGATTTCCTTTTTTTTTTGTTTCTGCAGTGATGTTAAGAGGCAGAATAGTCAGCTAGCCACATCGGCTATTGGGTAGAAAAGGCATAGAGTTTCCTAAAATTAACTAGAGAGGACTCCGGCGCTGCGATCGTTCAGTGACCATGGGAATGATGGGTAGTACAAGGATTTGCCTAGTCTTCGTACTTGCGGGTGACAAATTGCACTCGGAGCTTCGTTTACTGTCGTGTTTTGGTTTTGTTTCGAAGGAAAAAATGAACCCCTTTGAACTTCGTCACCCGATTTGAGATGGCAAGCCTAAATGAACAAGGTGGTGCAGTGCAACTGCTGAACATTTGCTGATTTTTGTTTCCCGAGAAAACAGCTCCAAGCCATACGAACACACACGGAGCCAGAAGTACGAAGATTAGACAAATCGGTGTACTACCCATTATTCCCATGCTCGTTGAAGCGCCGTGTGTTGCAGCTTTCATAGACACTAGCGCCAGAGTTCCCTCTAGTATATGTTCAGAAAACTCTATGAGAAAAGGAGCTGTCTTGTTAATGAACATCTTCTCGTCATTGTAAATCGCTACGGAGACACTCTCTTTGTCTGGGAGCAGATATACCAGTCTTTCCTGTAATCTAGTCATTATCATGAAGTCTGGTTGCTACTTGAAAGCAAAGCACATGGCTGCCTGATTTTTGTCAGAGCGTTTCTGCTTCATCTATAAAATGCTACGCTAGCGATTGCAGGGCCACTGAAATACTTCCGTCACGTACGAGAACAGCGCCATCTTGTGGAATGCCTCTCCCACTAGCAGTAGGGAGCGCATGCTTAGCCAGAACCACAAGTGCCTTTTGTAGCTTGTCACAAGCCGCCGTGCGCGAGTATTCTCGGCGGCTGTCACAAGTGCTAGATGTTCCTTTTGCATGTGCATTATCACTTGCTCGTTTCTTGTCGGAGGTTGTTCTATGTAGGTTTTGCAAGTGTTGTGTGCTGCAGCTATATGTACGAATGGGAAGCAAGGCGACAAGCAGTGGTAACTGCGTTTTTGTGCGTTTTCGTGTCCGGCCAATCGGTGCGACATGCCTTGCGCCCTTGACAGGTGATGCTATTGAGGCTACGGTCTTACAGCGCCTGCATTTGTGATACTATAAAGAAATCAAACAGATGTGAATGTGTTGTGCAGTGGTGGCATCACATTGGCATTTTTACATTACAGTTGCGATGCGTTTGTGCTGACTGTGAGAATAAGTGCAGTGAGGCTTTTCTTTTTTTGTGTGTGTTCAGCCTGCATAGCACGCCGCCTACTACTGATGATCGAAACAGTCTGTGCCACGTATCAGAGGCAAAATGTTAACAATCTGTACGTGACATGATGTACTTGCTCCATATGTTTATCAATTTAACGCTGAACAAATCATTTCATAAACAGAGCTAAAACAAGTTCACTGCAGAACACTCAATGATAACTATAGCTATACCACGGGCATAGGTAGCTCTTGCAGTATTCTTTCTCATTTATGAAACAAAGAACATAGCTATCTCTTCTTTTCTAATACAACAATGCAAAGGTAGGCCTCACTAGCACTGACATGTGTGTTTTAAATCAAGCAAGGCTGCAGGTAGAGTATTGCAATATTAGTACTGGTAGCCGCTTTAAAATGCGTACAACTCTGCAGCTCTCTGTGTTGCTCAGTAAGCACTTCGTCACAGCTGTGCTTCGCGGTTTTGCTGATAGATGCTGTGTACATACAATGTATATAAATTAGGAGCTGAAATCTGCTCACACCGAAACTTTCTTGGCTTCTTGCATTCGCGTCATGTACTTATCTTGAAATAATGTCCGCTTCTATGGTGTTTTCGGATGTGCATGTCCCAGTGTTGGATGCGGCAGTCGGTTAACGTCTGCGGCTGCTGCTTTTGAACTAAGCCACGTGGAAGATATCATAGAAGCCTCCATTGTGTCACATAAACTTTTAACTAACTTAACATAACTTTAGAAGTGAAGTAAGTGGGCACGTGCATGCGTGTTTTATGTTGAATCAGTGTGTTACATTGTTAGTCGTTTTTTCCCCTGTTAGAATATTTTGGGCAATAGAAAGAGACATTTCAAACACGCAGTTGGAGACAGCATTACAAGCTACTGCCGACGGCACTGTGGGACTCGCTGCATATGGTTGATGCTCGCATCTGATTTTCATTATTGAAGCAGTCATGCATGTACAGACATAGGGGTATGTAATTGCAATATTCGAAGCTGAATTAAGTAGTTCCAGAAGGATACCTGAACAGCTTGTCTGGCTGTTTTAAAATAACAGCCTTCATCGCAACCGATGTAAAACAATCTTCACATCTAGAGCATTCATGTTGGAAGGCTCTATCATCACATTAAATATCAAAGCAATGTGTATCGTAAGTGCAAGTGCAGCCTTTTGAACAATGGAGCAATTTAGTTACCTATTCAAGGCTTGCCAGAAAGTGCGAGTACGGCTAAGCCAAGATAGTCTGGCTTCCCATAGCTTGATCTATGTTCCTTTCTTGTGTTTTCTGTCTGCTAGGCAAAAGTCAAAGGGGTCACTCAAAGTTCTAATAACCCACCAGTCTTGAGTAATTCTGACAGAGAATTTTGATGGAGCTGCGTGGGCCTAAGCAAGAAAGATAATTTGCGAGTAAATTTTGCCAAGCAATTATTCTATAGTCACCAGAATTAAATTTATCAGTTCATGCACAATCACACTGGGTTTACCAATTGAAATACTCGAGAACTGTTCGAAGGCGGAATTATTCGGAAAATATTCTCTCCATTACTCCAAACTTTCGAATATTTGTGCACCCCTTAACTATAACTTTAAAATTGATGCCAGCTGTCCTGTTCGTCCATAACTTATCCAAGATAAAGCCTAACATCACGTGGCTCTTCATTTTTTGCATTTTTTAAGACTGCACTTCAATTTTTAATGCTACCAGTACATAAAACCGAAAATAAAAGTTTTGTGGACCGTAGCAACTATGGTATGAAAAGACAACGACAATGTCCTAATACATGGATTGAATGTTAATACGATATTGCATGCAAAGCTTCTAGCAATTCGACACTGCTTGCTTAGACGTTTATGTGCTCTTGACGGTCCACAAGACTTTTACTCCAACTGTATGCTTAGTTTAAACCATGCCCTGATGGTGCTGTTAATTGCTGTGGCAAGACCTAATGAGCTACGACATGTTGTTGACCAGTTTACAGTTATTAGTTTCAGGAGTATGCCAATGTTATATTTGAGTTTTGCCATATTTTCTTATTAAAGTGGACTCGAAAGTGTTAGTGAGCTCTGTTTGAGAGTCTTTCATGTTTCTCTTTTCTGTTGCACAATTTAGTGCTTATGCACAGCACATGAAACAGCATTATAACTGTGTTATTGCTTCTATTCATAAATGATATCAGTCCTCTAGAACCATTTTACACTACATGAGCAATAATTCTTTAAATATTGAACTTCATGGCTTCAATGTAAAGGCAACATTAGGTAAAAAACTATGCCATTTCTCGGGGCTCTTTCATAGATGCTGTTAACTCAATGAATGTTTCGCATGGTTAAGGAAAATTGGCTCTCACCCAAAGCCCCAATTTTCACATCTGATTAATGCAGACTTGCTGACAAACTAAAAGAACCCAGAAGCGTTGCTGTAGGAAGAGACTGAGCTAATGTCATCATCAGTGACACATGTAAACCACTAGACATTTTTTTTTATTCGTAATACACAAACCACATCTTCCCCAGGCTGCATCATCATCTACTTATATACACGTCTGTACAGAACAAACAAGCAAACAAAAATCTGCCGAGAGTGAGCCCAAAAAAGGCAAAGCAAATAACGGTAGGTAAAGAAAACGGACTATGGGGTGGGGTTCTTTCGCATTGCTGACAGCAGTGTGCCTGTCAATTTCCACTGCAAACGCAAGTGCCGTAAAGCCACCCTGCATTTTTCGCTGCGAAGTAACACAATCACATGCACACATGAAGGGGAAGGGGGGGCAAAACATTCTTGGAATGTCGCATATTTACAAATGTCCTCCATATGAAAGAGGACACGTCTTTTTTGTGGTTAACGGTCTGGCGAAGCAGACCGCACAGGAGACTATGCAGTAGTGTGCAATCCGGAAGCCGCCTGAAGCTCTTCGGTCTGTTCGCTGCCGCTTCCTTCGAGAAACGTGAGCAGCAAGGGGTGGGGGGCACCACTGGAACTGTACACGAGGCACGCTCTCCACGACTGGGGTGGGCTACTTTGTGCTGTCGCCTGCGGCTTGGTCCGGCTGCGCGTTGGATACCTGCTGCTGGATCACCTTGCGCGTCTTCTCGCCTTTCCTCCACAGCACAATTTCCTGGGGTAACGAAACAAAAGATGAACCCTTTCAGATGCCACTAATGAAGAACTACCTGAAGTTGTGTCAAATTTAGGCAAGGACGAAAAATTCGTGGCCATAGGATGTCATACAGACTACATTCGGCCGGTGGTACAGTACACTTTCAAATGGTTAAAATGGAGCGCTTGGAACACATCTGCCCTGTTGGTTCGGAGCACCACACTTTAACCTTCAACCTGGATGGGCAACTGCAAGCCTTCGAAGGTATGTGTATGTGGTCACTACAACATCTGTTGGCAGATGCATATGTATGTGCGTTATTTGCCTTTCACATTCACTTTATGAAACTAGAGCCAGAATACCGCTCCTCACCTGTTGTTTAAAGTAGCGGCGCTCTTCCTCGTCGACCAGAACCAGGTTGAGATAGTAACGGACTGAGAACTTCTTGTTAATGTCCTTCATGGTCGGGGTCAGGTCATAGCCAGCCAGGAATAACCGGATTGGTATGGACTCCCCTGAATGACAGTTGGGACACAAAAGCATAAATTCATATATAGTGAAGTAAGTACTACAACAGCTTTCTATGAATACAGAATAACTTCACAATGTTACTTCTAAAAACCCCCATTACATCTGAATAACACCATGTCCTTACGCGTAATCAATAACATTGGTACTGACTGACCCAATTCTGTACTTTAATATCAAGGTTTCTTCCAGCCCCACAGAGCGTGAAAAGATCAGCCTATGCTTTCTTGTCACACTAACTAAACTGTAATGCGCCACATTTCGTGAAAGCCAATTTACAACGAAAGACGACTGAACACTATCGTACTGTTGCATATGCAAAAATGGATAACCCGACCCATCCAAATAAGCTAGTAATATATGCATGTCCTAACTGGTGCTGTAGTAATGATGGCACCATGTTGCTAAGCATGTGGAAGTTACACAGAAGACCAATTTCAATGGGGCCAAATTCAAACATGACTACATTCTTATATTTAGGAGCATGGTGATCAATGTTAACAGAATACCTCGCGTTTTACTACAATCGTATTGTTGTTCCAGCTCAGAAAAAATTAGGCACTATCTTAAACTAAAGATAAAACCAGAAACAACCCACCTCTAACAGGTGCACCATCCATAATTTCATACTTGGCGATGGTCTCGTTCTCGTTGAAGATGTTTGGTCCTGAACCGGTCGTCTCGCGCTTGATGATGGCAATTTCCATGTGCTTGATTTTGATGCGGACCAAGAGGAAGTATATTTTTCCCACTATGACATCCTTGAGGTGGTACCTGCAGCAGAGGCAAAGTTCACCTCTTAAAAGGGACCTTGCAACACTTTTCCGAGTAACCACTGAATGACTTTATTAAAGAAGTTCATTACCTGGCGAATTTACCGCCGCAAAAATTTTCGTTCACTTGTGAGGTACAAGCAAAATTAAAGAAATTTGTCGCACGCCATAACTGCTTTATTTTTTTTTTCTCGTCCTGACGAGCACGCTAGAAGCTAAGCAAGTAGGAATGGCAAAGGGAAAGGAATTCGCGTCACATGCACCATGACCTTGAGTACTTTTTTTTTGTGCGTAACTTATTTTCAGTCTGATCACGCGCGGACACGTGTCAGCCTCCCACAGTAGCCACGGCAACCGTGCAGCTCGCGATGCTTAAATAAGCCAATAACCATGGATTCTGGTACGTGGCACGGCCATTTGTGCATATGGCACCGCTTGTAGAAGATAAGTGCAAACTATTTCTAGCTTACTTCGAGAATTCATCGTGAATTGCAGGGTGCCTGCTGCGCTACAATATTTGGCTCGCGTGTTCTCAAGAGCCTCTACAACCGACAGTGTTTTCTGACCATGTTGAAAAGGTGTAGCAAGGCCCCTTTAAAATCCATTCATGCATGGTTATGATGATTGCTTACAGTGCAGTGCCATGTAATGAAACTGCGACAGATCTCTTGCGAGACAAACCCCACAGTTGGTATTTTCTTCTGGTGCTGCCACATCACACCAACTCTGTAATAATTATAGGGGCCCCTTAACGTCCAACAATTGCACACATTACAGATAAAGATGCACATCACTATTGTGACTCTTGTGTAAACAAGGCAGCACTTTTTGACGCACTGCAGCCACGACTTTGAAACGCAATCTTCTGCTCTTCTCCAAGCTTTTAATTTTTGACATCAGCAGAAGAGTGGCCGTGACATTACCAGGGTAAAAGCTGTTGACTGGTGCAGCACCAATGTTATGAAAGCCCACACAGTTTCCAGAGAAGACAGATTCTGTCCTGTTGATTGTGCACAAAAACTTTTCTGGCTTTAAATTCATTGTACACTGGCAGCCACCTTGCAACGCACAGTATAGGAGCCCGGACCATGTACAACAATATTCACACATAACAGCCCCTAAACGCGGCTGCATGAAAGAGGAGGACGAAGTGAGTTTTTGATTGATGCTGGACTGGCGCCATCTTGCTCGTCGAGTTCTGTGCATTGTAAATAGATTATTAAAGAAGTTACTCGTAACATTATGGGTGGAGGTGCGGGGTATAAACCCGGTCATGCTGTCCAGTACCAGCCTAGAGCCCAGTTGATATAGTACCTTTACATTATACAACAAAATGTGATCGAGGCTGAATTTCTTGACAGCAAGTGGCTCCTTGTAGCAATGGGCATAATGGAGCCAATAGCCATCAAATAATTTCACTGATAATTTAACTATTTTCGCTATTTCATACACAATTTCAGTGGGTGGCCTGCATATGAGAGCTGTCCTCATGTACGGTGGGCGGACACTGTTGCACTCACTTGGACTTGTTGTACTCGAATTCAATGTGCAGGCAATCCTCAATGCCCACTTCCATTTTGATGGAGGAGTTAATCTCGGGGTAGGATGAAAGCGTGTGCACCACTATGTCCAGCTCCTTGACCAGGTCAGTGAGGCGGCGCACGATCGTGACTCGCAGGAAATATCTAGACATAAAGAGAGGCTCAAAGTTAAACCTTGACACCAACCAAGCACTGAAACTTCATGCATCAAACGGAGGACGGTGTCTCAAATGTGTGACCCGAACAAAGACATCGGCGATCGTTTACTATGTGCAGAACATCAATAACGGTGCCCAGTTTCATACTCTGTGCAGACCTGCCATACCATCCATGCTTGCAAATGCTGCTCCGCAGTTCTGTTCAGAGTGAATCACTGCACACTGGCAGTCGTCGTGCCTGGTAGCACAAGACCCCCACAAAATTGATCAATAAATTTTTCTAGAGATTTGTTGGGGCATTGACAAAATTCAGCACCAGATACCAGCAAACCTGAGGGAAATTCAACAGTAGCCTGTTGAAAGAGTGTCCATCTTACAAACTCACAATTCTGTCAAAACAGTTACAGAACTGATACAAAACAGTCTCTTGCTAAAACAAACTGTCTACCATTCAACCGCCTGTTACACCTGGATAACAAGTGTGGCCCCAAGAGTGATCCTGTAAAAAATTTGACTCTTGAAAGCTGCACCAACTAAATATGACAAAATGTTTGCACATACTATATAGTTGGAGTTGTGCATCACAAATCGACGGATATATAATCGCAGCAGTGTAACTATGTGTTGAGAAGAACAGATGCTTGGGTGAGTTTGTAGAAACCTATGATGGCACTTGGAAGTGCAAAACAAAGGATGCACAAGAAAAGAGAACCAGAAGAGAAGAGCGTTCACTTCAAGTTAAGTTTGTCGTGAGCGCTCGTCTTGTCTAGTTCTCCTTTTTCGTGTAGTATCTTGTGTGTTTTGCAGTTGTGCAGTTGTGTTTTTTACAAAAACCTAATCATTACTTACCAAATGAAGAAAAGAATGTGAGGAACATACAAAAGCTTTCTGACGAGCAAGTTTAGGGAAACTCACCTTAATCGGACGTTTGAGCCAGTGTACGACTCGTACGGTTTCTCAACGTTGACAAATTCAAAGCTGTAACTGGCATTCTGAGCCAGATCTCCGGGTCGTGCCAGCTCCTTGACCAGGGATGCAAACTCGTGGTGATTGCCGCGATCATAGTAAAGTTCTGGAAGAGACATTCGACAAAAGGTCATGGCGCAAGGCATGCAGTCGAATAAAACTGCTGCCACAGGAGTTAAAAGTGAAGGTTTTCAATGTGATTGAGGTTGGAACGCACGTGCTCAACACACTTGTTCAACATGTAATGTAGTTAATTAGGCCAAGGAAAGCACAGGGAACATTAATAGTCATATTCTTAACTGTGGGCTCCAAACCCACAACCTTCGAGTTTACAGGTTCGTTAGTCAACCATTCGAGCTATAATGGAAAGCAATTCCCTATCTACTTTGTTCGAAATTTACCTACACGTGAAACCTGGGAGTGTTACCCAGAGTGATGGTAGCTAAGGCAGCATGGCATGTCTGGTAGGTTCTGATCTAATCGACACAAAGGGTGTTTTATTATCCACTTCAATTCATTTCAATTTAAGACATAATGTAGTAGACTCATTAAGTTGAACCTGGAGAGACCAAGAAAATGTGTTTTGTTTAACAAGAGTTATGTTTATCGAGAGTTGAGTGGGTTGCAGTGATCAGGTATGAAACCAGTCATAGAGGTTAGAAGGACACTAAAGTAAAACAGGAAATCACTTTAGAAGGGAAAGTCAAGATTAAACTTTCACTTTTAAATCTATCGCAGAAATCTACGTGCATGAAGTCATTGATTTCAAAGTTTCTTTTTGATATTTTGAAGACACTAGCTCAACAAAATTTTCTGGAACTTGGCATATGAAGTCAATGGTCCCTTCAGAGTACAATGTACATCATTTTTACCAATTAGGAAGTACACGTGACCTTGTAGATACCTGTCTACAAGGTCACGCGACCTTGTAGACATGTGACCTTGTCGAAATTCATATAATCACGGCATTTGGTGCAGTAACATTAAAATGGTGTAGCCACCCACATTTCTCTGTGTGTTTTCTGACTTATCAAGTGTTGTCCTGCAGTAGAAAGGGGTTTTCAATAGTGTGAAATTGTAATTTACTATTAAGAGAGATTGTTATCCTCTTCAATGTCTCTTCAGCAATTGCATTTAAAAGATTTTTTTAGTCTACTCTGGTTATACCACAGTTAAATGCAACAATTAATTTACCTGCTGCTTTCCATAGCCTCAATCTGCTTGATTTATTTGCTTGTATGTAACAATAAAACCACCATAATGAAATCACCCATTCTTTGTTTAGAGAATGCAGTTGGCTTACAGAAAATATGCCTCAAAAACCAAACCTCTAGTGACTGTCCAGGTATGCACGTCACAAGACCGCCTTGTGACGTACATGCCCTGAACATTGAAAGGCTGTCTCGTAATGTTCAAAGCATAAATGCATTTGAGGTCGATCAAGGATGTTCTGGTGGCAGAAGGAATGTTTGATTACGTATAAAGGCTTGCTTTCCAACATATGTAAGCACTCTTTACAAATGGTTAATCATGACGCTCAGCATAAACCATGACGTGTATCAGAATGAGAAGAATTCTGCATACGACCAGCAGGTCAGCCCAATAGCATTTTTAAATGAAACCACTCTTGCCTATCTGTCCGATGAACTCGATCTTGATGCCCTGGTGCTCCAGCTTAGAACCTGGCTTCTTGAGGGTTATGTTCACTTTTCCGGACACCGATTCACCGTCATAGTATAGGAGGTGTTTCTCTTTCTTGCCGTCTTCCGTTTTGATCTCGGCCATCTTGCGGTTTTCCGTGCCATTGAGAATTATGTCAATGTCCGCGCTCTGCCCGAGCCCGAAGAACGCCTGCAACGAAACAACATGCAGTGCGACATTAAGAGAACAATGGTTTGATAATTTTTAAACTCCGTAGTAGCTCATTTTGAAGCAGACAGACACCTTGATATCCCGGCACCTTCACCCGAACGGGAGAAACGAAAAAACTGCTAATTTCTACCAAATTACGATGTCAGGTACCCAAAAGTTTTTTATCGTGGTTGGGCTAGTCGGGTGCCCTTCCCATAGTGCCCAAGGTGTGTAGTAGACAAAACAGCCTACTACTTCATCATTTTTTGCATGCACCATCTTGCAGTAAAAGCACTATTATTAACGCGATTTCGACAAATTGGGCAATTTCTGTTTAGGGAAAACATTTCGCGATTCCCCCCCACCCCTCCTTCATTCATTTCTTCCCGAGATTTTCTACTGACATCAACGGTAAATTAGCTTACTTTTTATACCGCCACAGCCTTACACTGACCTTTGCAACGGGTGTGCGCCATTCGGAAGGAAAGACGACACAAATCATTGCGGGCTGAAACCTCTACATATTGCAACCGTTGTGGCTGCTACAACTGACAGAGGTCGGAGAAGATCTGGGGCGGTAATGATGAAAAATGGTTTAACGCAACCCGGATGCGACGTTGCTCTGTGCTTGCGTGTCCGAATCGACCGAGATCGCGAAGGTCGCAACGATCGCCCGTAATGCGCCTCGGAAGGGTACCGACCATTGCTCGCAATGTCATCCTCGCCTTCCGCCACGCCTTCTGTACGGCCTCGGAACGACGCAGGTGCGCCTGGCGAACGTCACCACTCGCAGACTCTTCTTCTTCTGTTGTCATATCCTGTCGCGGAACACACTGTGGGGGGGGGGGGGGGGGTCCCGCCTCCCGCTACTTGACAGCGTAGAAGCTCTCGTAACGTTATTCGTAGACGACAGACGGGACAAAAGCTTAATCGCCGGGTGAAACAAGAGACGTTCCGTGCGTCACAAGTACATTTCCATGTGCCGAACTTGAACATCTGCACTCGCGGCTAAGACGCATCGTAGGACAACGGACCAGGGTTCTTCAAGCAAACGGGTGGTTGGGCTGAGTCTCTACGTACGATGTGCGACCAGCGGCGCCACGGCAAGCCGTCGACGCGACAGGGGTCTCCGGTTCGCCAGGCGCCGATCGCACGGTCGAGTCTCTGCGCTTCGCGCAAAATGCAAAGAAGAAGTGGGGAGTCACCAAAGACGCCACGCTGTACACAAGAGAGCCGCATAGCAGCGAGTCCGTAAGCGGCAGTGATCGAGATTACGCACGGATTAGCACAGCTTAGTGGGCGTCGCTGGAGAAGCAACGGTACTTTCGACAAGACCCGCGCCGACAGCGAGCAACACGGGGGGGACGGGACGGTTTTTTCGGAAAGCCATCGCAACGTGTGCACCGCACTGCCAGCGTTTCGTCGGCAACGGAGACAGCACGATCGAGAACCGAAGGTTACGAACAGGTATATACAAACCATTTGCACGGCTTTTGTGGTCACCCAACACACTTCACACCGCTGCTGACTGCACGCACCCCTCAAGTCATGCACACTTTCGCCCTTTCCCAAGATGGCCGATTGTAGATGATATGCAGCAAGCTGAAGCTGAAAGCAACGTTGGCTGAAAGATCGTGGTGGATAGTATCGGTGTTATCGATAGGATATTTCAGCTCAGTAAATGTGCACAGTTTGTTCCGATTGATAAATCAGCTGTCCCGCTAGTGCTACTCTTGTGGCGCTTACTACAGCGCATATACGGGGGTAGATGCGCGTACAAAACCGCACGTTTATGACAAAAATAACCATGATTTTGTAAGCTTTGACGAGCATTTTATTTTCCGTATTGACTTTATAATCTTCCGCAATCACTTTAATTTTTATTCGCTGTGCGCAACCAATGCTATAGAAGCGGCGATAAGCTCAACTGATAAAGGCGGTAATTTTGATTTTTGTGTTAGGACCAGATTGCAAGCTTCATAAATAATTTCAAGGTACGTCACGCGTCCAGATTTGAGGTTCACTCAAGCCTTTCTGTTATCAATTAGCTAATCTCTCTTGGTTGTTGCTACCCATGGGCTGTTTTGCTTGGGATTATAACGGAGGACGAGAACAGTCACTGCTGCTAGCAGCGCCGTCTGTAATTTCGTGGTGCTGTAGCATAGAGTACGAGGTATGAATACAAGTGCTGTAGTGCTGTCAGTGGCATAGGTCGTGTTCCGTGGCATTGCCGTAAAGTGTGCTTGTAAACAATATTTTTGTGTTGTGTTGGTGCCCTGTGATTTTGCAATGTCAAGTGTGCGTTGTGCCGTGAAAGGATGCCAAAGTCGACGCGAGACCAGTGAGGGCGTTTTCTTCCACACCCTGCCAGCGAGCGCAGCACGGAAGCGTGTATGGGAGAAAGCCATCGGTTGCAGCAGCCTGCCGCATTCTGCTCGCGTGTGTTCGGCGCACTTTCTCGGCTCGGACTACTTACCGAAGTACGGAAACCGTAGGCTTGTGAATAGACTCAGATGGACGGCCGTACCTTCGGTTGACCTGCCCACCAATGGAGATGCGGTAGTAGTTATTCTTCACTTTCAATGAGTAGCAACGAAGCGCTCGCAACAGCTTCTGCTTTCGTTTTGTTACGTGCATGCCGATTCTTGCAGAAACAGCAGATGTGTAGGCCAGAGGAGGTCGCGGTTTGTATGAGTGCGGCGTAAACGAAATGCGAGCTTGACACTAATACTACAAATTAAAGGTAGCAATGCCACAGCCCTAGAGATAACCTGTCACTGACGAAGAAATGCGATGGCAGAATTAGAGAACAAACACAAGGCACACTGTACGGAGAAGCAGAAAAAAAAAATGCACACAACCACTTAATCGAGAACGCAGGCGGCGAAATAAAAAAAAAAAAGCGAGTGTAGTCTGATCACAGGAGAGAGCGTAAACGAACGCGCGATCGGAGCACAAGCGCCGACAAAAACAAAGAAAAAAAAGATGTTGCCAGAGACGTAAACGTCAGACTCTGCCCAGGTGGCGCTGCCAAGAAAGCCACCACCAGCGCTCTCATCGCCACATTGGCCATAACTGGGTAGTGCAAAGAGAGTCGTCCACAGGCAAATGTGCATAGACCCCCCCCCCCCCCTCCTCTCTATCGTTGGTGTTGAGGCGCGGTTTTCTGCAAATTAAGGACCTGGAAAGCTTCTTCCATCAATCCTTCCTTGCTTCGGAAAGTGAGAAGCTTACCAAAGCGAACTGCGGGTACAATGCAAAAGTTTTTTCACTATTCGGCATGCTGCAACTTGCAAGTGCAAGTAAGCATCACATAGCCTCGAGTTCGAGACAAGCAATCTGACGTATGTTCTGTGACGCCTAAATGTGTTAAATATGGGCATACACATAATGTCAAAGCAATGAAGTACATACACGACCGATGTGGCTTATGATCAGTAGCGCAAAGCTCGATTTACCAGGCACAAATGGACCCAGCCATTTCCACCGTAGCAGTTGCATTCTCCATCCATCTCTCACTTCTTGTGCGTTGAACTGTTATATATTGCAAATGGGGATACGGGCATGTCCACTTTCTCGGTGAACAAATAAAAGCAAAACTGAGACCTCCGAGATAGCTCCAGAAATCTTGGGCCGCAGACAAGAAAAATGCGATAGTCGTCCCGACCAACATTTTGCGATTGACTTGTATAATGCATGTGTTAGCATTTGCTAGATAAAGGGCCAGTCAACAGGTTCTTACTTTTATTTTACAGCCCCCAAACAAGCTCGGTAATTCGTAGAGTAGACCCCAGTGATCACGTTTTCTGATTATTACAGAGCTGAGCCGCGCACAGCCTTTACTTCGAAAAACTCGTGCTCCTTTCCTATGCCTGACCAATCTCCTTGCACGTGCAGTGACAACAACTCGGCGATCGGTGACGTGATGCCGCACGCAGCTCGTTGATTGGGCTAAACGAGGTCTCAACAAACAGTAGGGATGTCAACGACAGTTCCTGTTCCCACACACAGCTACGACAGAGCTATTCAATCATACATGTTGCGAAACTCCCCATAGACTCCATGCATCGAAATTGGGACACTTGACTGACCCAGTCTTTGGGAGTGAGCAGATTTTCGTGCCACCTTTTGATAGGCACACCCACTATTAAGTGTATTATTTCTGTTTGGTGTTGCTGCTCCCAGATAGGGTGGCAGACTGCTCCAGAAAAATTGAACTCAAGAAAAATCGGGCCAACTTCATGTCCGGGTTTTGCAACACAGTTTTGCTGCAAATCGTTGTCGGCTGCAAATCGAGCGACTGGTTCGCAGAGAAGCATCGGCACCGGGTAAACGGAAAACAACCAGGCATCGCAGCAAGCAGAAGTGCGTTGCGACTGATCGAGTTCGCCGATGACGTCTATCACTGACGTTTTGTCACATTGTCGAAGTGGGTGGAGTCATCACGACAACAGGCCACGCCTTCTCCTTCCGCTGAAGGAGAACGGTGGCGAGACCGCACGAAAATTTGAAACCAGCTGAACACGATGTTCTAGCCCCCTGTAACTTCCTTATTATAGCATGTAATCGCAAAATTCTTGCGGCAGCATGTTCACGATGTAAATGTGCGCATATTTCTCTTTACAACAATTTTTTGACCTTGAAGTTGTTTACTGGCCCTTTAAAGCTGGAACTTTGAGCCTTCAAAGCGTCTGTCATCGCTTGTGGTGTTTGACAACGCCAACGCCCTCGTAAAAAAGTCTGCAACATTGTTAAAACAGTTATATATATATATATATATATATTGAAACGGGTTGTTGAACAAGCTAGAGTTGACTCGGCGAACGAAAGCTTTATTTAGCGCAAGGGCTAAGTGAACGCAAGCCTGCTATCACAGCAAGTCTTCTTCCTTTTCTATACTCGAGCTCCATGGCTACTACCCTCGTTACAATCACCCCCGGGGGATGAGAGAGCCATCCTGGCGACCTAAGGACAGGTGTACACAGAAGGGTCATGGTATGGCTTGAGCCGAGAAATGTGTACGATTTCTTGTCCCCGACGGCGCTTGTCCGGAGATGCATCCAGCCGCTCGACCAGGTAGTTGACAGGGGATGTTTCGCGTACAACTCGATAAGGGCCATGGTACCTGGACGAAAGCTTGTGGGAGAGTCCTGGAGGAGTAGAAGGAATCCATAACCACACCAGTGAGTTCGGAGCAAAGCTCATAGGCGTGGTTGACGCGTCGTCGCAATGATTTTGGCGCGCCTGGTCATGTGACGTGAACGCACGAGCAAGCTTCCGACATTCTTCAGCGTGTGCTGCTGCTCGAGAAACGGTAGTCATCTCTCAAGGGTCTGGTCGATAAGGAAGAATAGTATCCATTGTTGATGATGGCTCGCGTCCATAAAGAAGAAAGAAAGGCGAAAATCCAGTGGTGCTTTGCGTTGCAGTGTTGTAAGCATATGTCACAAAAGGCAGTATGCTATCCCAATTTGACTGGTCGGATGAAGCGTACTTGGCCAACATATTCCCAAGTGTACGATTAAAACGCTCTGTCATCCCATTAGTTTGCGGGTGATAGGCTGTGGTAGTGCGGTGTATGATGCGACACTCGCTCAACAACGCTTTGATGGCATCGGAGAAAAAAACGCGGCCGCGGTCGCTTAGTAACTTCCGAGGTGCTCCATGCCTTAAAACCAGGTTTTGCAGTATAAAACATGCGACGCCTTTTGTGGTAGCAGAAGGTAACGCAGCTGTTTCAGCGTACCGCGTTAGGTGGTCGATAGCGACAATGACCCAGCGGTTGCTACTCGAAGTATAGGGAAGCGGACCGTAAAGGTCGATTCCGACACGATCAGAAGCTCGTACTGGACATGGCAACGGCTGCAAGCAAAGCGCATGGTGGTCTGTTACAATATCAAACGGACGTTCATATTAATGAGGCCGAAATTTTCCGATTGCCTAAATAATGGCGAGGCACACCTTTTCAGTTACACTGTAATTCTTCTCGGCTTTACTGAGGGTGCGGCTGGCATAGGCAACGACGTACTCGTCAAAGCCATCCTTGCGTTGGGCCAGTATGGCCCCTAGCCCGACGCCACTAGCGTCTGTATGAAGCTCCGTTGGAGCAGACGGATCGAAATGTTGGAGTATGGGAGGCGTGGTGAGGAGCCGTCGGAGTTCCTGAAATGCATCATCACACGCCTGCGACCACGCTGACAAATCAGAACTTCCGGCAAGAAGATTGGTCAAGGGGGCGATAATGGAGGCGAAATTGCGGACATAGCGCCGGAAGTAAGAACATAGGCCGATGAAGCTTCGAAGCTCTTTGATGGTGGTTGGCTTTGGGAACACCACAACTGCATCAACTTTCGTAGGGTCTGGGAGAATGCCGTCCTTAGAAACTACATGGCTGAGAATTACAAGCTTGCGAGCGCCGAAGTGGCATTTCTTCAAGTTAAGTTGAAGTCCCGCCGTGGAAAGGCATGTAAGAACTTGCTCGAGGCGGCGGAGATGGGTCGCAAAGTCGCTTGAAAATACCACAATGTCGTCCAAATAACAAAGGCACGTTTTTCATTTCAGACCTCACAAGATGGTATCCATCATCCTTTCGAAAGTGGCAGGCGCATTGCAGAGGCCAAAGGGCATAACGGTGAATTCATATAGTCCATCCGGTGTTACAAAGGCTGTCTTCGGCTTTGGTAAGCCGATTCTAAAGGCCAAGATATAGTCTATCATGAGTTGATTTCAGTCAATCCCTGCCCGAGTGAGAGGCTATCTAACAGTCCTTTCTGTGTATTTACTGGAGCTCGGCCAAGTACAAAAGGAGGAAGATGAGGGAGCTGTAACAAGTACATTCTTCTTCACTGGAGTGTGACAGAGACAAGAACACATTGAAAAAGGAATATGTGACAGCACACATGTGCTCTGTGTTGTCATATATTCTCTTTTATGCATGTCCTCGTCTTTGTCATGCTACAACACAGTACAATACCAGAAGGTGCCATAGTAACTAGCCTATTAAGCCACCCTTATTGAGTGGTGCCTAACTACTGCATCGGCAAGAGCTGCTTCAGAATCGACACTTGGGCTAGTTGGCTGAGATGCATGGTATAGCTTCGATTTAGGCACACGAAGACAAAGGGGAACAGCACTTGTCCTGTGTTCCTTTGGGTATTTCTTCGTGCGCTTAAACCACAGCTGCTTCAAACCAGAAGTGGGAAGTGAAAATAAACTTGAAAGGCTAAAAATGAACTGTGAACCAGAAGTGCTCTCCCGGAAGTCACTTGTTGGAATTGAAGTTGCGTATGACCCAGAGTTACATGATGGAAGGGATGTTAGCGGGTAGAGGGTAAAGTGAGAGGTTAATAGAACATTATACTTGTTCAATCTAAATTGCCTCCTAAAACATTAACTTCATGAATTGGATAATAACGAGCATCACACCGCAGATGCAAGTGCAATCTTGCAAATCCTTGCATTCTGTTGCCTGCTGACTTTGCTGGCTCTAGTGCATGATTAAATTTGGGTTCCCTTTATGACTTTGCATCATGCAATTGGTAAAGGACAAGGGGGTAAAAATTACACCTTTTGTTACTATAAGCTAAACACAAGAAGCATGGAAGACTGGAGAAAAAAATCGATGCTGCTATTCAAGCCACTGAATATTAAATCAGGTTGCAAACAAGCTCTCCGTCTCTCAGTGTAGTTGCATGTCAAATGTGTCCAACAAACAAGCACGACCTTTTCAGTGGCCGGCCTTTTACTGTGACTCCACACACTGTAGGCAGCAGTGTCACAATGTATAGCTGACACTTTGACCTGCGTATGGCTATGCAGGCTCCATTGCGGCAGTATGGTCAACGTCGTCCAAGGGGCACAGTTACTACACAAACAGCCTTCTATCAATGTACAGTTGGTGTGCAGGCCTTCACATTGGTCGTGGGAAGAAATGTTGGTACGTGCAGTTTTTCTTCAGCAGTTGGATTGCTTGCTTGTTAAAACTTGTAGGAATGGTTTGAACTCCTTTTCTCCTTGCCTTCTAACTTTCTTTCAATAAGGAATTTTTAAAAACGGTGCAACTATTAGGCCTATTCCACAAAATTGGAGAAACTGCATGACCGGGGTCATAGCATAGGTGCCTGTCCTGAGAAAATGCTTTTCTCACGACCTTTTCTTCTACAAAAGGTTACTATCACTGTTAACTCATCTTTATGTTTGCCACAAAACTAGCGTACTGATTTTGTGATTGCGTCACAAAAGTGACGTTATTGTCGTTGAGACCATGTCCTCTCAAGGACTAATTGCATGGCGATGCGGCAGGTGTGCAGGTATGCAGCTTTAACCACACGGTGGGAACACAGACCGAGGTCCAGCCCGCAGCTATGTGCACTGTGCAGAATGCTGCTTCTTCTTCGGTACGTGTTCATATCTCCAGCCAACTCATCCTCAAACATGTATGCCAGCCAAAGTGAAAAGGCCGAGACCACACCTTCATGCCACATGTGCACTGCCTTCGCAGGATCCAATGTGTGGCTGTGGCGCCCTTGAACCATGCCACTGCAGCTCACTGACAAAGGGCTGCGAATAGTATATTCACACAGACTCATTACCAGGATATATGGATAACGTGACTATATGCTGTAAGTGATGCTGATATAGGGGTCATTTTGGCACTTGCAACGCTGTTAACTGCATGCTAATTGACACTGGCCTGTTGTTCTAAGGAGCTTGGAGCTTTCCACTTATATTACGGGATACTACAGACATACGTTAGGCTGTGTATTGGCGTTGTGCCTCACATGTGCGTAATATTTGCTTTTTGATCGACAATGTTCACAAGTATGAATGCAGCCACCTATTCAAGATGGCTGGGCATTCAGCAAGGGCTTAAACTTTGGCCAGGTGGCTGGATGGTGTGACAGACAGATCGAAGTTTGTGCATTCAAGTATCCTGAGAAAGGCTATTGTCTTTAGAAAAAGAAACTGGGCAAGATATCGCTCGCCGATACAACACCCATCACAGAGCTGTAACGTACGAACCGGGTGACCGAGTCTTGGTTTGGACTCTCATATGTCAATGTGGGTGCTCATAGAAATTTTTATGTTGGTACTTTGTACTCCACCGAGTTGTTTGTCGCCTCGGTGAAGTGAACTATGAAGTTGTCCCAGCAGACACATCGCACCGTTCTCGTAGACCACGCTCCCCGGATGTGGTTCATGTCTACAGGATGAAGCCGTACCATTCGCGTTGAGTGCAAGTCACGAACTTTGTGATATGGAAACTTGCCTTCAGGTCTATTGTACATTTTTCTCGTTTTTTTTTTTTCTCTCGCTCTTGTGCTCCTAAACGGACACAAGCATTTTTGGCTACCTTCAACTGTATTTCGGAACCGCGGCATTCATATGATGCTTCTTTTTTCTTTGGAGAAAGGGGGTAATGCCACGCTGTGTTGGTGGCGGAAGAAGAGAGCGTAGAAGTGGAGTGGCTGCTGTGTTCGAGTGAACAGTCGTTTGCCTCGAGTGCCTGGTTCCTCTTGCGACAATATTGTCAGTCAATCGGTGCTGTCATCGCACGAGCCAGGGCTGATTCCCCTGGCTCTTTAGGAAATGGTGAAGAGGAAGGTTATGTCCCTCTTTATTCATGGAGAAAGACAGCTCATAAAATGACTTCTGACATAATTTGGGAACCCAAGACGATAAGTGGCAGCTTTCAGTATGCGCATATAAATTCCCCAAAAATACCGGGCTCCAACATGGGGATATTACCGTACAGTATTACTGAAGGACTATAACAAAGCAGAAAAATAAATATTTTGCTGTTCATTTACATATATAAGTCCTTCTTGCACAGCACCTAAGAGTACCCAAAATGTTGCCAACTTAATTAATAATTATTGGTGTTTAACATTGTGAGAATTGAGGCTAGCCTGCCCCCATTGCGCTGGCTTTTTCACCTATTTCTGCCGTCCTCATGTCCTGACATGACTCTCTCCTCCTCCCCAATCTGTCGGAACTGGGAGAGTCAGAGTCACGTTTACCTCTCTCATCTGACACCGGTTCGTACTGTATTCGATGGTAGCGCTGCGCTGGGAGTCTCGCAAGACGTTTCACGTGCGCATCCGGTGGTAGTGAACTACTCGAGACACCGAACGGTGAGCACGTTTTCTTTTCGTCCGTCGGCTCCCTTTGCTCTTGGAGCTTGCTTGGACTCGCCAACAGTGCCTTGCGCCCACAGTGAACGCTTATCTTTCGTTACCCTTTCCGAACTCTAGGACGAAGGGCGACCCGGTGTGTTCGCGCGAGGTCGTACTACTCCAACCGTACCTCTCGAAACCAGCGTGAGCGGAGTTTGCCCTCGCTCGAGCGATCGAGCCCTGTTGTTACTGATCGTGAGAGCACGCAGCATAGGTCAGGAGGGCCCAATTTCCTCAGCGGTGTGTGATCGTGAACCCTTTCGCCCACGGAGACGTGCTCGCGGAATCCTTTGTGTTGTACTTTTGCTCGTGGCCTGGGTAAGCCTCTTTTGCTTTCCAGCCACCTTTTGCAACGGGTGCTGTACTGCGTCCTTGGCATTGCCGTAGGCAATAAAGTGTCTTGACTTGTTTGAGAGCAGTACTCTGTACTTGCCGTGCTGCGCTCATTGCCTTGGTTGTCCGACCACGTGTGTGCAGCGGCGTTAGTCACGCGAGACGTCGGTAAATGCGGCCCTGTTGTTCGCTAAGACCGAACCGACACTAGTGGCCGTACTGCTTTGGGATGCGTACACCCACAATGTCCCAAAACCCTACCCTATGATTACGACAGACAAATTTTCGAACTACACCGTTGAAGGAAAAATGTTTAAGTACAACAGCTACTTTTCTTTTTTTGGACACAGCAATAATGAGAACTAACGTACGTTGATGCTACAAGACGTATAGGAGACGTCAGAAGTAATTGTAATAGAAATGTGAAAAGTGAACGAAAAAATAACTTGCCGGCGGCAGGATCTGAAGCTGCGACCTTCGGATGACGCGTCCAATTATCTACCACTGAGCTACTCTGGCGGCCATCTCTTCGTTCACTTTAAGGGCTATATATGTGAATGTAAACACCGAAGTGTTAAACGCTCCCGCGTTTAGCTGGAACATTTGCCGTAATGGCAACAGGCGGCAAACTTGACCGTTTGTAACATGCATAGAAGATTAAGATCACCACCAGTTTAAGTGACAAGCAATTAATTTTTATAGTACCCGTGTTCTTTAGCGCAATGAAAAGCTTACTGGTCCATATCTAATTGCAAAATGGTAACGTTAAAATTAATGTGAAGTATTTATTAGAAAAGTTATTTGATCTGCCGCAATTATCTGGACTTACACACCCTACACAGGCTGCAAATAGTGGGAGATGTGCGTGGAAGCGATTCTTGTTTGTGTGCCATGGTTTGCTATACATGCATACAGTTTGCATGTATGCACCCTGGCTCAACATGTTTCACTAGTTGCCATCAAAGCGTGCTGCTTCCCAGCGTGCAACTCCTTTTGTCTCTTAAGTAGAACAGGATCAAGGCATCAAATAGTAATATTCATGCTCTAGTACTGAGCCCTCATTCTTGTGCGCATAGAAGCATCATACTTCTTACGTCAAAGGGAATGACTCCATAATCCAACTTCAATTCTTTTTTCCTGGGTTGTGTGAAATACTTATCTTTTTTTTTTCACTTGTAAACTTGATTTAAAGGTATCATTCTTACTCAGATAGTAAAAAAGAGACGAATTTCACTTTGAGTTTCTCAATTTTTTTCATTTTCACGAAGATCTGATCATACTTTCTCGGCAGTTAATGGTTCTTTTAAGGGTAAAGATAGGACCATAGTATGAGTCTGAATTTCAAGAGAACACAAACGTGGCTGCTGGGTGCAGCAGTTAAGCGGGAAAACAAAATTAACAATCAAGTCATCGTGTGTGCCACCTCTCTTATGTTCTTTGTTCTTTTCATCATTATTTATCGACCACTAAGGAACCTATACAGCTCACTATATAAGTGGGAATGGAGGTTACAGAGCTTAAATTACGCATAATTGAGCAAATTCGGCTGGTTAATTCTTTCAGCATTATGTACCAAGTGGTCCAGACATCAATCTCTCTGCAGTTATTAAGAAGATTGTTAGGATAATGTGGCTGCAGCTGGCACAGAATCGAGTTAATTGCAGCAATGTGGCTGTGGAATTTGGCCTGCAGTGGGCATACTCAGACTGATGATCATGATTGATAGAGAGGCCCCTGGGTGCATACCAAAGGGCCTCTTCTGTCAAGTTTCTTAAATTGAGTGCCCATTTCAGCATGCTTGGTTAGAATGGCTAAATCTTGGGACCGAGTGGACAGGCATAAATAGTGAACCCTGGCTTCCAACTCCGATGAATCACTGGGCACTGAAATGGACACTCTATTTACCGGACACTTGCAGGAAACCACCTTGGCACTGTTTAATGTTGGCTACTGTTGCCTGTGCTACTAACACTTCATATACAGGGCATTCCCCTTTAGGAAAATTCGCTGCCATTCATGTGAGTTGCGTTTTCAGTGCACTCACCTAAAGTACCTTTTCTGACATGCAGGATACCTTGGTGCCAAGATGTGCCTCCATGATGCCTCACATCTCGGCCTATTCTGCAGTGCTGCCTATGACAAGAAGTGCTATATAGTCGTGCTCCGGCGGTCTGACCAGTCTAAAAGATCCATTTCTTCAAATGCCACCAAACTATGCAGTGGGCTCCAGGACAAGTAGGAAAGAAGTGTTAGCAGAACGCAGCTGCCATCATCGGTGCCTTTCAGTGAAGGGGCGAAAATACAGTAGAACCTTGTTGATACGTTTTCGAAAAAACGCGGAAAATATATGTACGATCTAGGAAAACGTACAATCCAAATCCAGTGAAAAATGAAGCGACATTGGTGAGGTACTCCTCATCGATGTCGTCGTTGATGTCAGACGCGCACGCTACAGAGTCGTCTTAGCTGCGCTCTGTGTCCTCTCATGCAAACTGCCGCCTTAAACCGCACTTCCTGAAACAGCTGCGCACTGCCATTACGTTAACTCAGGAGGCCTGTGCTTGCTTCCAGCTCCCCATGGCAGGCTCCACGGGTTTGCTTTGTTGCGCCGCCGAATACCAAGGCATTCGTCTCAATCTCTTTTCGCTTCGACATTCACGGTATTTAAGTTTGTTCACTATGTCAATTCGCTTTCTCTTTGGGTTTCTTTCGACGACCGCAAGAATATTCAGCTTCTCCTTAATTCAAGTACATAGATTTGTCTAGTCTTTGTACTTGCGGACAGCGAATTACACTTGTGGCTTTGTTTATTGCTGTGTTTTGGTGTGTGTTTTTTTTTTGAAGGGAAGAATGAACCCTTTTGAACTTCGCAAGCCAATTTGAAATGGTAAGTCTAAAAGATTAAAGTGGTGAAGCACAACTGCTGAACATTTGCCGATTGTTGTTTCATGACAAGCAGCTTGAAGCCACGCAAAGCCAAAAGAAACGTAATGTACGAAGGCTAGGCAAATCCGTGTACTTCCATGCTTGCTGAAGCGCCATGCGTTGCAGCTCCCATAGACACTAGCGCCAAAGTTCCCTCTAGTGTATATTTAGGAAAATATATGGGGAAGGCACTGCTCTTTATTCAGAGAGAACGCATAACAGTGATTACAGTAAATTTCCATTGTGCAGCGCTGTGCGACACGTCACGTGAAACCGAAACTGATTGGAAGTCCATGACTCCGAGATTAGTATATTCAATTTAGGAAATTAAATGCCTGATACCACACCTCTGATCTCATGTACGTGATTACTGATTACATTGCCAAATGTCGGACCAGGAACCATGACTCCTTTCTAAGTCCATCTCACGACTTCATACTTATTGTTGTTCCACAGTGCCCTATTTTTAATTACAGCTGCATTCCTGTTACCTGTAGTTGTGACAAAATTTTCATGCTTCCTCACGTAGTCAGCACCATTGCTTATCTATACGCCAAGATATTTGTATTTATCCACTATCTCCTGTGGGACCTCCTGTATTTTATACTCACTGCCTTTCTTATATGATTGCTGATTTTTCTCTGCTGAACTTCAAATTTAACCTATGTCCCTCGTTACCACAGGTGTCTCAATCCCTGCAGGTCTTCATCATTTTCAGCCATTAATACTATATTATCTGCACACATTAATGCTCGTAATGACTGCTCAGCGTGATTTTTTTTTTTTTTTTTTGCTTGGCAAAAGAGAACTTGAAGCATAGGCCACTCCCCTCTAATTTGGCTTCTAATCCTTGTAGAAAACAGAGGTGAAGCCCTCGTACTTCTATTGGCTCGGGTACTGTTCCTCCCATTTTACAACTACCGTGCTACTTTTATAGATGCCCCCCAAAAATTAATTACTCATCTTCCACATGTAAGTGTCTCTAGAACGCCTCACAAGTCCTCTTGAATCACTATCATAAGCCCCCTAATGCCAGACACAAGGGCCTGTGTTCTTTTTCCACTATTCCAATGCATTGCGTCAATAAAAACAGATTATCCTCCTGCCTCCTTTGTTTACAGAACCTATTTTGTAGTTGCCTGATCACCCCCTCATTTTCCACCCATGCCTGTAGTCTTTCCTTTACTATCTGCATCAACAGCCTTTAAACCACTACAGATGTCACTGTTATAGGACGGTAGTTAATTGTATCAGCTCTGTCTCCCTTTCCTGTATAGATTATGCTCACCCTGCTTATTTTCCACCCATCAGAGGCTTCACCAATAATCATTGTTTTTTGCTTGCTGCCGCTCTTATTGTTTGCTTAGAATTTTGACCTAATTTTTCTGTTTGCATTATTGGGATGCCGCCAGGGCCTGTTGATTTGTAGTAGGAACCCTCTTCTCTGCCCTTTCCTATTCATCCCAGTGAAGCCGCTGTGCTAATTGTTCTATCTTTGTCCGATATATTACATGCAGCGCTTCCTTGGTTGTTAGATATTTCTGTCCATCATTGTTCTTATATATTTCATTGCCTCGTCCCCTTCTAGCCTAACCCCTTGAACTGTAGTTATAAACCTCTGTTCTATGCTTGTCTTATTACTCAGAGAACTGAGATGGTTCCAGAGCTTTGCTGCTGCCTGTCTATCCTTTTTCTTCTAATCTTTTTGTTGATAAGATAGGAAGCTTCCCTTCTGCAGCTTAAATAGTTCACATTTTCTTGTGACATCATGTTCTGGTTCGCCCCTCTGTTTAGCATGACTGTTCCCTGGAGGCTTCGTGACACCTTACTGTGACCCTCTTAATCCTCTTCCCACCAGCTCTTGGGATTTTGTCCCCTTTTCCCGGTGTATTTGACTCGTACCTTAGCAAACTCAAACGTCCGCATACCGTGGCGCCACTGAGGAGTGGCGGCCGGAAGCTCTGTTTAGATGACCTTAGTTTTGGTCCTGTTTCAAACAGCAAATGTTGCTGCTTTGTTGCAACGTTGTGAACGGCCTCGGTATTATCGTGTTCCCTTGAATTTCTAGAGTTTAAAGGAAAATATAAAGAAATAGCTGATTGATTTTACTGTGTGCCTCGATGCTAAGGCTATTTTACTTAAAACATATGCGCATCTTGGGCTACTAAGTCGATGTTGTCATGATCAGCCTCCCTGGCTTGGCCTTGCTTGGACACGTGAGCCAAGAGTGGCGACAACACAAAAGTCTTTCTTCGACCACTCCAGGGCCATCGTCACCACCCATAAAACCCTTTGAGCACGCCTGACTGACTGATGAATTGGGAAGAGCTGGTGGTCGTCGAGGCTGCTTGCTTTGTTCGTCAAGCTGTCCAGACAATGAATGAGCCAAGCGTGTGAGATCAGTCTACGGGGACGTTTCCCACGTAATTTGTGGTGCCTTCATGGCGACGATTTTCCACAAGCTGTGGCCTGCCTGGCACGCGCTCCTGATCGCAACGATAAGTCAACGCTGCACCTAAATGCACAAGTTGACCTGTACGTAGGACCCGACGTTCTTGCTCTGTGCTGTGCCATGCGCATTGGTTAGTGCTTTCTCCCTTGCCACAAGACAAACTGGACGTGCCTCTTCCCTCTTTCTGGGTCGGGAGTGTTTCACCTTCCTCTTTTGGGGGCAGAGGTGAAGGTGATAATTTCATTGGACTGTCCTGGCCTCAGTTGTTTTCCCTGCAGAGAATCCTTGGAAGACCAGGGCATAATACAGGAGCGTCAAGACGCCCCAGACAAGCTTCCAGAGACTTTCGCCGAGAGCTTTCATGATGCTGCCATCAATCATGTAAAACGCTACCTTAGAACCTGTAAATAATGTAAATAAATGTTCTTATCATCAGCCCCACTCCTCTTCTCGATATCTCTCGGAGATTTTGGCTGGCTCTGGTCCTATGGGCAAACCCTCAACTACATCAATGTTTTCTTGTTTTCGTATATTTTGATGTGTATTAACAAGGCTATGGAACACTGTATGTACTGACTTAATCATTTTCATTTGTATGCTTCTATATCGTAACACTGTTCGTTCACTTGCTAAAGGTGCAAAACACAAAAGTTAACAGCCCAACATCACAGCAACGAAACCCCACCGTGGAATAGTATAGGCAAGGTAAGCCTCCCACTCAACTTAGTGCCCCAAAAAGCTTTCGTGAGTGGCTAAGAGGGTTAATTTGGCAAGTAAATAACCAAAGCCCGTGAATGTATACAGCATGCATTTTGTGTGCGAGTACAGTTACTTACAGGTTTGCACCTCGAATATCAGTTTTTGCGCTTGGTTCGTCCGCTCAACACGGTCATTGTACAAACATTACTAGAACGAACTATAGGAATGCGTTCCGCCTCTAAAACAGAATGAAAGGACCTGTTTCAAAATGTTCATCCCATTGTTTCACATCTGAAGCGTCTGTCTTCATGACCTTCACCTCCTAGCTGATGGCGTTTTTTTAGATGTGAAGCAGCTCTTTGACTCACGTGTGTAACACTGTACGTACTATCACTGTCAAATGAAAGCCGAACAGCGGCAAGCCTTCGCGATAGTATAGTGCGCGCCTTCCAGTTATCACTACGGACAGAAACACATATATGCGCAGAGCTACCGAAAAAAATGCGTGCACCTGTGAACGGCGATAATTGGACGGTGCCATCGCGAAGACTTGCCGATGTTGGGGTTTAATTTGACGCCGATAGTACGTACGACTGTACGAACATGCCGCAACGCGTTCCCCTTGCTGTAGGTGTTGGAGCGGTGCCAAGTAGGCCACGCGCGCAGCTGCGCATTGGCGTCGCGCTCCCCTCGCAGCAAGTCAATATGGCATGTTGGGAGATTTGGAGCCGTGCCCGCCACCATCCAAACGACGACAGTGCATCACTGGGGTAGTTAAACAAAATCTAACGAAGCTTTCTTTAAGCAATCTTTCCGTAAAACAAATGAAATCGAAACATCAAAATAACTCTCTAGTCAGCTCATATTCCATGCCAAAACATCCAGCGTTTTTCCGACCATCACGAATACAGCTGGAAAATTTTCCACGTGTTATTTTCTACAAGTGCGAAACTCATCTTCGTCATTTATTTTTGTTGCCAAAAATTTTCTTCCCAATTTATGAGAGTCTTAGCTTGGCACCGACTGAGCTAAAAGGCGACCAAGAGCAATTTTTTAAAAGACGTTTTCGGAAAGCACTCGATAAAATAGTTTTTACGACAAGGCATTGAAGCGATTTTACTAAAAGTAATGACTTACTTATGTACATAATTTTTTAGCGCTTTTCCCACAAACAATATTGAATAAAGTCGCCAACTTTGAAAATTTTTTTCGTGAACATGGCAAGCTTCAAGGACAAATAAAATATGTGCTGGTGGCCTGTATTGCATGCTAAAAATTAGAAATAATTTAGGCGCTTAAGTTAAAGCAGATAGTAGGGAAAAAAATTCCAAATTTCATTTTTTTTAGAAAAGCTCTATATTCGGCATCAAAAAACTTGCCTATGGTTGGGCTAAAAATATGCACAATATCTCATTTGAAAGCTCTATGAATTAGCCAAAAATAGGTAGAGTTCCTGGAGGGTACTATATTTAAAACTTGAGAAAGTTTTTTTTTTAATTACATATGTATCGCCACCAGCTTTTCGCCTACGTAACTCAAGTGGCATGACGCATTCACTCGCGAGGACAATCTTCGGCAGAATTTTATCGACGTGGGATACAGACAGCTAACTTAGTGCTCTCTTCAGAGCAATTTTTCTTCATGGTGCAAAACATGAAAATGCTGCCGTAATAAATGTTTTTTGTGTATCTGCAACGTGTGCTGTTCTCGTTCAGTGATCACGCAACTACGATGCTCTTCAAACGTATTACTACTTATAGCGAGCACAGTTCGAGAATCGGCCCCGTATCTTCATGTTTCTCTGCAAATGTCGTCGACAGACGATAGTCTTGTGTCTGGAGAGAGTGAACAAAACGTTTATTTGAAGTTCTGCGCGAGAAAATTGGTTAATTGTATTCTGAAGGCACTACGTTAGAGTGTTTAGATGGATGCAATGGAGCTGAACGAGTGCACCGAGGCACGTGAGACATGAGTGCTATCTGGCAGTTACTCTATGGTGCGAACTGTTCGCGCATTAATGGAACCGTGGAAATGCTGCCGTAATAAAGGTTTCCGTGTATCTGCAACGCGCTGTTCTCGTTCAGTGATCGTGCAACTATGATATGATCTACAAACGTATTACTACATAAAGCAAACACAATTAAAAAAAAATAAAGGTAATCAAAAAGATTACAAATCGTTTAAATCGCTCTACAACATGGAGGTAGGAAAAACTTTCCTTCCTCTGTGGCTCTGCAAGCACGGCCTACCCATAATAAGCCACTAAGCCGATAAATAAGCCGACAAGCCAATAAAGTGAGCTAGCATATTCTAGGGACTATACTTCTAGCAACGTTTATAGCTTCTAGCTCACTTTATCGCTAGTAGTTCACTACGAAGCCTACGATGCGACTGGCAAACATTTTGGCTGGAGCCAATGAAATCATCTGCACAATGATTTATTCACTCGCACAACATATTCATATCAATAAAAATTATATCACTTAGTTTTAAACAAAATGTATTATTTCATTATTGTTGTTGTAATACTTGCTACTGTGCAAATTATATACACTTTTTTTCTGTGTGCATTTGCCCATAGAAGCAAGAGGGCACTACAGGTGTTTTGTGAAAAAAATTTGCATTCAGAAAGGCAAATAGAAATTGCTACTAAACAAATTGAGAAAGTAATCATTGAAGATAATAAAATAGCGTGGACATACACAAAGCTAATTAGACTGTTTGGGCTAGAGCTTGCTAAGGCACGTGATAAGTCACCCCGAAAAGAAGACGCAAGACCAAAAGTTGGTGGGATGAGGAAGTTAAGAGAGCCATAGCAAAACCTCAGGAAGCCTCTAGCGAACACAGACATGCTAAGCAGCGGGGTGAACCGTCAGATGATGTTGAAAGAAAATGTGACATCTTTCTAAGCTCTAGAAGGGAAGCATCCCTCCTGATCAATGAAAAGATTAGAAGAAAGGGTGCTCAGTGGCTGGCAGAAGTACATAAAAAGGACAGAAAGGCAGCTGCGAAATTTTGGAACCATCTAAACTCCTTAAGAAATGAAACAAGCCTAGAGCAGAGGTTTATAACTACGGCTCAAGGTGCTAGGTTAGAAGGGGACGAAGCTATTCAATATATAGTAAGAAAAAGGGTGACAGAAAAATTTCAACAAAGAAATGCCTTGTGCACCACAATAGCCAAGGATGGATCAAGTGTAGCAATGGCTCCATTTTCACAACGAGAGTGGGAAAGGGTTGAGAATAGGTTCCGAGTATTACATCAACAGGCCCAGATGGCATTACAATTATGCTGATAAAGACATTGGGTCCGAAGTCTAAACAGACTTTGAGAGAGGCAGTGAGCAAAACAATAATCGATGGTGAAGTCCCCGATGGACAGGAACTTAGAGGATGAGCATGATCCATAAAGGAAAGGGGGACAAAGCTGACATAAACAACTATCGTCCTATAACAGTGACATCATTGGTCTACAGGCTGGCGATGCAGATTATAAAGGAAAGACTGCAGGCATGGATAGAGGATGAGGGGGTGCTGGGTGAACTGCAGAATGGGTTTAGAAAACACAGGAGGTTGGAAGAAAATTTGTTCTCACTGACACAGTGCGTCGAAATAGCAGAAAAGGAACTCAGGCCCCTGTGGCTAGCATTTTTGGATATCAAGGGAGCGTACGATAGCGTGGTTCAAGAGGACTTGTGGGAAATTGTGGGGAATACTGGACACACTAGGTGTGGAAGATGGAGTCACTAACCTTTTAAAGGAAATCTACAAAAGTAACAAGGTAGTTATAAAGTGGGAAAAACAGCTATCCAAGCGCACAGAGGTGAAGCAGGGGCTTAGGCATGGGTGTCCTCTGTCACCCTTGTTATTCATGATGTACCTACAAGGATTAGAGGCCAAATTAGAGGGAAGTGGACTTGGCTTCAACCTCTCTTTTGTTAAACAAGGAAAACTCACTGATCAGGCACTACCAGCATTAATGTACGCAGATGATATAGTGCTAATGGCCAATAACAAGGAAGATTTGCAGAGATTGATGGACATCTGCGGTAATGAGGGAGATAGGTTAGATTTCAGATTCAGTAAGGAAAAATTAGCAGGCATGATTTGTAATGATAATGAAGGTAGTGAGCTTAGAATACAGGAGGTCACACTAGAGATAACAGATAAATACAATTATCTGGGCGTATGGATAAGCAATGGTACCGAGTACCTAAGGGAACACGAAATATAGATGACGACTAAAGGTAACAGGAATGCAGCAGTGATGAAAAATAGGGCACTGTGGAATTACAATAGGTATGATGTTGTGAGAGGAATATGGAAAGGGGTCATGGTTTCTGGGCTGACGTTCGGCAATGTGGTCTTGTGCATGAGATCAGAAGTTCAAGCAAGATTAGAAATTAAGCAACGTGGACTAGGTAGGCTTGCTTTAGGAGCTCACGGGAATACACCAAATCAGGGAGTACAAGGTGATATGGGATGGACATCATTTGAGGGCAGGGAAGCTAGCAGCAAGATAAAATTTGAGAAGCGAATGAGAGAAATGGGGGAGGAGTATTGGGCTAGGAAGGTTTTCAGCTAATTGTACATGAAGAATGACGATACAAAATGGAGGAAGCGAACCAGGAAATCGACTGGTAAATGCTTAGAAAACAGCAGGTGGCCAAACCAACAAGAACTATCGGTTAAGAAGAAAGTGAAGAAAACGGAGACTAACATGTGGAGAATCGGCATGATTAAGAAGTCCGCACTAGAGATCTATCGAACTTTTAAGCAGGAAATTACCAAGGAAAGGATCTATGATAACATCCGGGGTAGTTTTCTACTGTTTGAGGCCAGGACGGGAGTATTGCGAACGAAGACATATCGGGCCAAATACGAAGGGGTAGACACGGTATGCAGTGCATGTGGAGAGGAGGAGGAAACTGCCGAACACTTGATAATGTTCCGTAAAGGGCTTCACCCTATAGTTCAGGATGATGGCGCAGAGTTTTAGATGCGGAGCATCTAATACTCGAGGCTTGTAGTGCGGCGCCGTCCGCAAGCTTCCTCCTCCTTCTTCCACCATCTGTGCATCCCTTCCTCCTCTACACACCGCGCGCGCTTCACTCCTCCACCATCTGTGCACCCTTCCTCCTCTACACACCGCGTGCGCTTCTCCTCTTCACGAACATTCGCTAGCTGTATAATGTAGCGCGCATGCGCCGTCACGCTTCTCCCCCTTCTCGAACATTCGACAGCTGACAGTGCATGCGCCGTCGCGCTGTATATATACTCAAGGTCGGTGCTCGCTCGCTCAGTTGCCGCTCGTCGGTTGGTTTGTACGGCGCGTCGACGTCCGAGGTCGCAATGATCGACGTCCCTTCGACCAGCGCCGGCCTAAGTGTTGGCGGAACCGCAACCAAGTCGTCGTCCGAAGACAAGGCAGCGCGGAGAAGAGCTCGCGACGCCGAACGTAAACGTCGGCGTCAAGCGGAAGATTATCAACTTAGAGAACGTGAAGCTGCTGAGAGACGTCAGCGTCGAGCAGCAGCACCGGATTCGGCCGCTTTGAAACGTAAGCGTCGACAAGAGGACCCGGACTTTCGAAAACGGGAAGCCGAGTGCAAGCGTCGGCGACGAGAGGCCGATCCCGATGCTGCCCGCGAGCGCAAGCGCGCCGAGGTAGCGGCGTGGCGCGCCAAGCAGTATGCCACGCCCAACGCTCGCTTCAAGCGCGACTTCCTCGACCGAAGCTTCGGCCACACCTGCAAGGTGTGTGATCGTCTTTGGTTCGATAACAACTTAACTCGGATCGGCAACATTCAGAACAACTCCAAAGCGTTGTCGGTTCTTTGCGATACGTTTGGAAAGGGCACCGACTATGCCGACTACGTCGTGTGTGCTACGTGCAAGCAGTCGTTGATTGCCGGTCGAGTTCCCTCGGCTAGCGTGAGTTACGGCTACCGCTAAGTCGCAATTTAACACCCCATTTCACAACCACGTTAACCTATTTAGCCATCGACCCAAGTAAGTCGCACTATACTCCCTAAAACTTGCTACATACATACACAGTAAAATGCGTCAAAATGAATCTATGTTTACACACATGTACTTGACTAACCGCAATCCATATATTTTGCGACACAGCCACCTCGAAGTTCCGTTTTGCAGAACAAAATATGGTACTAAACAGCTAAAATACATGATCCCTAGTTTCCTAAACCAGCATCCACAATTACTTAGCAATGTGTATGAAGTTTCATCTAAATCCCTGTTTAAGCGTGTTGTTAAATTATATTTGCTGTCTTGCGTGCCCTTCATAGTATGAGTAGACCTCTAACAACATGTGGCTTAAGACCTGTTACATTAAAGAACTCAATTCTACTATTCCTATATGTATGTCGTCGTCCCTTGCAAGTAACGCTATGTCATGTTTTTTTTTTTTTTTTTTTTTTTTTTTCGTGCTGAGCTTCCGCTTTCTAATGTATAATTTCTTACTGATAGCCACAACCCTGTTGGACAGTGCTTGGGTGGTAGGGCCATTGTCAGGCAGTTAATTCTGCCTTTAGCCATACCATCCCTCGACATGTATTATGTTGAAAATAAACAATTCAATTCAATTCAATTAACACCCCGTTAACCAATTATATGCTCCGCATCCTCCTCAGTGTTCCCCCGAGGGAAGCTGCGGGCAATTTTTTTCAAAGCATTGGGGTTTAGGGACAAAGAGGGCAAAATAAACTTTAAGCGGGTAAAATTAACTAAAAGAAGGTTATCTGATTGGTGGCTAAAGTCAAAACACAAGTGAAAATTAAACCCTTCACTGCAAAGTACCAGTCCTCAACTTCACTATTTAAAGGAAAAAAAAAGATAAATCTAGTGATTAGCTCACTAAGTATTACGGCTAGGTGGCGGTAGCCGCCGCCCAATCTAAAGGGTACAGCCACACCCATTCATCTATCTACCTATCTGAAGGTGTACAGCCACATCCATCCATCTATCTGGTGCTATCGTCCATGATCGCTGGTAGGGGCTGGTAGGTGTTCTGTGCTAGTACTGTATATGCTCAACCGTCGCTTCTAAATAAGGGACCTTATTCTAAAAATTAAACCCCTTGGTCAATGCCTTGCCTTGAACTAGATGCCATATGAGGAACTCTATGATGAGGAGAAGTGCCTGTGCTGTGATGATGTCAGTGGTGTTCGCCCGCAGCACGATAGTTTAGGTGTTCTGTGACCGCACGTCGCGTGGGGACTCTTTCGGCTTGTTCATCTGCGATGGAGAGGACGCCGGAAGACGACGCTTCTTCGCCAGCTGAAATATCCGCCGAAGCGATAAGTCCTAACCCGGCCATCGCTGGCGTTGCGAAGGTTAGCAAAACCGAGCGCTTTCGCGAATGGCGACGTCGCGTCTTGAACACCGACGAGGCGCGAGCCAGAGAGGCTGAACGCAAGCGTCGGCATCGGAAGGCCAACAACACCGAGGAGGCGCGAGCCAAGGAAGCCGAACGCAAACGTCTTCAGCGCCTCCGCAACATCGACGAGACGCGAGCCAAGGAAGCCGAGTGGAAGCGCCGACAGAGGAAGGCCAAAGCCGGCAAATCCTCGACATCGTCGGCAACGCCTCGAAAGCGCCGGGCTCCGCCGGCCGATCTAGAAGCGTATCGACGCCGCAACGCCGATCGCGTTCGCGCATGGCGCGCCAAGAACGCCAGGGCCGACGCCAAACAGCGTTTCCTCGAGACAGCGCTGTACCAGCTCCTCCAGCAGGTTGGGAACAAGGTACAGTGCGAGGATCGTGACGTTGCCGACGCGCACGGCAACGTACTCGAAGCAGGATCGTCTTACGGATCGTTCTTTCAGGTCGACGTTCAACCTGTGACGTCACCCGTGCGCAACGCTGCTGCTTCGAATTCCATCAGGGTTCCCTCTGCGGAGATGGTGGGATTTTTTTTTTTTTTAATTTAAAGAACTGGATACCAATAGATCTATTATGTAGATGCATGAGCGATCTTAGAAACCCTTGCACTGTTTTATCCACTCCAATTTTACCGGCACCACTGCTCAATGAATTCTGTTACAGCATTTGACTATGTGATTGGCGAATTTGAAAGTTTCGTCGCCTACAGACGTCTGACTCTGGAGTTTTTCGGACACGCAGCGCCACCTGTCGACGCAGTTTTGAGTAGTGCAAAGCCCGACTCCCTTGCGCAGTTTGCTGCACAACCAGGTGCTACTACCGTGTAAGAAACAGCGATTGAGCTAAATATTAGGTGTATTGAGCACTTTGAAAGAGAGGTACGAATTTATCCCCACTAGTCAGTAGGTCACCGAACCGCCGTGAAGTGTCTGCTGGGTCACTCGCCAGAACGACGGCAAAAACAAGAGCAGATGCAACAGCTCCGCACTCTACGAAAAAAGACCCCAGCCGACGCTACAATTGCGTTGTGAATTGCTTCAGACGTTAAGGACTTCTTTTTACTATTTTCCGCAGCTTTCGCGAAGCAGAACGGCAAGAGCACTGGACGCGAGCTGTTGTGTTGGGTGAGCGAATCACTGGCGTTGTCTACAGCCGTTCGCGTGAGAAAGTGTGATAATGTAGCTATGTCTCTTGTTATTGTTTTGAGTGGCTTTGATATCAAGGGAAACTGTACTAACTTTGATTATGAAGTTTAACAGAGCCTCTGACCGCGGTGCGTACCGTGCAGCAGCAGACAGGTGACGCCCACGATAAACATCACACACGCCGCGAACCCCGATAACCTGAAGCTCCACAGCATTACGTCTGAGGGCTTTCAAGGCTCCAAGTTCCGGCTTTATCTATGAAGTGCGAACATGCTTGTCATACAGGTAAATCGCAAAATGATCGTGAGCACAATAAGTTTTTTTTTTTTTTTCTTGCTCTTGGTCTCCGTGATTGCCCGAGCTCCCTCGGAAGCCTCGGTTTTGCACTTCGTTGTGCACCAAGAAAGTGGACGTGTGTGTATCCCCGTTCGCAGTATATACAAATGGCTGGCAACCGTCAACAGAACATTCTAGCATGCGTAATAAAACAGTTCAACGCACAGGAAGCGAGAGATCAATGGAGAATTCAACTGCAATAGCAAAAACCGCCAGGGTTATTCGGGCCGAATAAAGGGAGCTTCGTACCATTGATCGTAAGATAGATTGCTCGTGTATGCATTTCATCGCTTTGGCATCATGTGTAAGCCCACGTTTAACGCATTTCGGCGTTACAGAGCGAACGTCAAAGTGTTTGCCTGTAAACTCGATGTCACGCGATGCTCGCTTTCACTTAAAGTGCCAGTTTCAGTACGCCGAAATAACTGAAACATCTTTCGCATTGTGCCCACAGTTCGTTTTTATGAGCTTCCTACTTTTCTAGAGCGAGGTTAGATTGAGGTAAGAAGCTTGCCAGGTCCTTGATTTTCAGGAAACCGCGTCTCAAGGCCAACGAAAAAGGAGGGCCTATGCACGTTTGATTGCGGACGGCTCGCTTTGCACTACCCGTTTATGGCCGGCGCGTCGATAGGGGCGCTGATGGCGGCGTTTTTCGCAGCGCCGCCTGGGCAGAGTCTGACGTCTATAGGGGGCACACAGGGTGGTTCAATATGGCTCCTACAGAGAGTATCTTAGTTGCTGAGCACATGTGCGGCTTGCGCTGCAGCATTCTTTTTTTTTTTTTTTTTCTATACATGGCTCTTCCCTTCTTGCAGTCTCATATTATGCACCACCTGGACACTTCAGAAACTTGGATACGATGTCTCGTTTAAGGCGAAGAGGTCCTGAATGCCAAACACATCACTTGTTTTGTGGCGTCAAGGCCTGTAGCGCATCTGTCGTTGTGCAAGGACTCTGCCTGCTAACGTCTCATGTCCGCCAGAATCCACACGAAGTAGAATTCACAAATGACTAGGAAGGACCTGTATAGAAATCTTAGCTTGCTTTTCGTCTTCGTGCTAATCGTGCCGGTCCGCAAGACGTGCCTTTCATGCACTGACGTTATCGCAATGCAGATATTTTTTACGCATTTTTGAAAAAAGTCACAGCTTCACTTGCCTTTATAGATATAGTTCTTCTTTTTCTTCTTTGCAACAATGTCGAAGCAATGAACGCGATAGCAACAAATCGGAAGGTCACGCGCCAATTTGCAAGCAGATCAAAACGTGCTCCGCGATTCTCACCCACAAATGACGCCAGAAGCGTACTCACAGGTACAGGAACGCGAATAAGGGTCTCAGTTGTTACTTCGCTGTGTCTGAAAAGCGCACCCTTTTCACAAACGGAGACTGTGCAATAACTGCAGTGGCCTTTGTGCACCCGGTAACTACAACAAAAACGTGGCACCGCTGCCTTGTCGATACTCCGATACTCTTTGAAATAATTACGCTGGCGGCCGCGGGGCGGCGTGACAGTCTACGGAACTTGCAAATATAAACTTGCACTGTCTGTAGACTGACGTGCCGCACAGTCGATAGGAAGAAAAATGCCTCGCGGAGGATCAATCGACGTCGCAGTGTTTTCACTTGGTTAGTGCGGGCCCTGCCAACACCTGCCATGCAGGCAGAGAGCTTTCGTTAACCTTTTTCACGAATGAGTTATGGTGGCTAGAGGGGAGTAGTGTGACGAGTGCTGCATTTTTGCCGTGAGAGAGGGGCACGCTAATCGCAGTGAAAATTTTGGCCTCCGCAAGGGGCGCTGATGTAGTAATAGGTGCTTACCACGCATGCTTGGGCTCGTTCGTTCTCCGTGTTGTGCCATAGCCTCGTTCGGATGCTTCGCCGTCGTTGCTTGTCTGGCCACGTGTTCTGGCCTGTGTTCTGCGAACCAGCACATGGTCACTTTGCTGACCATGCCTGTCAGCAAACTGACCATGCTGGTCAGATACATGTTAACTGCTCGACAGCCAAGACAAACAGGGAAAAAATGCTCTCTGGATTATTCGGCAATATTGTTGTAATAGTGACCATCTGAATACTGTTAATTGCTTATTTTTTTTAATCTTGCGTGACGACCCAGGAGTGGGAACTCCTTGGCAGAACTTGTAAAAGCCCTTAACACTTCGTCGCCAGCCTCAAGTGATTTCATATTCGGCATACGAGATATCATAGAAGACATGTTGGAAGTTGTAGATGTTGACGGCGTAAGGTCTACACTACATTCTTTAAGTGGTGATCACATATGTCGTTCAGAAAAGAGACAGCTGTCTCAATTATTTCGTTGCTGGATATGTAGCTAGAAAGTTCAACAAAAAGGCTCTTGTAGTGAATGCATTTATGCTCTTGCCAAAAAGAAATCCGGAGCCATTGTCGCACCGAACAGTGAGCTAGTGAATGCATTTGACAGGGGAGGCTTACTGTATCCTTGTGAAAATTCAGCCAGACTGGTGAAAACATTGGAGGAGCATTTACTTTTTTTTGCCGCTCAAAACTTGCACTCCTTCCGGATACATGATTTAACGAAGTTCTTGTCAGAAATCAAGCTGAATAGAGTTGGCTGTGAAATTCACACCAAAGAACTTGCTACAGAAGTAGTCCAGTTTCTTCTGCACACGCGTATCCACTCACTTCTACGCAAAATATTTAAAGATAGAAGTGTCTAAGGGAGAGCCAGAAACACTTTAAGTTGAGAAGTTGCAACTAATTTGACAAAGTAACAGGGAAGCATGTGATAATAAATGTGTGTCAGAAGTATGCATAGGTCGACAAAACTTGTGGAACTCACTCAGACTTACTCATGAAATATATGTTAAGCTTCAGACTCACACTCACGAAAATTTTCTTTAGCCGGACTCGCTAGAACTCATACTCTTCAAAGTGTTTCTCACCTCGACTCGCTCAGACTCGCGGCTTGATCTGAGTCTTGAGCGACTCCAAGTGAGTCGACTCATGCATCCGTCAGCCTAGAATTAGCTTCTTCGAAAATGGTGTCAATGCCCTTTAACACCAATATCTAACTCAGTCGGCACTCTTCTTGGTGTCGTTTGACATGCGTCTTCGAAAGCGAGTTCTGAGTGCTTCCAAACCAGTAAGGTCAATTTTTTTTTTGGTGGGGGGGGGGGAGGGGGAGGAAGGGGAAGGGATGACAGCAAGGATATATAGTAATCAAGAAATTACCTGGAAGAGCGGTGGGGAGTGCTGGATAGTAATATGCTGAAGATTACTAGACAAGGCCTTAGGTCGGAAAAAGAATGTGGTACTCAATCGAGACTCACTCAACAAATATATTTTGCGCTTTGAACTCACTCGGACTCTCCGAAATTTTCCTGAGCCGAACTTACTCGGATTCACGCTCACGAAAATTTTCTTGAACCGGTCTCACTAAGACTCGCAGCTCGATGTGAGTCGACTCGTGAGTTCACCGACCTATCAAAGTATGTGATCACAAATGTGTCATACACTTATAAATTCTATTGCATGTAGTTATTTTGCATCTTAGGCCATAAGTTGACAAATATCATTTGTCCTAGATTAGAGACTACGATAGTAAAAATAAGAAAAAGTGCCCAATGTATAAAACAGCCTCCATATGCAACGTGTGTCAGAAAATGTGTGAGAAAATGCAAATGGTTCGAAGAATATTTCATGCTGAAGAGAACCCAATTACTAAGAAGTGCGAAAATGAGTGTAACTAATGTCTAGCGGCTATGTGCAAAGAAGGCAAATGCCTCCCCGAGCATCTATTGCGCAGGTAGCGCCAACTGGTGTGGCCGCCATCTTTTATTGCGAAATCGTGCAGCCCTCCGCTGCCGCCCGTCACACTTCAGTGAGGGCAATATCCAACATACCGGCGCCGTGCCGCAGAGCGCAAACCGGATTCACAGTGAAAATATTGTCACATTCTTTCTAGTGAAATATACCGATGTAAAATGTGTGGCGATCGGATGTGTGGTAATCTGTTGGCAAGTCTACACCACTTCAATACGCCTTGGTGGCGGGTTCCCCTCGCATTCCCAAAATTGTAATATTGGGTAGCCTTCAGGCAGCCTCCAAAACAATACTGCCAGCTTCCTCCCTCGAGGCGTAGGAGTCACCCTTGCCGTCAACTAACTACCGTGTTCAGGCAGAAGTTATTATCTGGGCCTGAATGACCGCAACAAGCTTTTGGCCCCCACCCTTCGAACTGCCGATAAGATGTCAACGATCTCTTAGTGCCGTTAATAATTTCTCTGTCTGAATACGCTTGATTGTATGCCGTTCTAAGAAGAAGAGGCGGGGGAAAAAAAGCACGAGCTAGGCTTGTGCGAATAGAAAACTCATACGCGTGCTATGTTCATATATGTTTTAGTGCAATTTTCATGTTCCGAGCACCATTCAGAAATCAGCTGCACGATGTTGCAAAGTAATCTTCATCAAAGCCTATATGTTGTAGTATTAATGTAAGTATCCCCTGAGAGCTTCCCGCTTTCAGCCAACTGCCCAACCATATTCACCCAATAAACATGTGTCTTTGTTAACAAAACTTCAAAAACTTTCTTACAAAATTGGTACCATCAGTGTTTCACGAGCTTAATGCTCATGATAAATCAAATAAATCTTAGCTTTGTATTCTCGTGCCCGAAATGATTCCAAGTTCTAAAACACCTCCAATAACAGGAGATAACCATATTCCTTCACAAAATTAAAGCTTGAAGCAATTTGTTTTCGCGAGCGACAAAGCATCGCGTATGACATAGATGGTGCATCTCTACCCCTTTCGTCTTTGTAAACTGAGCATGAGGCATTTCAAGACACCAAGTGCACAACCTTGGTCACACTGCATAAAATAATGCAGCCGCTGTTTAATTGGTAGAGAGTGGCATATATGGCAGCCGCAAATGACATGTATCGTGGCAACATTTATTCATGGAAAGCCAACACGACATTTGCGGACACAAGTGCGTCAGTGCAGCCGAGAATGAAGCAGTAATCGATGCTCGCAAATGGTGCTGAGGTTTCATCCTTGCCATCGTAGAAATGGTTGGTTTGCAAATTTATATTCATTTACCCTTCATTTTGCATGTAGTTATAATTTACTTGAATGTGAAACTTGATGCACCATCATGAAAGTGGCCTGGTGTGATTAAATTTGTCAAAACAAGTTCTACAATATGCTTCTATGCGCTCCTACTTGCTCGCTATCATCCTCTGGACCGCCGTTTTGGTTTACATTGCGCACCGCCTATAGGCCGTGCACAGTGCGAATAGGCTTTGTCACCTCAAGCTAAATTTTAGACGTTCAACGGAAGAAGCGTGGAAGTTTGCACAAAAAAAAAAGAAATTTTAGTATATACAACTCAAAAGTTATCAAACCATGTAGCATACAAGCTTTCGATCTCTCGGATCTCTCAGTGTAGTTGCTCGTCAAATCTGCCCAACAAGCGGGCAGGATCTTTGAGGGGCCAGCCTTTTAATGTGTCTTCACACACTGTAGGCAACTGTCACTGAGTGTAGGTAACACCTTGACCTATGTATGGCTCTGCAGGTTCAATCCCGGCAATGTGTCCGTTGTCCTCGTAGGCGCACGATTACCACGCAAACAGCCCCGTACCAATCAAGAGTTGGCGTGCAGGCGTCTACATTGGCCGGGGGATGGAATGTTGGTATGTGTGATCTTTTTTTTTTTTTTTCCCCGCAGCTGTGTTGCTTGCTTGTTTGAAATTTAAAGCAATGGTTCAGCCTCCTTTTGTCAAGTTTGTTTTTCCTGGATATTTTATCTTAAAGAGCAGTGAAACTATTTGTTCTGATAGGCAGTCATCAATGAAAATTTTGCCATGGAAATTGCACTTGTTGTGGCCCAGCTCCTTTTTCGCCACAATCTGCCTCAAATTTTAGTATAGGCGACATTAACAGTATTGGCCGACATCACTGGCATACTGTTGTTGAGGTGAAATCGATGAGACAGCGCTGTGAGGGAATAGACAGCACTGTTATGACTGTGACGGCACAGCGTGCCTGACAGCTGCGCAAACCAGCCCTTTAAGGTACGAGTGAAGCTAAAAAAAGGCATATGTGTATGATTATTTGGTAGTTGACTTTGTAGCCGAAACATAGATGACAGCTGGGAAACGAGAAAATCTTGGTCTGGTCTAACATGCTGCGGCACAAGAACATTTTGCGGTACTCTTTGAAAACAGAAATGTGGCACTCCGTATTAGAGAGGAAGCAAGCACAAGAGTTAGGAAGAACTGGAGCTTGGCTGGTTATGTAATGCATCTCTACTCAAGTAAAAGGATCGCTTGCTTAGAAAGGTCAGTGCAGTGAAGGGTGCTAAGCAGTTACACATAAGAGCGTAGATTGGGGATTTAGCACAGTAAGCCAATCGCACTTTCAGATAACCGGAAAATACTTTCATCATGAAGTTATGACCATAATGTAAGAAATAGAATCTGTGGAGAACACTCTACCTAGCCATGGTGTTTGCATTTCTTGAAGGGGGGGCCAAATGGAAAAAAAGTACCCATGTACTTTATCATCGATTCTGAGCCACCCACTACAGTGTTCATACCTGATTATCATGCTGTGATTGTAGTGCACAAAGCCCTGGAATTTGTTATTCCTTTTGTCAAAGTTTCAGAGGAGTGCTTGGTGCTTTTGAAGTATACCACAATACTGAATTACCAATTTTACAGCTGCGTCGTAAAAGTAACACCTCTATTGCTGTTGTTGGGTCGAAGTACTTCAGGGGGCTAATTGCATGGTGATGTGACAGGTGTACAGACTCGCACCTTCAGCATCTCGGTGGGAACTCAAACCAAGGCCTGGTGCTCAGCCACGGGCTCAACCCAGAAAAGCCAGCATAACGCTGCTTCTTCATTGGTACGTGCTCATATTTCCAGCCAACTGACCTTTTGACATGTGTGCTAGCCACTCTGAAAATAATGGGGCCATTTACCTTGACGTCATATGTGCACTACCTTCGCAGGATCAAATGCGCGACTGCAGCGCCCATGAACCGTTCCCCTCCAGCTCGCTGACAAAGTGCGGCGAACATGATATTCACACCAACTATGGATGATGTGATTACCTGCTGTAAGTGATGCCAATATGGGTGTCATCCTGGCTCTTGCGACACTGTTACGTGCATGCAAATGTATTGTAAGTGTTTGGGCCAATACATGAACTAAGGTGGTGGACGAGCAAGTGGCCTGTGTGTGTTCAAACGTGTTACCTACTAGCCATTACAGACTGGATGTTTCAAAATTTTTTTTTATGTGAAGCCCTGGGTGCTCACTAAACAGGGGCTTTTAAAAAAACATGTTGGGCTGACCTAAAACAATATTTTGTGGACCAACTTTGCAGTTTAAAAATGCTAGTGCAGTAAAAGCAATCATATAAAACATGTAATCAAGGCTAAACATGTAATATAAAATTAAGTATGCAAAAAAAGCTTATTTAATGTGCCATTATAGACATTACATGAGGAGTAAGATGAAGAAATGGGCTGGGAGTGTAATGAAATGCAAGGCATTGATGGCCATTAAAGGGGTCGTGAAACGCTCACTCTAAAACGAGAATGCGAAACCACTGGCGTTCACACGCACTAACTAGGTGACGTCAGCTTAATTAATGCTTTGCCGATCGAGGAACGCGGAACTCTTCGGTACTTGCGAGTGCGAGCGATCGGGACGCCCATCAGCATCTTTGCCATATGCAATCGGCGCTAACTTGTACCAAGGCCTCCTCTATTTTATCAATGCCAGCCAGATGCGCCCAATCCAGCTGTTCACCCTCTCCTCTAGCCCTTTCCCACTCTCTCCCAGCACCTAGCCTTCTGCTGTGCTTTGCAGTCATGGGAAAGAGTAGTCCCTCATGCAGTGCCTCATGACGAAAATCATAAGTAACTTTTGTTCAGTTGTGTACAGATCCGTGGGGCAGCCTCTTTCATTCCTCGTGTTCACAATATTAGCAGTCACGCTGGCTCTGTGAAATGTACGGTGTTTTGAGATAGCGTGTCGCCGTTGGTTGCACTATGCGGGCAACGGGAAGCGTCACTGCAACGTTTCTGCATGCGCTGCTCTGTGACGCGGTGGCGGCATTGTCTCGATCCAGAAAGACTCGGCATGAAGGAGCGATTATGATAGACATATGATATATTGGTGTGGGAAACATGTCTATTGCATCTTCAGGAGAAAGCACTCGGAAGCACGTGTGATGCGAGCAGCGTGACCCCTCATGCAGCGCCGCATCACAACCACTCCCTAAAGTAAGGCGGACCGACGGCTCCTGTTGAGAAGTGCACGTTTGCACTGGCATTGAAATAAAGGAGGCGTTGCTTGTACTCTGCCGCTGGCGTCATATTAAGCAGCGTTTTTGTGGGACACGGATTGCGTATGGCAGAGGCCGATGAGCGCCTCATGCGCGTGCTCGCAGATGCCTTGAAATTCTGCATTTCTTGATAGGCAAAGCATCTATGTAGGTCCACTCAAGCTGATATATTCAGCGCATGTGGCTGCCGATGGTGCCGCATTGTCGTAGTAAAGCGACTTTTTCATGACCCCTTTAAGGGTAACAAGACTGGATTTCAAAAGGTGGCATGAGTGGCTGGGGTCTGCAGGTAGGTGAGCAAAGAGGTTAACATTGCTAGGATAATTTGCTCGCAGCTAGCGCAGCACCGTAATAATTGGGGAAGTTGGCAAGAGACCTTTCTCCTGCAGGGAGCATTGTCAGGCCGATGTACCAGGAGTGGTATTGTGTAATTGTCTACTGAAGTGGTGTCCCTTCTGAGCATGCTCTAATTGGCTAAATCGTGAGAGCAAGCAGGCAGGCAGAAATGGTGCAACCAGGCTTTGGACTCTATCCACTCAGTGCACTCTGAAAGAAACGGTTCGTTTTGTGCACACTCACTTACACAAAACTACCCTGTTATTGTTTTGTATTGCCTAATGTCGACTAACAATTGACGTAATGTCGATTATTATTGCTTGTGCTGCTAATAGTTTGTATGTTTGATGATTTCTTTTGGGGGAATTCACTGGGATTTCATGTGAGTTGCGTTTCTGGCGCATCTATCACAACAACCTTTTCTGACATGCAGGAAGACCTTGGTTTCAAGATGTGCTTTCGTGACGCCACACACCTTGGCCAATTCTGTGGCACTTCCTGTGAAAAGGAGTACCGAGTCGTCGCCTGGCAGTGCGATCAGTTCCAGGGATCCTGTTGATTGCGTGCTGCCAAACTACGCATTGGTAGTTCAGGACGTGGAGGAAAGAAGCGTCAACAGAGCACAGATGCCATCAGCGATTCCCGTCAATAAAAGGGCAAAAACACCGTCCTTATTTCCGTGCCTTGGCACTAAGCCTCTCATCAAAGGTGTACTGTCACCATCTTCAGGCGATCAGTCTGGTGAAATATTTTACCTGACCAGTCACCTGAATCAATGTTAACCCATGAGGAAATGGTCCGCATTGGTCATTCAGCTGCCTTGATTTTATTTTTGAAACATACATAAGGAAAGCATAAAGTGCAATAGTGGGCAATGACTAGCTGTGTAGAGATAATTTTATGAAAGGTCTACACGTCTCAATGGACCTTTCCAAAAATTGCGGCACCCTGGCGGATCAGGGCAGAGCAATATGGGAAAGCGGAGCGCGAGGCATGCTTAGCGGACGACGCTTTCGCTTGCTTTCATCGGCTGGCGTAAGGTGCTGCTCTTTTGAAGAAATGGCTACTTCCGAGTGCTCTGACTTTCATGCTCGCCAACTAAGTTGTATTGCTTGCCACAAATAGCCAGAATCATCACAGAACATGCCAAGGAAGAAGAAAAGCGGCAGACAAACCTGCTCTGTTCGTGGGTGTCATGAGACGCGAAAGACATCGGACGTTCAGTTTCGTTGCTCAGTGCCACTCCAGGACTTGAATTTTTGTAATGCTGCAACTAAGTTTGACCTTTGTTAAGATATTTGAGTTCTCATTCACTGTGACTACAGGGCTGGGGTTTTACCTTTGTTTTACCGAGTAATATGCGAAAGTGACACCGTTAGATTCCTCATTAAGGAATTGCAAGGTCCCCTGCACATTCACCTTAGAGGACACAAAGGTGAACACCATCTCATTTTTATTGTCAGTCGTTGTGCAGATTCTACCATGCCAGTCCATTAGTGTCAGCAGGATGATGCCATGGGTGCGAACCCGTCTTGCATCGCCGCTGGAGAAAGCACTGGTGTAGCTTGGGCGTGGGCAAGTGCTGGTGTGCCTTGAGGTACTAAATGTTTGGAATTCCTCCACTCATAGAACCAGTGCAAAGCCACTTTAGGTGCAGAAACCCTTCGGATGGGTGTGGGAAAGACCTGCAAGCCGACTGAAGAAAAAAAAAAAACTGCTTTTGCCTTTAAGACATCTTGGGTGAATCCATCAAAAACGCCGCAAGTTTATTTATTGCAGTTTTACTTATTGCTCCTTTTGCTGTTTACTGCTTGGTCATGTTCAATCATATCTGCTTGTTATTCCCTATATACCTAGAGGCCTCGCCCATTGTGGCTTCGCACACTTTTTTTTTTGTTTCCTGTGTCAAGGTAAAGAGTTCTAGTTGTAGTTTCATTGTTACGGATAGAAAAGTGACACTCGCAGCCAAGTAACGTTGCCAACTGATGTAAGCGCTGCTGCGGTATTCTATACAGTTCACCTACTGAATGATGCTTCCACCATGCTTTCAAAGTCACAGTCTCACCTTTAGCAGCCTTGAACAGCATTACTAATCAACATTTTCTGGATTGAACATACTTTGCCCAGACACTGAGTGCTTATTACCATCGTGAGAATGCTCTATTCTGGGTAATTTTCATTTCTGAATACCCCTGAGGCGGGTCCTCCGGATCTTCTGTCCATAGCCATTTTGTCAAAGGTGACAAGAACGGCTGTATGTTTTCAGCAGCTTTGAGAGCCATCTGCATCGAAATGAAAAATTACTAAATTTCCATAATCATAAACTGTAATGAAACAAGGAATCACGAGAGCTCAAGCAGTAAAATAGAATATTGTGTAAATTGTGCACACTAACTGCCATCATGTTCTATATCTCTTCCCATTGTTACCCTTTGCGAAGTCAGGTTGTAAACTCTTGAGTTCTTAACAGGAACCACACAGAGACAGCATTTTTTACACTGTTTCACAAAAATACTTCGAAATCAAATGTGCAGAATATTTTCGTTTTATGAAGTGCGACAAAGCATTGTAACTAAGTAATCTCCGCACCCAACAGTACTCGATGTCTGCTCTGTGGGCGTGCTGGTAGCTGGTTTTCACTATACTCTCAGCGTTCCAAGTGCAAGGTTTCTCTGGCACAAAATTAAAAACAGGCAATTAGAATTTTCATCCATAGTGGGGCTAGGACCAATTTACAGGGGTCGGATTTTGACATTGACTATCATGCGCGAAGTGCCATGGTCTTGCACCACGTATCGCGCATCACGAGTGATGTTGCCTAACATAAAGTACTAATAGTAAAGCTGCATGGTCATGCTGAAAATGAAACAAAAGAGAGAAGCTTCCGCTACATAGAAATACGACCAACGACGCGCACGGGCTCGCCGCGAAAGCCGAGTACTGTTTCCAATTCAATGGGCTCTTTCGCGGGTATGTTAGCGTTTTCCCGGGTCTCTAGTAAGTCAAGGACACTTACCGTTCGCGGATTTATGTTGCTCTGCGTTGTGCCTTTTCTGCGAGTGCAGATTGAAGCAGGATTATCATGCGCGATACTCGCACAAGGATGCATTTGTACGCCCGTGCACCTATGAAAACGAGGTGAGCCAAAGCTTCTGCAAGCAGACGACACTCCGCCGCCGCTACGGCTTCCCATAATTCTCTGCAGCCAGCCTAGGTGGCACGCGCAGATTTCTGGAAAGGTCCATTCTCGCTTCTTGTCGACGCCATCTGTGGTGTTAAGGATACCAGCACACCATGCCGCCTGACTTGCAGTGATGGATTTATGGTCTGAACCACAGGTTCATCCTATATACTTCATGGAGAAAACACAGCTACGCAATTCTGTCATATACTGTATTTACTCGTGCAATGAACGCACAGTGGCTGAAGGCGCTATTTTTTGCAAGCTTTTTTTATGCTGCCCGTGCACGCCATAAAAGCTTTTTCACAATCGTTTCCGGCTATCCTTTTTCACAATCGTTTAACCACAACAGTTATATAGCTGTTGTAATCCTGAAGGGCGCCCAGAAGCGTGTGCTATGATGCCACGACGTACTCAGCCAACTTCGTGGCAACCTCGCACGGCGACCACACTGCCGCTATTGACATTGTAGCAAGCAACAAACATTGCAGCAAGCTACCACAGAAGCATCGAAACAAACCGTCCTTAACAAGATTAACCGCAAAGTACGGCGCCTGCCTCGCTTGCAACCGAAGCGAGAATCGGGGACCATGTTGTAGAAATAGTCATAATCTTTTCTGGGCGACAAGCAATTTCTTTTTGGTTTTCCAGAAACCTGAGATGCGATGGCGATGAATGGCACTTGGAGGCACTAATAGCGACAGCAAATCCTGTCGTCGTCGCTAGAAAACTGCATATTGGTTGGGCCTTAAAGTTTCGAATTTGCAGGAAGCAACCATCGGTTGGCATGGGAAGTTTCGTGACCGAGCGCTTGTCAGCTGCGATGCCTTAGCACCGTTCGTGATGTGGGACATAGATATTTAAAAAATACTGGGCACGTGCCAGCGGGCGAAGGGCGGGAGGTAGCAAGCTGAGGTGGCCGAGGGGGGTCGGCATAACAATGATAATAAATGGAAGAGATCCAATGGGCAAAGAGGCGCCAGGTATTGGTAAGTGGGACTGCAGCGAACGAATGTTGGGGGTGCATTTATTGCGCGGGGAAAAGAAAGCTTCAAATTACGACGACTGAAATAGGGGGTGCATTTATTATGTGAGTGCGTTCATTACGCGAGTAAATACAGTATATTAATGCTGCAAGCAAACTTGTGCAAAAAAAATCTCACTTGAGTCTATAAAAATGTTACTGTATGCAGAAGCGAGCAACACTTTCAGCTGTTCGTAGAGATATGAATAACACGTTCAACCTCTCATTCCCAAGACCTTAGTTGCATCTGCATGTCACTTTCTTTACATTATGCTATTTATCGCCATGGCATCCTTCGTTCACCAATTTCTACTTTGTTATAGACGTAATATGCAGTAAAACCTCGTAGATTCGAAGTCACTGAGGCCGCCAGAAAACTTAATATTATAAAGCATATTTTCAAGTTGACAAAGCATATAGAAAGTGGGATGCAAGGAACTTGCAATCATTTAAAGTAATCAGGTCTGATCGTTTGCTCTGTCGGCTAAGTCACAGCTCCAGTTTTCCAGCAATACATTATCTTAATTTTGCCGTAAACACGGAGGAACGGTGGTCCTCGCTGCTTCCACCAAAAGAAAAAGGGCACCATCGTGATCAACTGAATGCGTGCTTGTAGAAAAGGAGATATCTTCACTGCAATGTAGTAGTAAAACGCGGGCAGCATGTCACCTGCACCCTGCTGTGCCAGCACGTCATGATGCGACCATTCGCCCATTTTTTTTCTGGTGAAATATAGAATTCAATAATAGTCAGTGTGACGAGATTCGTTCTCTTAAGAACCGTCGTTTCCACGGATTTGCAGCAAGATTGGGATCAAGACATGGCATTCAAAGTTTTCTAATTAACAGAGTGTTGCTGACCGCCGCTTCAAATTATTCGCTCAGACTAACCTTGCAAAATACGGGACTGTGTAATTATTTCGAATCAAGTGGAATTTCCAAACAATAGAGTTCGAATTTATGAGCTTTTACTGTATGTCTATTTGGTATGTGTTCACCGTGTTGCTTTTTTCAGACACAGTCAGTTTATCTGTCTTGTGTCTCACTCTACGTGCAGCTAAACCTTGTGACTTTTGTTACATTTTCTTGCACTCCAGTTAGTCTATTTTGGGCTGGCAGTATAAAGACGTCAATGAATTTTGTCTTAAGGTAACTCTGCTCGTAGACATTACTGTGCTCTCCGGTAAGCCAGCCTTGATGACAGCCAGAGATGACATACATGGAGCATAAAGCTTCCATTTGGGGAAGTGGTTATAAGAGGGAAAAGAAGAGAACAGTGAGCCCCGTAACTGTCTGCATCAGAGTGCGAAACCTCAACAGTAGCTCACAAGGGATGGATGGGGTGAGGAGGGATTAAAAGGATAGGATTAAAGGTAGAGAGAGAGAGAGATGCGCTGGGACAGCGAGTGATGACATATGATGGGATAGGAGAAATAGGAAAGATGGAAACACGGTCACAGGAGTCCGAGGAAGGGGCACCACTTGCGAGAGCTCTTGT